TTTTTTTTAACTCATACAACAACAACAAAAAAGCAAACAAATTTCATAAAGAAGAGAATGAGAGAATGAGAGAATTATATAATGAGAGAATGATAGAATGATATAATGAGAAAATGAGTATATATACGAAGAGAAGTGATGGGAGTTACAATTTCATAAAACAATTATGGGAGTCAATTATAATTGATTGTGTATTGAAAAAATTGAATGGAAAATATAGTTAATGCAAATTTATATTATTTCAGTTTTTATATTAAAGTGTGAGTTTAATGTATATGATTAAATGTGTTTTGTGGTTTCTTTGTTTTTTTCAGTTTTATATTAAAGTGTGAATCAAATATATAATATTTTTTAAAGTTACATGCCTAGTGAACCAATAAGAAGATGGTAAAACCTTATATCACATATATATATATATGATTTGTGAATAATATGATAGTTATTCTTTGATTTAAATTCATTATATTATTTTCTCAACTGTTTGATAATAGAAAATTAAATAAAATTTGTTGGTTAAATAGTTACATAGAAACAATTATCTTATAAATAATTTTTATCCAAATTTTAAATAAGATCTACTGATCTATTATACTGAAAAACAATCAAGCTTTCTCTAATTTCAGTATTTATCTTAGATTTGACCATACTAAAAAAATCTCTTTAATTCTTCTCTTATAAATTAACTTTTTAAAATTAGAAATAATGTTATAAATAATTTAGCACCCATATTAATAACTTTTAAAAGGTATCTTTAAAGGAGTAGTTAAAAAAGTCATAGCAATTTTCTTTTAATAAAAATTATAACAACTCCATTTTATGTTTAGCTTATAATGATATTTAATTTAATTAGAAACTAAAATTAGGAAAAACATAGTTTTGCAACAATGACACTTTTTAAAAAGCAAACTATACATATAACATATAACTTACAACACAATATCATAAAAAAAATATAATTTTGAAATATATATTAGAAATTAATATGACACATGTCAGAAGCATAGAGTGACACATGTCGCATTGTAAGGCAAAGTTAGGAAGAAACCTTGTCTTATTATATAAGATAGTGGTGGCAACATTTATGAATACTTTTGTCTTCAACGAGGAGCTACACAAGTAATGGAATCTTCGTCGACTGAACAGAGAGTAGATGTATCTATAGATGGACCTGCTCTTTCTGCTTGTTCATGTTTGTTTCGGAAGAAAAATCCAGGTGGTCTAGCCACGGCGAGAGCGATCGAGTTAGTTGTGAGCATTTGGACGATTGCTGACATAGTTGGACGATCATCAGCATCTTCTTGAACACAGAGTAAAGCTATATGGATGCACCTGGTAATTTCGTTTGTTTGATAGTTATCTCCAAAGGACGGATCTACAAGCTCTAATGGCGTCCCATTGCTCCATAGTCTCCAAGTCTAGTGAACATTTTTAACAATAAGATGTTTGGCCACTATTAAGAAAAGCAGAAAAAACTGTAATTAAGTCTTAAGGGTGTATACTCACATATGTAACCAAATTTCCAGCAGTACCATCCATTTGATAGAGGCTACTGTTCTTCTTGCCGCTTATAATTTCAAGAACTAATACCCCAAAGCTATAAACATCTGATTTCATTGAAAATTGGCCGTACATCGCATACTCAGGAGACATGTAACCACTGAAACAATATTAATTACATGTTTAGTTTATAAAAAGCATATTTATATGTTTGAGTCAATAGAAGCATATATAGTCAAAGGTGGCAATAACATATGCCAAGAGTAAATCTTACTAGGTTCCAACTACTTTTCTTGTATTGGCTTCTCTATGATCTTTTACGAAATGGTGACACAAAATAAAGTTATTGTGGTTTTGATTCGAAATAAAACATGTTAAGAGTTTGTCAAATAAAAAATATTAAAGCTTTACAGCAATTTACTTCAGTTCAAAACTAAGAGTGGTGAGGTATTTGACAATTATTCACACAAACTCAGAATTTCCAAGATCTCAATATTCTAAACAACTTAATAACTAAAAAAATACAGTGGAATCCCTATGCAATAATAATACCTTGTAAACTTCACCAAATCCACCTTGACCAAGCTTGTTACTCGGTGAAAACTTATCTGTTGCTTATCTGTTGCTGCCTCAATCGCATTGAAATCATACTGAAGCGACCCTGCTGTTGTAATATCATCTCTGTCTGTAGAAACAATTTCAGCAGCCGAATTAAGATAAGAACAAAGTAGAATAACCATTGGAACTAAGAGAAGGAGTCTTTTACCTCTAGCTAGTGGTTCTCTCTCATGAGTCATCCTCTTTCTCTTAGCCCGGAAACAAAAAACAGCTATGAAAAGAAGAAAAAGGACGGTGATTGGAACAACAACAGCTATAACTATGACAGAGAAGTTCCCACCTTCTCCTGTATTGACATAAATAGTTTTATCATATCTTTTACTGTCTCAAAAACAAAGCTGTTCTGAAACATGTAATCAAAGGAAAAGAGAATGGTCAGACCAGGTCGTGGTGGAGAAGGAGCTGATACTGGCGGTGCTGATATTGATGGCGTTTCAATTGCTTGTAGAACGAGTAGCCCTCGTACCTTGCATTACAAGTAGGATACTAAAATCTTGCTCCGATTTCATAAAGAGGCATTCTATCGATAGAACTTTGCAAACATGTAAGATCAGGAGTACTCTGAACCAACCCGTACATTGTCTGAAATGCGGTTAGTATGATCTTTATCGTACTGAATTTCTTAGAACTGTTGGCTGCTTCGAGGGCAGCTTAGATCATCGTAGAGGAATTTAAACCTATAAACTGGTCTATTTGATTTTGATTAGAAGAAATATTATTCTTGTTATCCAGGGAAAAAAATCCGTCGTACGTGACAGTCGATAGAATATTCTTGTGAGAGTATCTGAGAATGCACTCCTCGTAATAGAACACGGCTTCTTTCTCATTTGGACACTGATTTAAGGATTCTTTAACGGAGTAGACGACACAGCTACGACAAACTTCCTGCGAGTCGCCTGGGCGGCAGAGGAAAAGCCCTGTGACTTTGTCGGGGGCTTGTCCCGCCGTGGCGGTTTGGAAACCGGTGGAGTAAGAAGCGTTAGGGGAAGAGAGAGAGGACAATAGTGTATTGAGATTGGTGAAATAAGTGCTGTTTCTTGAGTAAGTTGTCATATTAGGACAATTATGACCTAAGTACTTAGGATTTTGTGCAGAAGCTGTGAAGATAGTGAGAAATAAGAAAAGGAAAGAGGCGCGAGAAGATATGATTGGTTTTCTTCGATTGGTGTTTATCATCGCTAAGAATCCGATTTATGAAATAAATTTTGATTTTTGATCTCTCTGTGATAGGTTTAGCATGATTTAGAGGCTAAATTTTTTTTTTTTAACGAGTAAAATAAATAAAAGTCAAGATAGAAGAACTCAAATCAAAGACTTTTTCCCGGGAAAAGTACATGCATACTGTTACCCAAAAAAAAAAAAGTACATGCATAATACAGTTTGTTAACTAATCAAACATTTATAATTATATTTCAACTTTCAAATCTTCCACGTTAATGTCAACTTTTTCTTGGCTAATATTTTCAACTTTCAAAAATAATACAACAAAATGTGATTGTTACACATTTCAAATAACACAACAAGATGTCTATTATACTTTTCTCTAAATTTTCTAATACAACAAAATATAGAATTGCGGATTTTTAGATTAGGCTAATTAGTGTTGGCTAAAGAAGACAAGCATGAAACGGAACTTTTGTTGTACAGAAAATTCTATGGAGAAAAATGATATAAGTTTCATGCATACTAGTCTTCATTTCAACAGCTGGCGTACGATACAAGTCTTTTTGGTTCCTTTCATGGGGCATCAATAAAAGACCTGTCTACTTCTCATATACGTCCATATTATATTGTCCAACATAAGATAAAGATTGACGATTACTCTGTTGGACATTTGAGAGGCTTTTAAAAGAGAGCATTATTTCACTTTCTTCTCGTTTTTGATATTTCTCGTAGTAAAGTAACGAAACTTGCTACTTTAACTAAAGCTTCTCCAATTTCTTCTCCATGGAACCACCAGGACGAGTTTAGGATACCGGAGTTCTCAAAAGTCATAACGAATAAGAATGACACGCCGCTAAGAGAATTTTAATCAGCATAAGGAGAGTAAAACCTAAAAGCCAGTGTCTTAAATTGTATCTAACGCTTTGAAGAATTCTTATAGAACTGAGCTGTAGCATTTTACAGTTTACACTTTACAACCTAAAGTAATAGAGAAAGTGAGAAACTCACTCTGCTTCTTATTTTTGGAGAAATAAATCAAATATATGGTATTATCACATTTTTGTGTATGTTTACATAAGCCCCAAACCGTAATATCAAAGATTGACTTGGAAAGTCGAAGTCTGTCACAAAAAGAAAGAAAAAAAAACAAACTTGTCAATTTCTTATTAATGTGCATATTCATTCAACTAAAAAATTATGACTTTATGATGAAATTTATAAGAACCACAAATACCAACTACACCATCCACACATTATCTTGAGAAAAAAAAAATGGCAAAGAAGAGTTGTGAATCAGTCCACTTTTTCCTCTTCTTTTTCGTCATAAGCTTCAATGCCATTTCTGTTTCTGCACAAACTTGTGACAATACTACTGGAACTTTCGAACCCGATAACCCTTATGACAAGAACCGCCGACTCATCCTCTCTACACTCGCTACTAACGTCACGGCTCTGACAGGCTACTATTTCAACGGTTCAATTGGGATTGCTCCTGACGAAGTCTACACCATAGGGATGTGCGCTCCAGCTTCAGAAGATCATGTTTGCTCTCTCTGTATCAAGACCACATCAGAGAGTTTACTACAAAACTGTCCTAACCAGGCAGATGCTTTCTCCTGGTCAGGTGAAGAAACCCTTTGCCTTGTTCGCTACTCTAACCGCCCCATCTCTGGTTTGCTCAATATGACTCCACGTGGAGCGATTTACAATACAGGAGAGCTCAATACGAATCAGACTGAGTTTGATATCGTGTGGACAAATTTAACGTCTAGTATGATCACCGGAATAACTTCTTCTTCTTCTTCATCAGGCGCTAACAATTCGTCTAAGTACTACTCAGACGGCTTAGCTCCAGTGCCGGATTTTAAGAATATATCAGCAATGATGCAATGCACACCGGACGTTTCTACAGAGGATTGTAGAACTTGCTTACGAACAAACGTTGACGACTATGGACATTGTTGCCGTAAATATCAAGGCGGCGTTATATCACGACCAAACTGCTTTTTCCGATGGGAAACGTATTCCTTCGACGGTGCTACTGATCAGATTAATTTACCAAAATCACCGCCGCCTTCTATCACAACCTCTCCTGTAGCCAACATAACCAAGAATGGAAAGTACTTTTGGAAAACATTTCAGAGAACTTGCTTATAAGTTTCTGTATATATTATTGTATTTTGTGTAGTAATGTTTGTTGGTGAATTGTGTTTTGTGCAGATAGAGGAATCTCAGGAGGAACTATTACGGCGATAGTTGTGGTTACTGTTGTTACAATAATATTGATTGTTGTAGGATTGGTTATTTTTAAGAGAAGAAAGCAAAAGCAAGAAATTGACCTACCAAGTGAGTTTTTCTTTTCTTTGATTCTTTAACCTTAATTGGTTAATTTCCAGTCTTGAGACCTTAAATTTTGAAATGATTTCAAATGAAGCGGAGTCTGTTCAATTTGATTTAAAAACAATTGAATCCGCGACGAGCAACTTTTCCGAACATAACAAGCTTGGTAAAGGTGGTTTTGGTGAGGTTTACAAGGTATGTACGCTCATTTTCCACCTCCCTTGCTTCATTTGTGGAGAATCGGATGTGCTTAATATATTTGTAAATATTTTCAAGGGTATGCTCATGAATGGCACTGAAATTGCGGTAAAGAGATTGTCGAAAACATCAGGACAAGGTGAAGTAGAGTTCAAGAACGAGGTTGTTGTTGTTGCAAAGCTTCAACACATAAATCTTGTTAGACTTCTTGGGTTTTCACTACAAGGAGAAGAGAAGTTACTCGTCTATGAGTTTGTTCCAAACAAAAGCCTTGATTATTTCCTCTTCGGTTAGTAATTTTTAACTCGGTTCATAATTTTAGTATGTTTCTTCTTCTTTTTGTACGTAACTATTTATTATAAGGATTAATAGGATATTTAGTACATTTTGAGAAGTTAATTGGAGAAGTGATACATTTACTATTCAAAATTGGCAAAGTAGTACATTCGTGAGATAGAGAATTTGTGAGATAGAAAAAGAAGGAGAAAAAAAATGACAAGGGAGGACAGTTTTTGTTGTTTTCCGATTTTCGTTTTTCTTTTTGTTTTTTTTTATTTTATTCTTTTAAATATTCTTACCCCAAAATTCTAATAACTAAAAATTCTTGGTTTTGTAATTTTTTTTCAAACTTTTTTTTTGATTCACAAAAATCTATGTTTTTTTCTCTATAATTTGATATGCATTTTGCTTAGTATAATTTAAATACATTTCATATGTATATATATTTTTTGTACATTAAAGCATATGTACAGACGTATTTGTACAATTTAGTATATGTACAGACGTTTGTATACACTTGATTAGATGTACAGAGTATATGTACAGCTTACTATATGTACGCATGTAAAAAAAATTACACATTTTTATCTGTACAACTACTATGATATATGAATTTATGAATATTTATGTACATATTCGTACACTAATATGTTGTACGGATGTTATTGTGTAATATTTTTATTATTGTACAAATATATGTTTTTACACTTCTGTACATAAAATATGATGTACGAATTATATTATATAATCATTATATAATTATTCTAATGGCATACTTGTAAATAATATGTTTTTTGAGTGATTAAAGGTCAACAAAATAGTAGCAAATAGTGATAATGTACTAGTTTCCTAATTGTAAATAGTGATTGTACTAGTTCTATAATTAAGTTTCAAAAATGTAATACTTCTCCAACACACCCTTATTATAAACTGATTATGTATATATATGCAGACCCTATGATGCGAACTCAGTTGGACTGGACAATGCGGCGCAACATCATCGGTGGGATTACTCGAGGGATTTTATATCTTCATCAAGATTCACGGCTCAAGATTATACATCGTGACCTCAAAGCGAGTAACATCCTCTTAGATGCGGATATGAACCCGAAAATTTCTGATTTCGGAATGGCAAGGATCTTTGGAATGGACCAAACTGTAGCCAATACAGCAAGAGTAGTTGGAACCTTGTAAGTATCAACCAAAATTGGACTAGATGAAGTTTGATCAGTGGACCCTTTTGCTTCCGATTAACTTGTGTTTTTGCAGCGGTTACATGTCTCCCGAGTATGTGACACATGGACAATTCTCGATGAAATCCGATGTCTATAGCTTTGGAGTATTGATTCTTGAGATCATTAGTGGCAAAAAGAACAGCAGCTTCTACCAGATGGATGGTTTAGTTAACAATTTAGTCACATATGTGAGTAAAAGTCTCATACTTTCCTGGATTCTCTTAAAATTTAAAACACTGACCATAGTGCTGACTTTATATAATATTCTACAGGTCTGGAGGCTATGGGAGAACAAATCATTGCATGATCTCATAGATCCTAGTATCATAGAAGATTGTAAACACGATGAAGTCGTTAGATACATTCATATTGGGTTGTTATGTGTTCAAGAAAATCCTACAGAACGTCCAACAATGTCTACGATTCACCAAATGCTCACAACCAGTTCAATTGCTCTGCCTGTGCCTCTGCCACCTGGTTTTTTCTTTAGGAACGAACAAGGATTGAACCCATTAGGCCAGAGATTGGAGCCTGGTCAATCGACCAGCAAGTCTTTTGCTTGTTCCGTAGACGAAGCAACAATCACTGAAGTTAATCCTCGTTGAAAATTCAACATGCTCTGTTTTTTTTTTTCTTTCTTTTCTTGATATACATTATCCACAAAGTCTTGTCACTTATTTATGTCTGTATATGGAAAAGTTTTCTTTAAGGAGCACTTTCAGGTTCACTGGTTCAGAATAGAAAATTCACTCAGGAATTTGAAATGTCTTTTATTATTATTATCTTTTTCCAATTTGGAGTGTCTTTTGTTGTTATATAAGTCAATAACACATAACTTGAAAGTCAAGCATCCGAACCCTACAGAAAAAAAAAAAAGAAAAAAAATTGACTCATGGATCTTCATAGATAGATTCATAGTGGACAAATGCTCACCATGAGAGAAACAAAAGTATACAAATAAAGTGAGGATTTGTTTGTTTTTTCTTTGTCTACCACTATGCTTCTTATTTGTGGAAAATAATCAGATAAAAGTGTAGGCCTATTGTGTTTTTGACTTTTCAGATCATTAAGTCCAATTGGGTTTAGCTTGCGTTCAAGAAAATATGCATTACTATATTTTAAGTGTTGGGACTATTTCAGTATCATGTTTTTTTTTTGCTTGTTCTGTAGATGAGTGTTATAGTTCTCGTTGAAAATTAAACCAATAAAGGCTTTATCACTTGAAAAAATCAAAACAAGTTAGGCCAATGATTGACCTTTTGTATAAGGCCAAAATCGTAATAATAAAGATTGACTTATCTAGATCTAGTCCAACGCAGCCTCCCACCTAAATCCAAAGAAGTCAATTCCAAACATTAATGCCGCATGGTCACTCAATTATAGAAAATTCTAAAGTTTTATGATGATATTGATAAGAACCACAAGTACCAAACAACAACCATCACTCAATTCTCTAAAAGAAACAAAATCAAAAATGGCAAAGAAGAGTTGTGAATCACTCCTCTGTTTCTTATTCTTCACTATAAGCTTCAGTACAGTTTCTGTTTCTGCACAGACAGAGACTTGTGACGCAACTACTGGGGTTTTCAAACCCAATAGTACTTATGCCAACAACCGCCGTCTAATTCTCTCCACCCTCCCTTCTAACGTCACGGCTCACGATGGCTACTTCAACGGTTCCATCGGTCTTGGTCCGGACCGAGTCTACGTCACCGGGATGTGCGCTCCAGGTGCTGAACCTGATGTTTGCTCCAACTGTATCAAGACTACATCAGAAAAATTACTACAGAAATGTCTTAACCAGATGGATGGTTTCTCATGGTCAGGTGAGAAAATCCTTTGCCTTGTCCGTTACTCTAGCAACTCCTCCTTCGGTCTACTTGTCTTGAAGCCGGAGAGTGGGTTATACAATGTCAATGAGATAAAAAAAGAAAACCAGAAGGAATTTGATAGCGGATGGGACGGGTTAATGTCCCGTTTAATCGGAAGAGCATCTTCATCGGTGAGAAACAACTCGTCGTCTACTTCTTCTTCTTCATCATTGTCTAGTAAATATTATGCAACGGATGTAGCTTCGGTGCCAGTCTACGGGAACATATGGGTGTTGATGCAATGCACTCCAGATATTTCTTCAAAGGATTGTAAACTTTGCCTTGAGAGAAATATTGATTACTATAAGACATTTTACCATGGGAAGAGAGGAAGCATTATATGGCGGCCAAGTTGCTTTTTCCGGTGGGAATTTTATTCTTTCTCTGGTGCTTTCGATGATATTGATGCCATACGTTCACCGCCTCCTTCACCGCCCTCTGTACCCAGCCAAACCAATATAACCAAGGAGAATGGCAAGTCCTTTTGGTAGTATTTTAGAGCAATTTTGTCACACTCTGTTGGCTTAGCGTAATTATATGTTGTTGGTGCATTGTCTTTTGTGCAGATGGAAAAATCTCAGGAGGAACTATAGCGGGGATGGTTGCTGCTGTTGTTGTTACTATAATACTGATTGTTGTAGGCTTGATTATTTGCAAGAGAAGAAAGCAAAATAAAGATATTGCACTTCCAAGTGAGTTTTTTTGGGGTGTCTATTTAATCTGTTTTGGTTTGGTGTTCTACACTTTAAAAATTGGATGTAGAACTTTTCATGAGCTTGATATTGGTTTCAAATGAAGCGGAATCGATTCAATTTGATTTAAAGACAATCGAAGCCGCGACAAGCAACTTTTCTGACGAGAACAAGCTTGGTGAAGGTGGATTTGGTGAGGTTTACAAGGTATATACATTTATACACTCTTTGTCAACCTCATTTACTAATAATGTGGAGAATCAGATGTTCTTAATTTGTGAATATATGAACAGGGTATGCTCATGAACGGCACTGAAATTGCCGTAAAGAGACTGTCAAAAACATCAGGACAAGGTGAACTAGAGTTCAAGAACGAGGTTGTTGTTGTTGCAAAACTTCAACACATAAATCTTGTCAGACTTCTCGGGTTTTCGCTACAAGGAGAAGAGAAATTACTCGTCTATGAATTTGTTCCAAACAAAAGCCTCGATTATTTCCTCTTTGGTATGTTAATTTTAACTCAAAAAATTGCTTTAGTCTGTTGTTTCTTCTTTTAATTTTGTACATAGCTAATTATGTATGAATATGCAGACCCTAACAAGAGAAATCAGTTGGACTGGACAGTGCGACGCAACATTATTGGTGGGATTACTCGAGGGATTCTATATCTTCATCAAGATTCACGGCTCAAAATCATACATCGTGACCTCAAAGCTAGTAATATACTCCTAGATGCCAACATGAACCCTAAAATCGCGGATTTTGGAATGGCAAGGATCTTTGGAGTGGACCAGACGGTTGCCAATACAGCTAGAGTAGTTGGAACCTTGTAAGTATATACTCGAATGGACGTGATGAAGAACCATTGAACCCTTTTGCTTCCTATATATTAACCTTTTATTTTCTTTCTGTAGCGGTTACATGTCTCCAGAGTATGTGACACATGGCCAATTCTCGATGAAATCCGATGTCTATAGTTTTGGAGTATTGACTCTTGAGATCATCAGTGGCAAAAAGAATAGCAGCTTCTACCAGATGGATGGCTTAGTTAACAATTTAGTCACATATGTGAGAAACTCTAAACTAAATATAGTCCAAAACTCGTTTTTTTAATTCTTTTAAAACAGTAATCATAGTCCTAAATATATATCAGGTCTGGAGACTTTGGGAGAACAGATCACTGCCTGAGCTCGTAGATCCTAGTATCAGAGAAGATTGTAAAAGCGATGAAGTCATAAGATACATTCATATTGGGCTTTTATGTGTTCAAGAAAATCCTGCAGATCGTCCAACAATGTCTACGATTCACCAAATGCTCACAACCAGCTCAATTACTCTGCCTGTGCCTCTGCCACCTGGATTTTTCTTCAATAACAGACCAGGATCGAACCAACATGCTCAGGGATCAGAGACGGGTCAATCGACCAGCAAGTCTATTACTAGTTCTGTAGATGAAGCAACGATCACATATGTTGATCCTCGTTGAAATAATCCAGCATGTTCTCTGTTTAGTTTATGTTTCCATATAGGCTTGTCAGATGTTTTATCAGCGTATACGAAAAATGTTGTAAGGATCATTTTCAGGTTGACTTATTTAGCATATAGAAATTTCACACTTAAGAACCTTGATCTCAGAGAAAATAGTAAAGGTTCATATACTTATTTCAGTACAGGACAATGAGATCGGAATTGCGGAATTATGCAGGTTTAGTAATTGTAGTGAAGCCAATTTTGACGAATCTGCTTGACAGAGAAAACTTTGTTGACTTTTCAGTTAAAAGATAAAACAGAGAAATCATGCCACGTAAAAGATATAGTTTGTCATGTTATTCATCAATCACTTTTATTCGGATAACATTTTAGATAATAAATTGTTTATGTGGCTGCTGCGGTCCATTACGCTTGTAACCACCGAACAACACGTAACACATATTTGGAAAACCTTGTAATGTTTCACAGATAAATTAATCGATTTTCAATTTAAGGTTGACTTTGACTTCTCGCATGATCATATCCAAGTCTTTTACTCAACTTTGCTCTCATAATATATTTGGAGCCTCCAGTTTTGACAGAGACAACATATAAGCGTATTTAACCTTTTAATCATTTCAACACAGCAAAACCCCATCATCTCTAAAAACAATGTGTCGAAGAAATCTCTTACCGATCGTCATATCCGTCTTCGTGACTTACTGTTTCGTCTCTGTGTCCGGACAGATTTGCGTGAACACTGCAGGGACTTTCAGGCCAAACACTACGTATGACTCAAACCGTCGACTCATCCTCTCATCTCTTGCCTCTAATGTCACGGCTCGAGACGGCCTCTTCTATAACTCTTCGATCGGGGAAGAACCAGACAGAGTCTATGCAACTAGCTTGTGCATCCCTGGAGCTCAATCAAAGGATTGCTCAGATTGTATAACAAGGGCGGTTACAGAGTTAATACAGAACTGTCCTAACCAAACAGAGGCTTTCTCATGGCCAGGCACCAAAACTCTCTGCATGGTTCGTTACGCCAACCGTTCATTCACTGGATCAATGGATCTAGAGCCACACACGTTGAGGTACAACACCGGAAACATCACCATTAATATGTCTGAATTTGATCGAATCTGGGATGCGTTTACGCTTCGGATGATAGATTCAGCTTCCAGTGGACGCAACGGAGCTTCATCGTCTTCTAGTAACAAGTACTACGCGGCGGATGTGACTTCATTGACGAAGTTCCAGCGAGTATACGCGTTGATGGAGTGCACCCCGGATTTATCACCGGGGAACTGCGACGCTTGTCTACGAGCAAGTGTTAGGAGGTATCAAGAGTGTTGCCGTGGGAATCAAGGCGGTGTTGCTCGGAGGCCGAGCTGTTTCTTCCGGTGGGATCTTTATCCTTTCTTAGGAGCCTTTGATAATATTACTTCGGCAGCACCTCCACCGCAGCCTCCTACTGGCGATGAGGACGGTTTGTTTTGAAAACTAGTTTTGGAGTTTTGGATAAAGATTTTCTCATTATATCTAACTTTTATTACAAAGTACTAATAATTTTAACCTAGTTTATTATATACTAATAATTTGACCTAATTTAGGAAATAATTAAGGAAGAAAAAATATTATTCTTTAATGAAATAAATTTATGCGACTGTGTAGATGGCGATTCGCTTTCAGTGGGAGCTATTGTGGGTATTGCGGTAGCAACCGTCGTCGTCTTCTTCTCGCTGCTGCTGGCTCTTGTGTTTGCTTTTTATCGGAGGAAAAAATCGTACCGAGATGTTGGTTTTCAATGTGAGTTGTGTTCAAGTTTGTTGTTTACATGTGGTTCCAATCAATCTTGAAAAACGAAAAACTTATTCAAGATCAGGGAGATTAGGGTTTGATCGTGATTGAGGAAAAGGGTTTTGAGCATCATTGCTCATTTTTATGGATTATTTCGTGATTTCTTTGGTGGAATTTGTTTATGTGCTCTGTTTTATTAGGGCCTTGTGTTTATTCAGCTAAGAGATAAATGTGAATTTTAGCTTACCAATACTACGATTTTCGTTTTGCAGCTGGTGATGATATATCTGTTACACATTCGTTGCAATTTGATTTTAAAACGATTGAAGCTGCAACTGATAAGTTTTCGAGGAGTAATAGGCTCGGTCAAGGTGGATTCGGTGAAGTATACAAGGTATATTGTTAAGTTCTTTCAACGACTTGTGTCAGAAAACTTATGAAATCAATATAGATGTGATTAAATGTCAATTCGTTTAGGGTATACTTCCAAATGGAACTGAAGTTGCCGTGAAAAGACTATCCAAAACATCAGGACAAGGTGCACAAGAGTTCAAAACAGAGGCTGTTCTAGTAGCAAAGCTTCAACACCGAAACTTGGTTAGGCTTCTCGGGTTCTGTCTTGAAGGAGATGAAAAAATTCTCGTCTACGAGTTTGTTCCCAACAAGAGCCTCGATTATCTATTGTTTGGTATGTTGCTAGTAACCACTTTTGAAAATTTTCTTTCAAGTCATGTAGTTAATGAGTATGTATGAACGTGCAGACCCTAAAAAGCAAGGTCAGTTGGACTGGACGATGAGATACAAGATCATTACAGGGATTGCCCGAGGGGTTCTATATCTTCATCAAGATTCACGGCTTACAATCATACACCGTGACCTCAAAGCTAGTAACATTCTTTTAGATGCAGATCTGAACCCGAAGATTGCGGATTTTGGCATGGCCAGGATTATTGGTGTTGATCAAACCCTGGACAATACAAACAGAATAGTTGGAACATAGTAATTTCTCTTCTCTTTTGAGTTACTATAGAAGAAGTCTTTGATTGTCATCTGTATGCTGAAGTAGGGACGTTCACTTTATGTTCCAGTGGTTATATGTCTCCCGAGTACGCAATGCATGGCCAGTACTCGACAAAATCTGATATCTATAGCTTCGGGGTTTTAGTTCTTGAGATCATTAGTGGCAAGCGCAATAGCAGCTTCAACCAAACAGACAACAATGCCAGCAACTTGGTCACATATGTGAGTATGGAGATGAAAACATCAAAGCAGTCTTCTTTTAACTTCAATCAGATTTCAGCGTATTAATGGATCTCTCATCCTGTAGGCATGGAAGCTATGGAGAAATGGATCACCGCTAGAACTCTTGGATGTAACTATTATAGAGAGTTGTGACAGCAGCGAAGTTATCAGATGCATACATATCGCATTATTATGCGTTCAAGAAAATCCTATTGATCGTCCAAATTTGTCTACGGTCATCTTGATGCTCACTAGTAACACAATCACCTTACCGGTGCCTCACCAACCTGGTTTTTTCTTCCGGAGCGAACTCAATCGATACATAGCAGCTGAAGACTTGGAGTCAGGTCAATCTACTGGAAATTTTATTCCTTTCTCTATAAATGATGCAACAATTAGTGATTTAGATCCTCGTTAGAGACCAATCTTGATGTTCTATAGTATGGTTATTAAATAATAATTTTGAAGTGGCTAATGAGTTTTTGTTACAAAAATATAGAATCATCTTTACATGGGTGATTCTACGACGTGTTAAGCTGGGTGCCGCATGATTTATTCATATAGTTACACCAATATATGTACCAGTTCCAGCTTCTTTACTAGTTACTACACTTGACTCAACATAATTTTCACAAGTCCACCCAATCAACATTAATTAAGACCCAGACGGTCAAGTACAACTTGCTTGGGAAATTTATTACACATATGACATATTCTTGTTTGCTGTCCTAACCCAAACAACACGGTAAAATTGTATTATATTCCAAGTACACCCCTATTTCGACTCCTCAAGATGAAATAGATGTTTTTTTCTTTGGTCTTTGAAAAGTCAGGGCCAACTTTGGTCACAATCGGAGAAAAGGCCCAACTAGATATACAATGGACTCTTTGTATAATAATACTCTACTCCAACCGTTCGTTTCATAAGAAGTAAAACAAAAATACAAATTTTCAAGTCAACTTGAGTGAGATAGTTTGATAAAATTGGGGATGCTTTAATGCTGAAAGATATTTAGTGACTATTTCAAACCAACTCTTTCACACGTAGCCATAAATTTTAATAGGTTAACAAATTGTTTAGATTTTAAAATTGTTATCTTCTCAATCACACATGTGCAGTTATTTAAAAAAAAAAAAAATTGCACATTTTTACTTATTTTATTAGAAATGTATAACATATTAGTTCAGTGATAATTTAATGGGTTAACACTTTACATATTCCTTGATTCATATATTAGCTAGAGTGTTTAGACCCTCCAATCTAATAATAAAATAAATAAAAAAGAATCGTTTACTTAAGACTTTTGACTTTGATTGACTTATTTATTGTCGTGCAAACAAGCCATCTTCAACTTCACGTTAATAAAGAGTGGTCAGATAGAGAGAAGAAACATATTCAGTTTATAAATTGGAGCTCATAATTTGGAACACAGGTAGAGAGCTTAAGGAAGTAAAATCATGTCTTCTTGCTTCTATTTCATCTTCTTTGTCCTTTGCTCATTCCACACTAGCTTCAGAGCTTCTGCTCAAAAACCTTACTACCTAAATGGGGGATGTCAAAATAATACAACCTACACAAGGACCAGCACTTACTTTACCAATCTTAAAACCCTTTTGTCCTCTCTTTCTTCCCGTAACGCCTCTTACTCCACCGGATTCCAAAACGCCACCGCGGGACAAGCCCCCGACAGAGTCACGGGACTTTTTCTTTGCCGCGGAGATTACTCACCGGAAGTTTGCCGTGGCTGCGTCGTCTTCGCCGCTAACGAGTCCTTATTTCGGTGTCCGGATAAGAGAGAAGCCGTGTTCTATTACGAAGAGTGCATTCTCAGATACTCTGACAAGAATATTCTATCGACCGTTACATACGACGGAGGATTAATCATGCAGAACCCCAACAATATTTCTTCTAATCAAAGAGACTGGTTCATAAGTACGGTATCTTCCACGATGAAACAAGCTGCCGCCTTAGCAGCCAACAGTTCTAGAAAGTTTTATACGATAGAGACCGAACTGACACCAGTCCAGACTTTGAACGGGCTGGTTCAGTGCACTCCTGATCTTACAAGAGAAGAGTGCTTGAGCTGTTTGCAAAGTTCCATCGATGGATTGCCTCTTGGCAGAGTTGGTGGACGACTTGTTTATCCTAGTTGTAATGCAAGGTACGAGCTTTACCCGTTCTACAACGGAACCGCGATTAGAACATTACCACCATCCCCACGACCACCATCACCACTACCGTCATCACCACCATCGCCGGAGCCAGCTCCTTCACAAACTAGTAAACTCTTTCTTCGTCCTCTGTTTTTTCTCCCTCTCCTGTTTTATTGAAATTATAGCAATAATACCAAATTAGAAAGTTTCATTCTTTTTACATGGTGTTTGATCTTAATTAAGAAAATGATGTTTGAAAAACAGAAACAGGGAAAGGTGGGAATTCAAATGTGTTGGTGGTAGCCATTGTTGTGCCTATTATAGTGGTTGTTCTGCTTTTCATAGCTGGTTACTGTTTCCTTGCAAAAAGGGCTAAGAAGAATTCTGATACTGCACCAACCTTTGATGGTAAAAGTTCCAATGATTAAACAATCTTAATTGGTTTTATTATATTGTCATTGGCTAATCTTTTGTATTAGTTTCTGATTATTAAGTCTTTTATTGTGCAACAGGAGATGATATAACAACCATAGAGTCGCTACAACTTGATTATAGAATGATTCGAGCTGCAACAAATAAGTATTCAGAACATAATAAGATTGGTCAAGGTGGATTTGGTGAGGTTTACAAGGTACTATTACAAGGTTTACGAGATTGTGTACTTTTTTCGTAAAATTTTGTGTCAATACATTCGAATAATGAGATTATGCTGGATGAAAACGAATAGGGTACGTTTACAAATGGAACTCAAGTTGCAGTGAAGAGACTTTCAAAATCTTCAGGACAAGGTCATACAGAGTTCAAGAACGAGGTTGTTGTAGTTGCTAAGCTTCAACACAGAAATCTTGTTAGGCTTCTCGGGTTTTCTCTTGAAGGAGAAGAAAGGATACTGGTCTACGAGTACGTGCCCAACAAAAGCCTTGATTATTTCCTCTTTGGTCAGTTCATTTCTTGTTTTTTATTACAAACTTTTCCTTTTCTATCTTCAAACTTGGGTTACAAGTCATTAGATTCCACTCTAAATCATGGATACACAGATCCTGCAAAACAAGGCCAACTGGACTGGACTCGACGACATAACATCATTGAAGGGATTGCTCGAGGGATTTTATATCTTCATCAAGATTCACGACTCACAATCATACACCGTGACCTCAAAGCAAGTAACATTCTTCTGGATGCGGATATGAATCCTAAAATTGCTGATTTTGGAATGGCTAGGATCTTTGAGATGGACCAAACCCAGGAGAACACAAGCAAAATAGTTGGTACCTTGTAAGTCTTTTACTTCCCATAAGTTAAGTTTATTAAACACGATTTTGCTAGTATACCAAAGTTTTGTTGTTGATCCCAGCGGTTACATGTCTCCGGAATATGCAATACATGGCCAGTTCTCAGTGAAATCAGATGTCTATAGCTTTGGAGTGTTAGTTCTTGAGATTATAAGCGGTAAGAAGAACACAAGCTTCTATGAGACAGACGGCGAACATAGCTTGGTCACATATGTAAGCTTAAAGGCAATCAAATATTTATATTTAATTATCTCTCTTAAAATAAACGGTGGTAGAAAGAACTGATTCATTGATTGATAATCTAGGCTTGGAAGCTTTGGAGTAACGGAACAACATTAGACCTCGTGGATCCAGTTATTGTAGATAATTGCCAAGAGAGTGAAGTAGTTCGATGCATCCATATCGGTCTTTTATGTGTTCAAGAAGATCCTGAAGAGCGTCCCATCTTGTCAAACATTTTTATGATGCTCTCTAACGATACTGTGACATTACCAATGCCTCAACAACCAGGGTTTTTCGTTCCGAGTTGACCTAAAAAAGATCCGCTTGATTCAGATCTACCAACGAGGCAACGACCACCAAGTCTGTTAAGGTTTATTGACGACGCATCAATCACACCATTTATCAGTTACAACTTACAAGTTTGTACTGTAAAACTAAAAACCACTGTCTATCGTTTACCATTAAGCGGGATATATAAAACATTTTAATATTTAAACCCACAATTCCATATAATTAAGAATATATAGTTTCATATTTTGTTCTGTTGAAGAAAATAATGAACTAATGTATTACAATACTGTATGGCCTATGAGGACAATTATATTAATGCTATAATTGTACAACCATTTACATTTATGTAAAAAAAACCATTTACATCTTGTATTAAAAACAATTAAAATATAAATATACCTAACCAACGATCCGTGCCGAAAATATAAAATATCTTACGAATGTTGTTCAGATGCGGTTGGAGTTTAGATGCTCACTTTTATGTGTAGATTCAATTTCCACCGACGGCTGATTGCTCTGCATGAAAATTGGTATCATCGAGTTAAATTCCAAATCCTCATATATTCCATTTTTGTGAATCATGTTGTTTCCTATCTATATTTGTCACATCCTGAAAGATAGTAATTGTGACGTACTAACGAGTCTTCGTTTACTTTAGTCTTTAGATCATTTTTAAATAATTGACTATGACCGTACGTGTATGTTTAACGACCACTGATATCATCAGTTTGACGAATTCAACACTTGGAAAATTCTCAAAAAAATAAATTCGGTTTGCGGTTTGAACTCGTAAGAAAGGGACAAAACTCTGTCCAGCTTGTTTACTACGGCTTAACTCAACCGAAATAGTAAATGAGTCAACGTAGAATTTTTTTATATTTTTTTTTCTTAATAAAGTTTTAATTGACGAGGACATGTTTATGGACAACACAAAACGGTATGCATATTATTCATACTTACTTTGTTGTCCTATACCTTAAAAAATCATTTGTATGATCTTGAAAATGGAATTGAAGAATCTCTTGCCAATCTTGTGGTTTGTCTTTGTAGGCTTTGTTGTTGTGTATGCACCAGAATGTGGCAATAGTGGGGTTTTTGAACCACGTGGCAGGTATGACAGAAACCGTGGCGTTCTCCTCTCTTCTCTTGCTTCTAATGTTTCAGCTCAAGGTGGCTACTTCAATTCTTCGATTGGCCAAGGCTCTGATCGAGTTTATACTATGGGGATGTGCAATCAAGGTGCTCAATCAGAGGTTTGCTACAATTGTATTGACTACGCGTCGAATCTATTACTGGAAAGCTGTCCCAACCAGGTAGAAGGCCTTGCCTGGTCTGAGAAACGGATTGTGTGTATGGTACGATACTCTGACAGTTACTTTTTTGGAGTACGCACGATAGAACCGCATTTTCCTACCCCGAATCCGAACGATATCAGATCCAACTTAGGAGAGTTTAATCAAGTGTGGGAAGGGTTAACAAGTGGTATGATAGCCAATACTACTTCGCCATCATCTAAAAGCAAGTACTACGCAGCTGACAGAGCATCCGTGACAGCTCTCCAGACTATATATGCATTGATGCAATGTACTCCGGACTTATCTTTGGGGGATTGCCGTACCTGTTTAAGGCAGAGTGTTAGTGACTTTCAATCATGCTGCAACGGGAAGATAGGTGGCACTGTGTACCGGGCCAGCTGTCTTTTCCGGTGGGATCTGTTTCCCTTTGCTGAGGCTTTTAGTCGTTTTACGTTGGCACCTCCGGCAGTGACCAATACAACCACTAAGAAAGGTAAGTCTTCCAATAGTATAACTCTAAAGAAGGCTTAAAAAACAAAAAAAACAGTGGATGACTATTGTATTTTCATTTTAATCTTCTCTAACAGATAGCATAATAATCTCAATGGCAATCTTTAAGGCAGTTATTAGCTCCACCATTATTATTATCATCTTGCTACTTCTTGGGCTTGGATTTATTTTTTATAGAAGGAGAAAGAAATATCAAGGTCAGTTGTTTTGTGTTTAATTTATCCATCATTTCCTTTATACATTGGCGGGTGTGGTTATGATTTATATACATTTGTGGGTGTTGCACAGGATCCAATACTACTGATATCACCATAACACGCTCACTGCAATTCGATTTTAAAGCTATTGAAGCTGCAACAAATAAATTCTCGGAGAGCAATATAATTGGTCGTGGTGGATTTGGAGAAGTTTTCAAGGTATCATTTTATCATTTCTATGAGGACCTGATTTTGTAAGAAGTTTGCAGAAGGGATCCATGCAATGGGATATAAATTCATTGTATGTATGTATAGGGCGTACTTAACGGGACAGAAGTTGCAATTAAGAGGCTGTCAAAAGCATCCAAACAAGGTGCAGGAGAGTTCAAGAACGAGGTTGTTGTTGTTGCAAAACTCCATCATAGGAATCTTGTTAGGCTTCTCGGATTTTGTCTACAAGGCGAAGAAAAGATACTTGTTTACGAGTTTGTCCCGAACAAGAGCCTCGATTACTTCCTCTTTGGTATGTGAAATTAGCAAACTTTAAGTGTACATGATATCTTTTATTAGCTTCTCTAACTGAAATCTAAAGTAGCTACTAACTAATTATCGATAGATCCTGTAAAGCAAGGGGAGTTAGACTGGTCAAAACGGTACAACATTATCCAGGGAATCACTCGAGGAATTCTATATCTTCATCAAGACTCACGGCTCACAATTATACACCGTGACCTCAAAGCCAGCAACATTCTCCTAGATATCCATATGAACCCAAAAATCGCTGATTTTGGAATGGCGAGAATTTTTGGGATCGATCAGAGTGGAGCTAATACCAACAGAATAGCTGGAACACGGTATAAGCCTATTACCCTTGTTATGGCCTATTTACTGAAGCTTCAAAAATCTTTTCTTCGCCAGTAAATGGTAATGCACCTAATTTTTCTTGTGTATTACTCTTGTAGTGGTTACATGCCCCCGGAATATGTGATGCATGGCCAATTCTCAACAAAATCTGATGTCTATAGTTTTGGAGTCTTAATTCTTGAGATTATATCTGGTCGAAATAACAGATTCGTCCACCAGTCCGACACTATAGTTGAGAATTTGGTAACATACGTAAGTACCAAAGAAGAACTCTGTTCTTGATTGATGATTACATCTTTAGTTCTTGATTGATATCTAAATTGTGTTACAGTCTTGGAGATTGTGGAGAAACAGTTCACCATTGGAAGTTGTGGATCCAACCATTTCAGAGAATTGTGAAATCGAAGAAGTAACAAGATGCATTCACATTGCACTGCTATGCGTTCAATACAACCCCGCAGATCGCCCAAGCTTGTCGACAATCTACATGATGCTCACTAACGATTCCCATACTTTACCTAATCCTCAACAACCTGGATTCTTCTTTCCAAATAAAAGCAACCAAGAACGAGATGGCATTGAGTCTAGTCAGTCTACGAACAAGTCCAGTTCACAAACTATCAATGACGTAACCATTACAGATCTGGAACCTCGTTGAAGTTGAGATTACATTGACCAGACATCAATCCATTGAGACAGTTATGTACAATGTTTGAGAGAAATTTCTAATTAATTGATATATAATATGTCCAAAACGGTTACCGGCTCTTTGTTACCCAACATTCATTGCTCTGTTTTATCCTCTCTACATACATATTACATACTCTGATTGATATAAATGTTATCCAAACCGGTTAATTACTTAATTTAATAAACCGATATCATATAACCCGGAAAATTAGAGATTGATATGTTGGTGTCACTTGGGCGTCTTTAATCACTGAACTGAAGTTAGGTTTTAATCTCTGTGTGTGTTGTAGACTTACGTGGTTGCTGCTTTACGCTCTAATCAAACCATAATATTTTTTGGATAGTGGAGTTAAATTAATAAAAAAATAGGCAATAATGCTATGAGTAGTCGTATTTTGTCTTTACTTCGTCTTCTCGTCTTTGATGGTGTGTACTCCTCTCTAGCTTCCTTTATCTTAGACTTGGTCAATGGTTTGACTTTTCTCATCACTTATTTTGTTTTTTCTTTGTTATCACAAATGTGCATAATCTCAGCGTATAAGATTCTACAATATCTTATTCTTGGTACCACATCCTTCTTTCATATAATTGTAAGAGTCTTTGTTCTCTAAGTGAAGACAAAATAAAAATAAAAATACTTTGTTCTCTAAGTTTGACTCAACTTTTATGACCGCGAATGCATGTTTAAGGACCACAATTATCAGTTTGACGAATTTAATACAAGATATTTCGGAGAGAAACCTCCATCTGCTGTTTCAACCGGTAAGAAACGGGACAGAGACCAAGAGTTTTTTTTTGTGTGTGTGTCTGGTATAATCTTCGAAGGAAATATGAAACAGAGTAATACCTTATCAACCCTCTGTTTTTTAGTCATCGTAAGCTTCAGTGTTTCTTCAGTTCCCGCACAAACATGCATGAAGAGTGGGAGATTCAGACCCAACAGTACATACGACGCAAACCGCCGTCTCATTCTCTCTTTTCTGCCTTCTAATGTCACGGCTCAAGTCGGCTTCTTCTACAATGGTTCCGTTGGACAAGAACAGAACCGGGTCTACGCAATAGGGATGTGCATCCCAGGGGCAGCTCCAGATGACTGTTCAGATTGTATCAAGACAGTGTCTGATCGTTTGATACAGAGTTGTCCTTACCAGACAGAAGCTTATTCATGGCACGGTGAGCCCACGCTTTGCCATGTGCGCTACTCCAACACTTCTTTCTCAGGATCTGCAACTATGGACCCGTCTGAACTGGTGGCCAACACTGAGGATATCAACTCAAATCTAAGAGAGTTGACGGAAATATATAACGGATTAATCTTTCGTATGATTAATGCAGCCTCCACAGCAAAAAGCACACCATCGTCTAGTAACAATTATTATACGGCGGCAATGGCAGCCGTGCCAGCTTCCGAGAATATATACGCATTGATGCAGTGCACGCCTGATCTTTCTTCTAATTCTGATGATTGTAGAAATTGTCTCCAAGAAAGCACAAATGACTATCAGTTATGCTGTTCTCAGAAGCAAGGAGGCGTTGTTATGCGGCCAAGCTGCTATTTCCGTTGGGGACTGAAAACATTCTCTAAGGCTTTTGGTAATATTACGGTCGCTTCTTCTCCTCCTCAGCCGCAACCTGACAAGAGTAAAAAAGGTCATATCGAAAACGCCACAGAGAGTAGAAAAATCTCAACCGGAGCTTTTGTGGGAATTATATTTTCCATTGTAGTAGCCGTCTTCATGGTCATCATCCTCTTAGTACTGTTTGCTCGGCGATCTTTTGTATGCTTCTCAAGGAAAAAAACAAATCAAGAATTTGGTTTTGATCAATGTGAGTGTTGGTCTATAAGCTTTTCTTTTGCCCCCTTAATTTTTAGCATGCATAGTCTACGACATTAATTAAGAACGCTTATTAAAACACTAATTGTTGGTGATATGATATAAGAGAGTGTGTCTTCAATTTGATTATGCAGCTGGTATTACTGTACATTCCCTCCAAATCGACTTTAAGACAATTGAAGCTGCAACAAACAACTTTGCAAGGAGTAACAAGCTTGGTGAAGGTGGATTCGGTGAAGTTTACAAGGTGTCATATATGTAACTTCTTGCCTTGTCACTTTCCTTGACAAAAAAAATAAAAATAAAAATTCAATGTAACTCTTTGATGTCATTCGTAGGGTATGTTGCCTAATGGAGCAGATGTTGCAGTGAAGAGGCTATCGAAAGCATCAGCACAAGGCGCAGCAGAGTTTAAGAATGAGGTTGTTGTTGTTGCAAAACTCCAGCATAGAAATCTTGTTAGGCTGCTGGGGTTTTGTCTGGAAGGAGAAGAAAAGATACTTGTTTACGAGTTTGTCCCCAACAGGAGCCTCAATTACTTCCTCTTTGGTATGTGAAATTTAGCATATGTCATGATATTTTGTTATGCTTCCCTAATTGAAATCTAAAGTAGCCAATAACTCCTTTTGTATGCAGATCCTACAAAGCAAGGGCAGTTAGATTGGACAAAACGGTACAACATTATCATGGGTATCACTCGAGGAGTATTATATCTTCATCAAGACTCACGGGTCACAATCATACATCGGGACCTCAAAGCGAGCAATATTCTCCTTGATGCCGATATGAACCCCAAAATAGCTGATTTTGGAATGGCAAGAATTTTTGGGATGGACCAAAGTGGAGCTAATACAAAAAGAATAGTTGGAACACGGTATAAGTGAATTACTCTTTAATAAGACCTATGTACTGATAGGGATCTGTAACATACTTAATGTTTTTTTGTGTTTTACTTTTGTAGCGGTTACATATCCCCGGAATACGTGATGCAAGGTGTATTCTCAACAAAATCTGATGTCTTCAGTTTTGGAGTCTTAGTTCTTGAGATAATATGTGGTCGACATAACATATTCTCCAACGAGTCAGATACTACAGCTGAGAATTTAATCACACATGTGAGTACCAAAGAAGAACTAAGTTACTGACTGATGATCAAAGGACTAAACCAACACTACTATCTTATCTATTATTGAGTTCTTGCTTCATGATTTAATTTTGTTACAGGTTTGGAGGTTGTGGAGAAACGGGTCACCATTAGAAATCGTAGATCCAACCATGTCAAATAATTTTCAAACCGATGAAGTGATACGATGCATTCACATTGCACTCTTATGTGTTCAGAAAGATGCAACAGACCGTCCCAAGTTGTCGACAATCATGTTGATGCTCACTAGCAATACCCATCTGTTACCTACTCCTAAACCACCTGGATTCTTGTTTCCAAACGGAAGCAACCAAGAACCAGTATCAGAGAGCACTGATGCAACGGTTTCAGATTTGGATCCTCGTTGAAGTTCCATTGAGAATATTGTAAATCTAGTATGTTATTCAGAAGTTATGTATATCAAACTTTACTTACAGTCTCTATCACTTCTTTCTACATTTGTATTATGAGTTCTCTGTTATGAAAATCTTCTAATTTGTATTTATGGCTCCAGAATCTTTGGTCAATATTACTATAATATTTTGATAGTAATACATGAAAGTTCTCATTTCTTGCATTTGTGGAATATTATATTTTTGACCTTTCTTGTATTTCTCTGTCACATACATATATTGAAATTTTGACGATTTGAAAAGGAGGGAGACGTAGTTACATCAAGACCAAAGAGATAAGAATTGTAAAGCAGCTGTTTGTTTGTGTCTCTTCAAATGGTTTACTTTGACTTTTAATTTAACTTCTTGTGAATCAAGTCATCGCCACAAACCTTCCTCTGTTTTCTAAATAGTGAAAAAACAAATATATTCATTAGCTAACTAATGTGAAACACAAATAGAGGAAAAAAAGATGTCTTCTCGCGCCTCTTTGATCATCCTTTTCCTTTTCTCCTTCCTCACTAGCTTCAGAGTTTCTGCTCAATCAAAAAATGTTTGTTCAAACACAACAACGTATACAAGGAACAGCACTTACTTCACCAATCTCAAAACACTTTTGTCCACTCTCTCTTCCGACAACGCCTCTTACTCCACCGGATTCCAAAACGCCACGGCGGGACAAGACCCCGACAGAGTCACGGGACTTTTCCTCTGTCAGGGTGACGTCACGCCAGAGGATTGCCGTAGCTGCGTCACCTTTTCCGTCAACGACGTACTCAGTCGGTGTCCGAATGAGAGAGAAGCCGTGCTGTATTACGAGGACTGCATGCTCAGATACTCTGACCAGAATATTCTGTCGACCATGAATGCCAATATAGAATGGAAATGGAGGATGTTGAACGGCAATATGTCATCTGACCGAGTAGACCAATACGAAGATTTCGTGTGGTCCACGATGAACCAAGCTGCTGTTGAAGCAGCGAGCAGTCCTAGAAAGTTCTATACGATAAGTGCTAATTGGACCGCACTCCAGACTTTGTACGGCATGGTTCAGTGCACTCCTGATCTTACAAGAATAGAGTGCTTGAGCTGTCTGCAAGAAACCATTAATGGAATGCGTCTTAACAGAATTGGAGCAAGACTTCATTTGCCTAGTTGTAATTCAAGGTACGAGCTTTACAAGTTCTTCAATGAGACCGCGGTTAGAACACCACCACGTCAACAAGCACCATCACCTCCTGGTTAGCTCTTTCTTCTTTTCTTTTAATACATCTGCTCCCTATGATTGATTTTAAAGATTTAATTCATCTGCTACTATCCGATCTCAAGAAAAATAATCTTTGAAACGCAGGGAAAGATGGGAATTCAAATGCATTAGTGGCGTTCATTGTTGTGCCTATTGTAGTGGCTGTTCTACTTTTAGTAGCTGGTTATTGTTTCTATGCAAAGAGGACAAGGAAGTCTTCTACTGCTGCACCAGCCTTTTATGGTAAAGATTCGAAAGATTAACACTGTAAAAGTCTTAATTAATTGGGTTTGATTAGTGTCATTGGTCAGTCTTTTTTTTTTTCTGATTACTATGACTTTTACTGTACATCAGGAGATGATATGAAAACAATAAAGTTGCTGCAACTTGATTATAGAACAATACTAGCTGCAACAAATAATTATTCAGAAAATAATAAGATTGGTCAAGGTGGATTTGGTGAGGTTTACAAGGTACTATCTCTATCAATTCTTTAACTGCGCTTAAGGTTGTGTACTTTTTATTGAGATATTGGGATCAACACATTTGGATAACGAGATGATCCTGGTGAAAACGAATAGGGTACATTTTCGAATGGGACTGAAGTTGCGGTGAAGAGACTCTTAAAATTATCAGGACAAGGTGAAACAGAGTTCAAGAATGAGGTTGTTGTTGTTGCAAAGCTTCAGCACCGAAATCTTGTTAGGCTTCTAGGGTTTTCTCTAGAAGGAGAAGAAAGGGTATTGGTCTACGAGTATGTGCCCAACAAAAGCCTGGATTCTTTCCTCTTTGGTCAGTTGCATTTATTGCTCTGTTTGAATGGTTTTTATGGCCTCCTGAAACTTGTGTGATTGCAAATCTTCTGATGTAACTGTAATTCAATAACGAGGTTGTTTTTGTGCGCACACAGACCATGGAAAGAAAGGTCGGCTGGACTGGACTCAACGATACAAGATCATTGGAGGGATCACTCGGGGGATTCTGTATCTTCACCAAGATTCACGGGTCACAATCATACACCGTGATCTTAAAGCAAGTAATGTTCTCCTAGATGCGGATATGAATCCGAAAATCGCTGATTTTGGAATGGCGAGGATCTTTGGAATGGACCAAACCCATGAGAACACAAGCAGAATAGTTGGTACCTAGTAGGTCTTCTACTTCACTTCTCATAAGTTTTAATTTTTTTTTAAAAAAATTTGCTAATATATATACAATGTTTTTTGTCATGGATTCCAGCGGTTATATGTCTCCCGAATATGCGATTGATGGCCTATACTCAATGAAATCTGATGTCTATAGCTTCGGAGTGTTACTTCTTGAGATTATAAGCGGTAGGAAGAACAGCAGCTTCTATGAGACAGACCCGGAACTTGACTTGGTTACTTATGTAAGTTTTAAGGCAGGTCATGTTTCTAATTTTATTTAGCTCTCTTACAATAAGCAATGGTTACAAGAACTGATTTATTGATTCATAATTAGGCTTGGAGGATTTGGAGTAACGGAACTGCTTTAGACCTTGTGGATCCAAGTATTATAGATAATTGCCAAAAGAGTGAAGTGCTTCAATGCATTTATATCGGTCTTTTATGCGTTCAAGAAGATCCTGCAGAGCGTCCGACATTTTCAACCATCTTTGTGATGCTCACTAGTAACACTGTGCCTTTACCAGTGCCTCAGCATCCAGGTTTTCTCGGGCACAGTAGACCTGAGAAAGATCCGCTTGATTCATATCAATCTATGACAACCAAGTCATATCCAACATCTGTTGATGATGCATCGATCACTGAGTTATATCCTCGTTGAGGACTCGGGTAGCAGCTTAAATAAAACCATATGTAATTCAATTGGGATGGTGTAATCTGATGCAATTTTGAAGTTTGGTTCAGTATTCAATTTGGATTTGGTTTAATTGTATGATTGAAAATAAATAGAAAAAACTTATATATAATCAAAACTTAAATGAGGAAATTTTATATTTTTTCGTTTGGTTTGGTACAATGTAAAATATTTTGGATGAATTTAAGAAAGTTATCATATGATAGAATGTAAAAGCTTTTCAAATTCCTGGTAAAAAATCGTGAAACCAAAATCTTGTATGTTCAACTAAGTAAATTATCTAAGCCATTTTAGAATAAGAGATCATATTGTTATTCAACTAAGAATTTGGAAAAGTCTCTTTCTTATTTCTTATGAAATTATTGCTGAATATATTTGTCTTCAGAAACTGATTTGTTGGTGTTGGATATATTTATTTTAATCACTGAAGGCGACAAAAAAAGGAAGTTTTTAAATACTGAAAATTAGATTATAATTATAGCCTCCAGTGTAGATCGTAGACGCCATTGTTGACTATTCCCAAAAGAGAGGAGAATTGGCTACAGAATTTTCTTATGAAAAAAAATACTAAGACAATAATTATCTTGTCTCTTCGTATTTTGTCTCATCAGTCTTCTAGTCTTTGATAGCAAAGCAGCTAATGACTCTAAGTATTTTGTCTTTACTTCAGTCTTCTACTCTTTGATAGTGTTGCTCCCATTCTTTATTCTTTTGACTTTTGACTTTTCGACGTTACACTTAAAGCCACAAAACCATTCATCATCCTCTGTATAATTGATGGGAGCTTCACTTTCACAATGCCAACCACAAATGTATTTGAGTGACGACCGCATATTCAAGTTTATTGACCACCGTAACTGAGTTTGACGAATTCAACATTTGGGAGTTCGCAAGAGAAGTTAATATATTATTAATCAATGTTTTTAAAATACTAAGACAACGTCACAAATCTCAAAGAAAAAAAAAATGAAACAGAGGAGTTTGTTTACAATCCTCTGTTTTGTCCTCTGTGTTGTTTCAGTCTCAGCACAACAACAATGCATAAACAATGGTAATTTCACACCAAACAGTACTTACGACGTGAATCTCCGATTAATACTCTCTTATCTTCCTTCCAATGTCACGGCTGGAGAGGGATTCTTCTATTCAGGTTCCATCGGGACAGAACAAAACCGTGTCTTCGCAAGAGGGATGTGCCTCCCAGGATCAACTTCAGATGACTGTTCTGTTTGTATCAAGACCGCTTCTGATGGTTTGCTACGGAGTTGTCTTAACCAAAAAGGCGCGTTTACATGGCCAGGTGAGCCCATACTTTGCCATGTGCGCTACTCCAGTACTTTTTTCGACGATATATCCACAGAGCTATACCCGCGTAAGATTATACACAACACTGGAGATATCAACTCAAATGCTCTAACAGAGTTCACACCAATATGGGAAGGCTTAATGGCTCGTATGATTGTTACAACCTCGGTAACAAAAAGCAAACCATCCTCTAGTAATAGCTATTACACAGCTGATGTTGCAGCCTTGACACCTTCCCAGAATATTTACGCATTAATGCAATGCACGCCAGATCTTACACCTCACTCTCGTGATTGTGAGAGTTGCCTGCGACAAAACGTAGGTGACTGTGGTCAGAAGCAAGTTTGCATTGTTATACGGGCAAGCTGCTTTTTCCGTTGGGATTTGAAAAAATTCTCTAAGGCTTTTGATAATATTACGTTGGCTGCTTCTCCTCCTTCACTGCAACCTGCCAAAAAAGCCAAAGCTAAAGCTATTGTGGTAATTCTTGTTCCCATTGTTGTGGTAGTCATCATCATCGTCATCTTTGTACTGCTTGCTCGGCGATATGCTGTACTTTGCTGGAGGAGAAAAAAATTTCAAGAATTTGATTTTGAACAATGTGAGTCTGTTTATATTATTTTCTTTGACCTCTTAACTTTTAGCATGTGTATAGTCTATGGAACATTTATTACAACACTCTCAGATAATGATAGATTGTTTTCTTGGTGATCTAATTTCAGAGAGTGTGTCTTTAATTTTCTTCATATATGCAGCTGGTATTACAACTGTAGACTCCCTGCAATTTGATTTTAAGACTATTAAAGTTGCAACCAAAAACTTTAGTGACAGGCTTGGTCAAGGAGGATTCGGCGCAGTTTTCAAGGTGTCTTTTCTGTAGCTACTTGGTTCATTACTTCTCTTGAGTCTTGACAAACTTGGATTTTACAGAATCAAAGTAACTCTTTGTTGTCACTTGTAGGGTACGTTACCTAATGGAATTGAAATTGCAGTGAAGAGGCTATCCAAAGCGTCAGCACAGGGCGAAGAAGAGTTCAAGAACGAGGTTCTTGTTGTTGCAAAACTACAACATAGAAATCTTGTTAGGCTTTTTGGATTTTGTCTTGAAGGAGAAGAAAAGATACTTGTTTACGAGTTTGTACCCAACAAGAGCCTTGATTACTTCCTCTTTGGTATGTGAAATTAGCAATTGATGAAAGTTTGATAAGTTTCTCAAATTGAATACGAATCGCTAGCTAATAACTATTTTTTGTAAGTACAGACCCTACAAAACATGAGATACTAGACTGGAGTAGAAGGTACAACATTATCGAGGGAATTGCTCGAGGGATTCTATATCTTCATCAAGATTCACGGCTCACAATCATACATCGTGATCTTAAAGCCAGCAACATTCTCCTAGACGCAGATATGAACCCGAAAATTGCTGATTTTGGAATGGCGAGAATTTTTGGGATGGACCAAAGTGGGGCTAATACAAACAAAATAGTTGGGACACGGTACGCACAAATAAACTACCCTTGATATGGCATATGTACTGAAGCTTGAATAATCTATTCTTTACTGTCTACTTAAATCTTGCTTGTGTTTGACTCTTGCAGTGGTTACATGCCCCCAGAATATGTAATGCAAGGCCTATTCTCAATGAAATCCGATGTATATAGTTTCGGAGTCTTAGTTCTTGAGATTATATGTGGTCAAAATAACAGATTCTTCCAGCAGTCAGACAATACAACTGAGAATTTTGTCACATACGTGAGTATCAGAGAAGAACTAAGTGCTTGATCAAATGATTGAATAAGATCTTATCTAGCTGTGGTTTACTTGTATGTGCTGGATTGATGATTAAATTACCTGACAGGCGTGGAGGTTGTGGAAAAGCGAGTCGCTGTTGGAGCTCGTAGATTCAAGCATTTCAGAGAATTGTGAGAAGGAAGAAGTGAAAAGATGCATCCACATCGCACTCCTATGCGTTCAAAAAGATCCGAAAGATCGTCCCACCTTGTCGACAATCCTGTTGATGCTTACAAGCAACACCATCGATTTACCCGATCCTCAACCACCTGGGTTCTTCTTTTCGAATAGACGCAACCAATTACAAGAGGGCCTGGAGTCTAGCCAATGTTACTCTAGTGAAACAACATTTGAAAGAGTTTGACATAAACCATGCGTCAGGGACATTAGTTACAGTGAAACGGTAATGTTTTTATGAGTGCTCTTAGTTCTTTTGTAGTCACGTATCAGCTCCATCATTCAAGTTTGTATGAGTTGTGATATATAAGCTCATCAAACGGTAATGCATTACACACTAATTATCAGCTCCATCATTAGTTCCATTATATGTTTGTATGTTCTACATGGTCTCAGAGCAGGTTTTCCGAGTTCTAATCTAACGATCAAACTCTCTCTGTTATTATCTTTAAGTCATTGAGTTTTCTTTAAAAAAAATGTTAAGCCAAGTGCTTCCGCAATTCAAGTTCATCAACCGCTGAATGTAAGCTGCCAAAATTGCTTATTTTAACTTTTCTTATTTATATATTTAAAAAAAAAAAAACTCAAAAACTTATTCACTATTTTACAATCAAACTAAAAACTTTTTTTTCACATTCTTTTCCTTCAACGTAAAAAGAAAAAAAAAAAGCTTCTTTCAATTTTATTTTGTTTATATGCAATAATTTTTTTTAAAAAGAAAAAAACTGGTTATTCATCACGTATTTTTTAAGTCATGCTTCTTGACTATTGTTCTTTTCCAATGTTTTATTCATTATTTATAAAACAAATTGCACCGCCTTAATATGCAATGTTATTAGATTTATGGCCGTCAATCGCCGCGTTTGTCATGATTGGTCTTAGCTCATCATCATAGTCTACAACAATACCTCCCACGAGCAACACTCCTCAGTTTCTTCAAAGCCTACACTAATAATAATCGAAATCAATCTCAAGCCGCTAATTCCGTTGTTTATTTATTGCCCCCTTGAGATTGAGGGGTCGTACAAGAAGATATCTGGAAGATGCAAATATTTTTCATTTGATGAGCGGTTCTTAAAATCGAGAAAATCATGCAATTTGAAATAAATGTTACTATTGCTTAAATAAAATACAGAATATTAGTGCAGAATATAACGAAACTTACTCCACATACCTTTCTCATATGTATTTGTTCCTAAATTTTCTCAACTAATAAATGCTAGGAAACCGAAAGATGTTAAAATAGCTATTAAATGGCCTAATATGTTTTAGAACTTAATTAATGCATACTAATACATGAATTGTTAATTTGCATCCGAATATTAGAACATGCCCACTAACTATGATTTATAAGAGGAAAAGGCCCAGGAATGAATCCAATTTCAACTTCATTATTTACTGGTCGAAAACATGGAGCTCCACCCAGCTAACAGATACACGCGGATCTGGCCTCCAACGGTCCGTTAATCAATTTTGGATTTCAAAATTTCCAAAAATTACCCACTTCAGTTTTGATTTCTATTTTCGTTTGCCAATAATTTATGGGCAATTTTGGAAATTTTGGCCAAATTTTAGACATGTCAAATTTTGTATCTATATTAACATTTTTGAACTATCTTTTGTGTTATACCCTTTTATTTTATGATATTTTCATAATTAACCCCTTGCCATTTAATTAAATGGAAAAGTTTAAGACAAATTTTGTAATTAAATCATAATAAAATTACAAAATTAGAAATCAGTATTTATTACATTTAACAAATTTCCTAAAATCTCTCCCTAATAAATCAAATATTTCTCCAACATCTTTATATGATCTTATTTGTTTTTAAATTTATATTATTACATAAACATATGTATAGTAAAATTATAATTTTTTTTGCATATGTTACAATTTGAATTTTTGGAAACGGATGTGTTTTACTTAAACGATACAAAAAATGGATGTACTAAAGTATTATTGATAATTGTGTAGCACGGGTCATGTGATGGAACGGGTTATAATTTACATAATTATGAGTATATATATATTTTTACGGGTTGTCTACTATAACTATAACTCACAAAATATTTTAATATGAAATTATACAATGTAAACGAATATTAGGTCAATATCATTTTATTATTTCAAATATTATACTTATTTAATTAATTTGATCAAATTACGATTATATAAAAAAAATTATCATATAATATACTCTACGGGTTAAATCATAGAATTAACAACCCAAAATATAGTAGTAAACTCTTATATACCAAACAAAATAAATAAAATAATATATTTTAAAATGTCGTCTCGCGGTATACCGCGGGTTAAAATCTAGTTTCTCTTTTAATTATAAGAAGATTTTCAAAAAAATGAAGTGGTCCGATGCATTCATATCGGTCTTATATGTGTTCAAGAAGATCATGTAAAGCGCCCGATCTTGTCAAGCATCTTCATGATGCTCACTAGTAATACTGAGACTTTACCAATGCTTTATCAACCAGGTTTTTTCGTGCGTGTTTCAGGATCTATTAACGATGCATCGATCACTGATTTATATTTTCGCTGAATATGGTGTTACAAAATCTGTCGCTGCAAAATCAACTTTAAGCATATATAGTTACATATTTGCTTAAAGTTGGTTGACAATCTACATATTTCTACATATTTCTAGTGGGTGGTCAAACCTAGTAATTAAGTTTTTATATGGATTTTGGTAGCAATCAATCACAAGCTAGAATTATGGAAGTTGAGTGATGTGGTTGATTGATTAGAGTAAATTATTGTGAGATATAAATAAGAATGATGATCGTTTTGACGTTTCCAAATTTGTTAATCATGAGTTTTTCTATATATTTTTGTTCTTAACCAAGTTGATTAATTAGAGTAAATTTGTTAGTCATGAGTCATGAGATATTTTTGTCTTTTCTGATCTCGTTTTTAGTCTATCAAAGTTTCCTGGTTTTGTAATCTGTAGGAAGTGAAATCATTTTTCTTGTTTAGATGCAATTTCCATGTATTGAGAACGTGACTCCATTATTTTTTATCATCTATTGTGAGAAATGGTTTGTTATATAAAGTGAAGCTATAAAATAAAATAAAACATTAAAAATAAACATTAATTTTGACAGTTTCATAATTTTATTCAGGTTATCAAATTTTAGCTGAAGTGTTTAAACAACCTTTTTAACAACTTTATTACTCTCATCATTCCACTTTTCAGCTCAAGTGTTATAACTCGAAGGCATCTTTAGCATTTTGGTTCCGATGGGTACGTTGTGCTTTTCTTTAGAAGTTGACGTGTTGGAAAATCTTAATCGTTAAAAATTAGGTTTGAATTGTCTATGTAGACCCCTACTGATTGTTGATTTCGCCACTACGGGTCGAATAATAATTATGATTTCTTACCATCATGTTCCTCATAAAGAATGCAGACTTTTCCAAAAACACTTTAGAGATTGCCAAGCAGCTTATGATGTGTCTTTGTCTTGACTTCGTTTAAGTCTTCCATAGTTAGTCCTCTGATTGACCAAATTAACTTTTCGACTTTGCACTTGCCTGGAAGAAACAAAATTTTCAATTTCGATAAAAATTTCTGTCTAGATTCGAAGACAAAGCCATATTAATTTTTTAAGGAAAACAATGGAACAGAGGAATTCATACTCAATCCTCTGTTTTATCCTCATAAGTTTTGGTGTTGCTTTAGTTTCCGCACAACAACAATGCATGAACACTGGTACTTTCAGACTCAACAGTTTATACGACGCAAATCGTCGCCTCATCCTTTCTTCTCTTCCTTCCAGTGTCATGGCTCAAGATCGCTTCTTCTTCCAAGGTTCGACTGGTCAAGAACCGAACCGCGTCTATGCAAGAGCGATGTGCATCCCGGGATCAACTTCAGATGACTGCTCTGATTGTATCAAGACCGCGTCTAATGGTTTGATACAGAGTTGTCCTAACCAAACAAGGGCGTTTGCATGGCGAGGTGAGCCTACACTTTGCCATGTGCGCTACTCCAACACTTCTTTCTCAGATGTATCTTCAGAGCTAAACCCGAATAATGTGTTCAACAATAATGTGTTCAACAACACCGGAGATATCAACACAAATCTAACAGAGTTCGCGGCTAAATGGGAAAACTTAACTGCTCATTTGATTGTTGCAGCCTCCACAGAAAACAGCACACCATCCTCTAGCAGTAACTATTACAAAGCTGATGCTGTAGCCTTGACGCCTTTCCAAAACATTTATGCGTTGATGCAATGCACGCCGGATTCAAGTTCTCTTACTCATGATTGTGAAAATTGTCTGAAACAGAACGTAGCTGACTACCAGTCATGCTGTAGACAGACGCAAGGAGGCGTTATTATGCGGGCAAGCTGCTTTTTCCGTTGGGATTTGAAACCATTCTCCAAGGCTTTTGGGAATATAACTGTGGCTTCTCCTCCTCCTCTGCTGCAACCTGGCAAGAGATTCAATGGTATTGTGGCAATTCTTGTTCCCATCGTAGTAGTTGCTTTCATCATCATCATCATCTTAGTACTGACTGCTCGACGATCTGCTGTACTTTGTTGGAGGAGAAAGCCATATGAAGAACTTGATTTTGACCAATGTGAGTGTTTTTCATATGTTTTTCTCTGACCTTTTAGTTTTACTTTTTTACCATGTATATTTAGTCTATGAAATTAGTCAAGAACATTTGATACGACATTATCATAGACTGTCTTTAATTTGATTACGCAGCTGGTATTTCAACAGTTGACTCCCTTCAATTCGAACTTAAGACGCTTGAAGCTGCCACTGATAAATTTGCAATGAGTAACAAGCTCGGTCAAGGTGGCTTCGGCGAAGTTTTTAAGGTGTCGTTTCTGTAGCTACAAATTGGTCCATACTTCTTTTGGAAAAAAATCGGAATTAGCTAGATAGAAGGTAAGCTGATTTTATTATCTCCATGATGCTGTTTTGTAGGGTATGTTGCCTAATGGAACAGAAGTTGCAGTGAAGAGACTATCGAAAGCATCAGAGCAAGGCGCACCAGAGTTCAAGAACGAGGTTGTTGTTGTTGCGAAACTTCATCATAGGAATCTTGTTAGACTTCTCGGCTTTTGTTTGGAAGGAAAAGAGAAGATACTTGTTTTTGAGTTTGTCCACAACAAGAGCCTCGATTACTTCCTATTTGGTCAGTGGAATAATCATCTTAATATAGATTGCAAGGGTATCTACATGATGTTCTTCTCTGTTTGACAGGTATGAGTAGCTAATGACTATTTCTGTATGTGAAGATCCTAAAAAGCAAGGGCAGTTAGACTGGACAAAACGGTACAACATTATTGGGGGAATCACTCGAGGGGTATTATATCTGCATCAAGATTCACAGCTCACAATCATCCACCGTGACCTCAAAGCTAGCAATATTCTCCTAGATGTCGATATGAACCCGAAAATTGCTGATTTTGGAATGGCGAGAATTTTTGGGATGGACCAAAGTGGGGCTAATACAAAGAGAATAGTTGGGACTCGGTACATGCATATAACCCTTTATATGGCATATGTAATGAAGCTTCATTAATCTTTTCATCCGCAGCAATGCACTTAATATAGCTTGGTGTTTTATTCTTGCAGTGGTTACATGCCCCCAGAATATGTGATGCATGGTCGATTCTCAACAAAATCTGATGTCTACAGTTTCGGTGTCTTAGTTCTTGAGATTATATCTGGTCGAAATAACAGATTTGTCCACCAGTCAGACACTACAATTGAGAATTTGGTGACACACGTGAGTACCAAAGAAGAATGACTCTGTTCTTGATTGATGATGAAACGGTTGATTAATTTAATATGATAAAATTGTGGTCGTAACTGTATGTTCTTGATTGATGATTAAATTATATTACAGGCTTGGAGGTTGTGGAGAAACGGCTCACCATTAGAACTTGTGGATCCAACCATTTCAGAGAAATGTCAAACGAAAGAAGTGACAAGATGCATCCACATTGCGCTGCTATGTGTTCAACACGATCCTACAGATCGTCCAAAGTTGTCGACAATCAACATGATGCTCACTCACAATTCCCTTCATTTACCTGATCCTCGACAACCTGGATTCTTCTATCCAAATAGACGCAACCAAGAATTAGATGGCCTGGAGTCTAGCCAGTCCACAAACAGGGTCAGTTCCCAAACTATCAATGATGTAACTGTTACAGATCTTGATCCTCGTTGAAGTTGGAACTGTTTGACATAAACCATGCTTCATGTATGTTAGTTCCATTTTTTGTTTTTTTTTTTTAAATTTACAGTTACTAAAATTCCATAGAAACGGTCATGTAAGATATTTGAGTTATATAGTCAATCAAAGTTTACATACAAATTTTTATCTATGCTAACTTATCAGCTCTCTCTTTTGAAATCTTCCAATTTATATTTTATGGGTTCAGTAATTTGATCAATATACCAAGGGGTTTTTTTAACGTATAAAATTCAAACCGGGTTAGTGAGTTAACCAACCCAATATCTTACCGGACATTTTTGTGAATGTTTCTCCATGAAGAAGTAATAAGACCAACTCCAATAGTAAATCTTTTAACAAGTATGTTGGTAATATTCTAATTACAAAAAGTACAAAAATTGAAACTAAAAACTTATGTAAAATTTATCTTTCCAATGGTAAAGTTTTTAATAAGTTACTAAACACTATAATTTAAATAATCAGAAAATTTGTTTCCTTTTTTATTTTTTTCCTCTACTTAATCATAAGTGTACACATGTATCTAAAAAACAATTTCAAAAATTTTTAGCAAAAATTATTTCTTAGCTTATTGCATGTTTTTGATTTATTTTTTCTCTTTTTAATTCTTAGAAATTTGCTAAAAAACTTGCATTAGAGTTGCTCTAAGTGTCTATCTTTGAATAGTGGAGTTATAGCGTGGACTTTTCTTTCGTCTTCTGAATGATCTTGGCTTTTCTCATAGCCAATCTAGTCCTGACAACGTGTATTTATGGGTGCATCATGACTCATTGACCTATTTTTTTCTCATTTATACAATAATAAAAATCTCAAAAAGTAAATATTTTAAAAGACAATGGCGGAGAGGGTGCCTTTGATTTTCTTCCTTACACATCTTTTATCATCGGGTAAGATTTGTTTTCTCTTCTGATTGCTGATTTTGTTATTGTTATTGTTAATTGTTGTGTTTCTAACCTTGGTTTTGTTCAGGAGTGTTGTCAATGAGTATACTTACCATAGAGAACAAATGCAATAACACAGTTTGGCCAGTTCTCTACTCATGGCAGTCACAGGTCTCCACCACCGGCTTCACTCTTAGAAGCGGGGAAACGCGTGCCCTATTCGCGCCGTCCTCGTGGGATGGTCTTATCTCGGGTAGAACTCTATGCTCCACGGACTCAACAGGAAAATTCTCTTGCCTCACAGGCGATTGTGAATCTGGAGCAATCAAGTGTCCTGGTAGATACGGTTGGTCACCAGTGACATATGTCTACTTTAAAATCGATAAAGGCGGAATCAACAGCTACTTTATAAGTGTCAACTACGGTTACAACCTTCCGTTAATGGTCGTCCCGTCGTCACAGAGTAGCCGGACATGTATCAGCTCAAGATGTGTGGTTGACTTGGACAAGACTTGTCCGAATGACCTTAAGAAACTCGTCGGAGGGAAACCAATCGCGTGCACTAGCGCGTGCCACAAATACAAGACAGATGAGAACTGTTGCAAGGGTGACTTCAAGTCAAAGCAAAAATGCAAGCCGACAGTTTACACGCAGAACTTCGAGCACGCTTGCCCGTCCGCGTTTAGCTACGACTATGACGATAGTAACAGCACCTTCATATGCCCTAACTCAACTGACTTCGTCATAACGTTTTGCCCATCCTCCAATATTCCCAAAAATACCAGGTAAATTCCCGTAAATATCCCTCTCCCTTCCTTTATTTTCTTGGAGTATTTTGCTGGAGTTGATTTCGTCAAACAACACATAAATCCAATCTTACGTTCAGAGCTTATTAGGTAAATAATCATATCTATGAAGCATAAAAGTTACATGTAGGAGGACCCATGCCTTCTTAGGAGTACCACAAAGGTCGTAGCTAAGATTATTTTAGCCAAGACCTAAGCCAATACTAATTTCTTTTCACACACAAAAATAAAAATGTCATGAATATTTGTAACATACCGTATATGATGTAAACTAATTTATGTCATTATGTCATTGGCTTGGAGAAGCAACAGCATAAGCTCGATTGCTCCATTAGCAGGATCAAAACGTAAGTTTTTTTTCTTCTTCATCCTACAAAAATGTATGCGGTTTTTGCTGGTTTTATTAATCATATTTTTCTTTGATACATTTGCAGATAATTCTCAACAGACGTTAAAACCCTTTCTTGGTACGACGTTCATTGCAACCACATCATCTCTCCTGCTCATTCACATTTTTCAAAAAATTTCACTAGAAATTATGTACATGTTGTTAAATGTTATTTCTTTACTATTGTTTTCATGAAGATGATTCTATATATTAATTATTAAACGCAAATGCAAATATATATTAGCCTGAGCTATATACGGATAGTGATACAAAATAAATAATGCTTAGTTTATATATATACTAGAAAGTTGCCCACGCGATGCGTGGGTTATATATGAAATATTAATTTGAATTAGAAATTGAAAACTACATTAAGATATGTAGTTTATAAGTAATTGTTAATATAAAACATATATGTGTACATTATAAACAGTAAAAGTAAATAAAATATATATTTGAGAAATATGAAACCGAATGAGATCAAAACAAAGTGATACAAATTAGCACATACATAATATTGTAGGCAATTGTAAATTGATGTTAATTTATTGTTAATATTAAAAGTAAACAAAACTCATATTTCACCTAAGATATATGATTTTTTTAGACCTTACTTAGAAAAACTTTTTCAATTTAGAAAATATTTCACCTGAGATATAAGAGCTTTTGATTTATAATTATGTAAACACTAAAAAGATAAAACAAAAGCCAAATCAACAGGTGAAGATTATTTGAAAAAAAAGAACTTTGATATTTTTCATTCTAATTGAGTAGAAAAGAAGCTCACATATACGTAGATGAGATCCTTTTATATATATAAAAATTATTGTATGTAGAATTTGTTCAAGAATAAAATTAATATTGAAACCATTTAAGAACAAACATAAAGATTGACATAACTATAAAAGCTAAAGAAATGAATTTATATTCAAAAGGCATCACATGTTTACATCAACATTAACAAAGAAGATGAACGAATATATCTGTCTATTATATGTACATGCCAACAATCATGAAATGCTCTTAAGTAATCGAATTTATGTTCGGTCTCTATAGGAAAATCTAACTTGGGTTAGATATTTATATTGTTATGAAAAGAAAGACTATTATTTAGAACAAATGATTAAATATGATATTAGTGTAGAGTGTAGATTGGATATGATATTAGTGTATAATAACTCATACCTTATTAAATATTATAATTTAATAAGATTTTAGTGAAGTTCATTAATTCATAAAATGTAATAAAAATGTAGTAGGATTTAAATAAAATGTAAAAATTTATGTAAAATAGATGTTTTAATTATGTGATAGTAAATCATATATACATATATATGTGATTTTATATCATATGCAATATGAAATTTTATTATAAAATAATCTGTTTTTTTTGGCAAAAGAACTTTAGGTATTAAAAATTGGATTCAGAAGTAGATGTCAAGTTATATTTATAGGAAAGTAACTTTAGTTATATCTTTTGCTTTACACAAATTAATTTTGGATCCCAATTAATAATTTTACTCATAATAATTTTTTCATAATAATTTTATTTTAATTGTTACCTAACTATATGAATATTTGGAAATAAGATTGAGATAAATGTTTAGTTAGAAATAAACATGAAAATAATTAATAAAAAATAAAGGATAACACGTGTCATCAACAAAGAGCCCCAAATGTCGTAACGTGCTGAAAAGTTAGAAAAAACCTTGTTCAACTGATGAATGAATTAAACTAAATTTAATTTTTATGAACTATATGATTTAAAAAAATTTAAAGACCAATTTTTGAAAACCAAGTACTTTTTGTTTCTTTTTAAACAGTTAGACCTCAAATTTTAAATAAATTAAATATTATAATATTCTATTGGATGACAAACTAAATATAATTATACATATATTGAAATAAATTACAAAATATTATTTGAGATTTTCAAAAAATAGAAGAAGTTATTTGTTAAAGGTTTAAATTGAAACTTTTATTTATATAACAATCAAAACTTTTATTTTACATATGTGTTATATCATACTTTCTTCATTCATACTCATAAGTATGAAAACGTATGTATAATAAGGCATTAGACATAAAAATTGAAAAAGTATGTATAATAAGGCATTAGAAATAAAAATTGAAACTATGTTTGATATATATCATATTTTCTAAAATAAATTAAGATGAAATTCTTAGAATGATACTTTTATTGATTTTCAATCCATATAAAAATACAAAAATAGAAAACTATTTAAGATACATGAATGTAGTGAAGAAGAATGAGAGAGATTAATTATAAGATGGTAATCCAAAATAGACAATAGAGATAAAATAGTATCATATAAAACAATGTAAATATATATCATATAGTGTCAAAAAATAAAATTTAGATCAAACTTGTACAATGCAAATTAAATTTGTTTTTCAACTCATACAACAACAAACAACCAACAAAAAGAAACAGAAAACAAAACAAACTCAATTATAAAAGATTTGAGATAAAGTGGAAGAGTAGGAGGGAATGAGAAAATGAGAAAATGAGTATTTATAAGATGAGAAGTGATGAGAGTTACCATTTAGAAGAAAATATTGTAGGAGTTAATTCTAATTTATTGAGTGTTGACTAAAATTGAGTAGAAAAATATAGTGAATGCAAATTTATATTATTTCAATTTTTATATTAAAGTCTGAGTTAAATGTATATAATTAATTGTGTTTTAATTGAATATAAATATAGATGATCAATTTTTTTTTTTTTATGGCTTGATTAAAATAATTTTTTCTTTAGGTTTATATTAAAGTGTCAGTTTAATATATATAACTAAATGTGTTTTATTTTTGGTTTAGTTGAAAACATAATTTAAAAAAAAACATTTTATAGAAAAATAGAACAATAAGAAGAAAGTGAGACAAACCACAAATAAAACACAATTGATCATATATATCTATCTCTCACTTTAATTTTAAAACTGAAAAATATATATTCAATTAAAACACAATTAATTAGATCTCTACATTTAACTCACACTTTAATATAAGAACTGAAATTATAAAAATTTGCATTAACTATATTTCTGTACTCAATTTTATTCAACACAAAATTAATAAGAATTAACTCCCACAGTTGTTGATTTACTACCAAATAATTAAAACATCTATTTTACTCAATTTGCATACATTTTATTTAAGTTTCTTCCATCATTAAAGTGAAAAAAGAACAGAGTATTTGATAATAAAATAAATATGATGGATAAAAATTTAAATAAAATGTAAGAAAATTATGTAAAATAGATTTTTTAATTATGTGATAGTAAATCATATATACATATATATGTGATATATCATATGCAATATGTGATTTTGTTTTAAAACTTTAGTTATATCTTTTTCTTTAGAGAAATGAATTTTGATCCCAATTAATAATTTTACTCATAATTATTTTTTCATAATAATTTTATTTTAATTTTTACCTAATTATATGGTTATTTGGAATTAAGATTGACATAAATGTTTTAGTTAAAAATAAAAATGAAAAGAATTAATTAAAAATAAAGGATGACACATGTCATCAACAGAGAGCGCCAAATGTCGCAACGTGGTGAAAAGTTAGGAAAAACCTTGTTATATTATATAAGATATATATATCAGACGATGTTTCTTCGTACTATAACCGACATTAAATATTACCTTTTTAAATATCGTAAATTTTAGAAATTTATTATTTCATAACTGATAATTGTTAATAGTAAAAAAAAAAACCAAAATTCTAAAAAGAAATATTCAGAAAAAAGTACTACAAGAAATTGGAATGTCGATCCAATAGTCTGGGAGAGCAATCAGAATACGAAAGTTAGATGCATCCATGAACGGATTATATTAGTTATATAGGTTATAGCTTATAGGACAAACTAAGTAACTAACATTAATTAATGATATTTGTAGATAGGTTTCATCAGTCTGGGGACGTGCTACGCAATTAAACTTAATCCAAAAAAATCATATCTATTTCCACCAGAGTCGGAGTTTTCCCGATTTATTACTGAAACCCGGTTTATTTGCAAAACCAGTGATACTCTAGATACACATGACATTAGCCCACTGCAATGATCATGATCTCCCTCTGCATGACTGCATCTGCCTCTCTCGTTCGTTCAACGGTTAAAACATATGGTCGCGAATGATGATTAACTTCAGCGTTTTCCGGTAGCCCAAAAACCGTTGACTATTTTTTTTTTTTTTTGCGGAGCCGTTCTGTGCCGTATATGTCTAACATAGAGGGTTGAAAGGACCACTTTAACAAATTCAACATTTAGAAATTTTCAGAGAAACTTGGATTTTCTAATAAACCCCTGAAACACTAAGACAAAAAATTAGCGACAATCTTTTTAAAAGGAATAAGACTATGTGATGAACGATTAATTGTATAACTTTGTATGTATTTACTATATAGCTCATTATTCACACCCTTATGTGCGGATGGAGATGGTGTGCAAGGTTATAATAGGTTAGGGCTCACGAGACCGACGACTCCTCGGGGATTTTTAAAGGATTCTTTTAAGCGATTTCGTTAGTAGCCTTATGGCATTTGCGACGTGTTTTGAAATGTTTATTGGTTTTAAAGGTAAGATATTGATTATCAGAAAGCTAACTACTTTGGCCGAGGATGAGTGTTATTGCATTGGTGACTCAACCCCAGCCTATTGGCCTAGTACATTATCTTCGTTATTATTTGAAAGGATTTAAGCACAATAATACTGTATGAACAGAGAAAAATGACTTTATGACTTTTAGATTTTAGATTTTCGTCTCTCTTATTGTGACATTTAGAAAGTTTCCGAGAAACAACAAATGCTGTTTAAATTGGTAAGAAACGAACAGATGTTTAAACACTCAAACAAAGCTATAATTCCTGAAGGCAAAATGAAACAGAGGAGTTTCTTATCAATCCTCTGTTTTGTCCTCCTAAGCTTTGGTGTTTCCTCTGTTTTATCACAAACATGCATACAGAACCGTAAGAATTTCATACCAAACGGTACATACGATTCAAACCGCCGTGAAATCCTCTCTTCTCTTCCTTCAGATGCCGCTTCTCAAGATGGTTTCTACTACGGTTCCATAGGAGAAGAGCCGAACCGAATCTACGCATTAGGTATGTGCATCCCAAGATCAAGTCCAAGTGACTGTTCTAATTGTATAAAGGGCGCGGCAGGCTGGTTGATACAGGATTGTGTTAACCAGACAGATGCGTATTATTGGGCACTTGATCCAACGTTGTGCCTTGTCCGCTACTCCAACATTTCTTTCTCCGGATCTGCAGCTTATTGGGAAATTGAACCGCAGTATTTGGTCTTGAACACTGCAACTATCGCCTTAGATCTAACAGAGTTCAAGACAAGATGGGAGGAGTTAACATTTCGTATGATTGCTGCAGCCTCTACAGAAAGAAGCACACCATCGTCCAATGATAATTATTACAAAGTTGATTATGCAAACTTGACAAAATTCGAGAATATATATGCACTGATGCAATGCACGCCAGATATATCTCCGGATGAATGTGGCAACTGTTTGCGACAAAGCGTGATGGACTACCAGAAATGCTGTGGGAATAATACAGGAGGCTATGTTATGCGGCCAATATGCTTTTTTCGGTGGCAATTGTTTACATTCTCAAAGGCTTTTGATAACATTACTTTGGCTCCAGCTCCTCCTCCTCCTCTGCTGAGACGTCCTGTGACCGCGTCACAACCACCTTCCGCAGGCAACCCGGGCAAGACGCCAGACAAAAGTAAGTCCTTGCAAAGTGATGAATTTGAGTACCGTCACAAGACTCAGTCTATAAGATAAAAGGCTATATGGTTAATTTGTTTTTAATTCTCCAGGTAGTGAAAATATCTCAATGAAAACTATTGTAGCAATTGTTGTGGTTGGTGGATGCATCATCATCATCATCATCATCATCATCTTGGGACTTCTTGCTCACCGGTTTGCTCGGAAGGGAAAACCGTATCAGGAAGTTGAACTTAATCAAAGTGAGTGTTGTTCATTTTTTTATTTATTAGGCCTCTAAGCTTTTAGCAAATATATAGTCTACGGAAACTAACTAAGACCATTTATTACAACTGTAGCTGGTATTACATCTGTCCGCTCCCTGCAATACAAATTCAAGACGATCGAAGATGCAACAAATAAATTTTCAGAGAGCAACAGACTTGGTCAAGGTGGATTTGGAGATGTTTTCAAGGTATCATTTCCTTAGCTACTTGCTTCTCTAGATTAAAGATGGAATTAAAGAGTTAAACGACTAAGCTATGTATATCGTCTGATTGATGTTATTTTTAGGGTACGTTGCCTGATGGAAAAGAAATTGCAGTCAAGAGATTGTCCAGAAAATCAGAACAAAGTAAGAAAGAGTTCAAGAATGAGGTTGTTCTTGTAGCGAAACTTCAGCATAGAAATCTTGTTAAGCTTCTCGGATTTTCCGTCAAAGGAGAAGAAAGAATCATTGTCTACGAGTTTTTGCCTAATAGAAGTCTCGACTACATCCTCTTTGGTAAGAAGGGCTATATTATAATCTCTCAAATGAAAGCTTAGTTCTTGATCACATCGTCTAATGGGTTTATATGAGACATGCAGACCCTACAAAGCAAGGGGAGTTAGACTGGAAAAAGAGGTACAAGATCATTGGAGGAATTGCTAGAGGGATGTTATATCTTCACCAAGATTCACAACCCACAATCATACATCGTGACCTCAAAGCGGCTAATATCCTCTTGGACGCTCATATGAACGCGAAAGTTGCAGATTTTGGGACGGCAAGAATCTTTGGGATGGACCAAAGTGTAGCTAACACTGAGAATCCAGCAGGAACTCCGTAAAATACTCTTATTATGTTTAATGAAATTAAGTTTCAAGAATCTTTTCTTGACCAATGTACGATCTTGCAGCGGTTACATGCCCCCAGAATACAAGGACCAAGGACAATTCTCAATGAAATCTGATGTGTATAGCTACGGAATCTTAGTTCTTGAGATTATATGCGGCAAGAGGAACACGAGCTACTCATCTCCGGTTCAGAACTTTGTCACATACGTGAGTATTTAAAAAGAACTAGAAAACCCTCATGATCTATCTAACTATATATGGCTGTATCTGTAAACTTTTGATTGATCTTTGAATTGTGTTATAGGTCTGGAGGTTATGGAGAAGCGGGTCACCATTAAACCTTGTTGACCAAGCAATTGCAGATAATTATCAGAGTGAAGAAGTAACAAGATGCATCCACATTGCGCTTCTATGTGTTCAAGATGATCCCACAGATCGTCCCGACTTTTCGATAATCATGTCGATGCTCACTAGCAATTCTCTCATATTACCTGTTCCTAAGCGACCTCCATCCCTCATTCCAGACACGCCCACCCAATCTACGTTAGGGTCCAATTCCCAAACTATCAATGATGAAACTTGATCCTCTTTGAAAATGATGTTACATTGGACTTTGTTTGATAATTAACTATGTTTTTTCTTATTTCAGTATAAACTGTATTGAAATTATTCAAAAGTTATGTATATGTGAGCTGTGACGTGTAAGATACTCATCAAAAGTTATGTACACTTTTAGCATTTTCTTGTTTCTAACATTCATATAGTGACGCTCTACAAACCTTGATCTGTTAATTATTCTGTGAATAACGTATCAATCACTTCGCTCATCCCTCAGTTCTTGTCAATGGAGTTCTTTCGTCTATACAGCTCAACTCCCATTCTTCTTCAATAATTACACACTAGTCTTTTAAAACTAAAGATGTTTTTTTCCCAACAAAGATATTCAATTTGATTTTGATAATATTTTAAAGATAGTGATACTCAAATTTGATAGTACATTTAGCTATTAAGAAAATTAAAGTTCTTTAATAATCCATTCCTTTTTTGAAGGATATAATATTCAGGGAGGCTACTTTGAATACTGTAAGTGTAAAGAAAAAGCTAAGGAAAAGGAAAAGAAGAAAAACAAAAAAAGTAGTCTTTCTTGTTATTTAAGCAAAAAGTATTTAGGTTTAGGTTTTAATATTTAGGTTTAACGAAAAGCTAAGGATTCGATATTTAGTTTTAAGGAAAGGAACACGTTTATCAGTTTGACGAAATCATTATTTTGAAATTGGTTGATCACTTAAATTAACAACAAACGTTAGATGATATAATTGCTGTTTAAATAACCTAAGACAAAGCTATAATATTTGAAGGAACAATGAAGCAGAGACTTATATTCTCAATCCTCTGTTTTGGCCTTATAAGCTTCCGTGCTGCTTCAGAGATAGCACAAACATGCACGAGTGACCAGGGGACTTTCAGACCCAACGGTACTTACGATGCAAATCGCCGTCTCATCCTCGCTTCTCTTCCTTCCAATGTCACGGCACAAAACGGCTTCCTCTACAACACCTCCATCGGACAAGAACCAAACCGTGTCTACGGAGTAGGGATGTGCATGCCAGGATCAGTTCAAGAGGACTGTTCTCGTTGTCTCAAGTATGCGTCAGACTGGTTGATAGGGAGCTGTCCTAATCAGATAGCTGCGTATATTTGGTATATTTGGTCATCTGATCCAAAGCTCTGTTATGTGCGCTACTCCAACAGCTCTTTCTCAGGATCTGCCGATCTTGAACCAAAGTATGTAGTCTACTTCACTGCGGATATCACCTCAAATTTAACAGAGTTCAAGATGATATGGGAAGGATTAACACTAAGTATGATTTCTGCAACCTCAGCTTCAAAGAACACACCATCATCTAGTAATAACCATTACAAAGCTGATGTTGCAACCTTCACCAAATTCCAGAATATATACGCTGTGATGCAATGCACACCAGATTCTTCTAATGTTGATTGTGACAACTGTCTACGAGAAAGCGTGTCTGACTACCAGTCATGCTGTGGCCACAAGATAGGAGGCTATACTATGCGGCCAATTTGCTTCTTCCGGTGGCAATTTTATCCATTCTGTAACGTTTTTGATAACATTACAATATTGGCTTCTCCTCCTCCTCCTACGCTGGAACATCCTTCTTTAGCTGTCGACCAATCTAACGCGACAAAAAATGGTAAGTGCTTTCAAAGCTGTGAGTAATATGACAAGAAACACTGTTGAAAGATTCAAAGGTTATACTGCATTTTCCACAGGAAATGGAAAAATCTCAAAAAAAAAGCTATTGTGGAAATTGTTGTTCCCATTGTAGTAATCTTCATCATCATCATCATTGTTTTGGTACTGCTTGCAAGGCGATCTGCTATACTTTGCTGGAGGAGAAAAACATATCAAGAAATTGGTCTTGACCAGTGTGAGTGTTATTCATATGCTTTTCACTGCCCTCTCTTAGCTTTTAGGATATATATCTAGTCTATGGAACTAATTAAGAGCATTTATGACAACAGTCTCTGATGATGATAAGTTGTTGTTGGTGATATGATATCAGAAAATGTGTCTTTCATATGATTATGCAGCTGGTATGACCAATGTTCGCTCCATCCAATTCGATTTGAAGACAATTGAAGTTGCAACAGGAAAATTTGCGAGGATTAACAAGCTCGGTGAAGGTGGATTTGGCGAAGTTTTCAAGGTGTCAATTCTTTGGCTACTTGGTTGTTCATTACTTCTGTTGAAAAACTTGGATTTGCATGAAGATTCAAAGTAAGCTGATATTAGTAACTGATCGATATTATGTGTAGGGTACTTTGTCTAATGGAATAGAAGTTGCAGTGAAAAGGCTATCGGAAACATCAGCACAAGGCGCACAAGAGTTCAAAAATGAGGTTGTTGTTGCAAAACTTCAGCATAGGAACCTTGTCAGGCTTCTCGGATTTTGTCTAGAAGGAGAAGAAAAGATACTTGTTTATGAGTTTGTCCCCAACAAGAGCCTCGATTACTTCCTCTTTGGTATGTGAACTTAGCAAATTTTATGTGTTCGTGATATTTTTTATAAGCTTCTCTAATTGACTGTTCTCGCTCCGAATTTTCTTGAACTGTTCACGGCTTCGATAGCGGCTTGGTTTAGAATGGGCAGAACCAAATCGCTTAACCGGTCTCGTTGGTTGGGTGTAACATTCTGGGTGTTAACTATTGTAACTCCACCGTTGGTTATCAGGGTCGAGAGAATATTCCGGTTAGAGTATCTAAGCACACACTCATCGTAATAGAGCGCGACCTCGCTCTCCTTCGGGCACCGAATTAAAGTATCGTTGACGGAGAATGCTACGCAGCTACGGCAGACTTCCGGTGAGACGTCTCCGCGGCAATTGAAAAATCCTGTGACTCTGTTGGGAGCTTGCCCGGCGGTGGCGCTTTGGAATCCGGTGGAGTAAGAGGCATTGGGGGAAGAGAGAGAGGACAAAAGGGTTCTGAGATTGGTGAGGTAAGTGCTGTTACTTGCGTATACTGTCGTATTAGGACAGCTATGGAATACGTAAGTGGGATCTTGAGCAGAAGCTCCTCTGAAGCTACTGATTAAGGAGAAGAGAAACAGGAAGAAGACAGAGGCGCAAGAAGACATGATTGGGCTTTCTTGATTTGTGTTTCTTATAATCAAGCTTTGGCAAGCCCCGATGTAGGTAACAAAAATTGATTTTGTGTTCTCATCTCTGCCGCTAAAGTAGATAGCGTGAAACAGAAGAGAGGATGGTATTTGTGAATAATGTCGACTAAAAGTCAAGGTCAAAGTAAACGCGTCTTGTGCTCAGTGCTCACTGCTCAACTGAGATGATATAAAGAAAATGGGAACTGAAAAATAATTTATATAACTAAAAGAATAATTTAACACGATATATTATAGGAAAACACCATTGTGTATACACAAAAATTGGCTTTATACATTTTTTCTTTTTTTATAACTAAGAAGTGATCTCAAAGGTTTTGTAAACCGAAAAACTAATCTTTTGGAATTGGAAGAAACTATATCAAATCTCGAATCCCCGTGGCCAATGCTACTCGGACCCAGGTGGCGGGACTTACCTCCCAAAGACTTTATACATTTTTTCTTCTCTTTAAAACTATTAGTTATTACAAATAATGAGAACTAATACAAAAATATTCTACCAATTCTTTCTGACTTTATTAAATTCCCGATTGATAACATTTCTTTCTATATGCTCTAGGGCATTATAATCACTAGCTCTATATCCTTTTACTATGCTAATGCTGTAGGGTTTTTGGATCAGTACATCCTTTTACTATATATGTTAATGCTCTAACAAACACTATATCTTTTTACTATGTTAATGCTATAGAGTTTTACAATCAGTATATGAATATCCTTTTAGATTGATTGCCCCTTTCTAAAGTTCTCGATTCGTGGAGAGAAATCGTCAATTCATTACAATAACAGTACAAAAATTCTACAACAAAACTGTTTAACATATTATCAACACCAATAGATTCAGGAATCAGGCATGAAAAGGTAATCATTCATCTTCAACGAGGATATATATCTGTGATCGATGCATCATCAACAGACCCTATAAGAGACTTGGTAGTTGAAAATTGGTCCGTATCAAGCGGGTCCTTTCCAAGTCTACTCTGAAAAAAGAGACCTGGTTGTCGTGGCACGGGTAAAGTCACGGTGTTACTTGTGAGCATCAGAACAATGGTTGACATTGTCGGACGCTCAACAGGATCTTCTTGAACACATAAAAGACCGATATGGACACATCGAACAACTTCATTTCTTTGAAAATTATCTGCAATAGCTGGATCCACGAGTTCTAATGGTGTCCCGTTACTCCACAGCTTCCAAGCCTAGAATATCAATAGATCAATCAAACACTTGCAACTATAGGTAAATATAGAACTTGATTGGCTCAAAACTTACATATGAGACCAAATCATGTGCTCCGTCTGTTCGGTAGAAGCTGTTAATCTTCTTTCCGCTTATAATCTCAAGAACTAACACTCCGAAGCTATAGATATCAGATTTCATTGAGTACTGACCATGCATCGCATACTCAGGAGACATGTAACCACTGTAACCAAACAAAACTATGTTAGCAAAAGTGTTTTCAGCAAACTTCAACTTATGGGAAATTACTCGGTAGACTTACTAGGTGCCAACTATTCTGTTTGTATTCTCCTCAGTTTGGTCCAATCCAAAGATCCTAGCCATTCCAAAGTCTGCAATTTTAGGATTCATATCCGCATCCAAGAGAATATTACTCGCCTTGAGGTCACGGTGTATGATTGTGAGTCGTGAATCTTGGTGAAGATACAGAATCCCTCGAGCAACTCCACCAATAATCTTGTACCGCCTAGTCCAATCCAGCTGACCTTGCTTAGCAGGGTCTGTCCACATCCATAAATCACAGTTAGCTCGCAAGTCGCAACCCCAAGTGTCAAAAACAATTGAAACAAAGACTTAAATAAAACTAACCAAAGAGGAAGTAATCAAGGCTTTTGTTGGGCACATACTCATAGACTAGCACCCTTTCGACTCCATCTAGACAAAACCCTAGAAGTCTAACCAAATTTCTATGCTGTAGCTTTGCAACAAGAACAACTTCGTTCTTGAACTCTGCTTCACCTTGTCCTGATGACTGTGATAGCCTCTTCACCGCAACTTCAGTCCCATCCGATAAAATACCCTGTTGTTTTCATCAGCATCATCCCATTAAACATACAAAGTTTTAAGTAAAAATAAAACACAGCTCAAGGCAGTTAAGGAATTGTAATTACCTTGTAAACCTCACCAAATCCACCTTCACCAATCTTATTACTCACTGCAAAATCATCTGTTGCAGTTTGAATTGTTCTATAATCAAGCTGCAGTGAGTCTGCGGTTGTGATATCATCTCCTGTTGCACGATTAAAGTCTTAGAAGAAGGGAAAAGAAACACAGCATTGGCATTACAGATCGTTCATCACTTGAAATCTTTACCATCAAATGCAGATGTGGTGCCGTAACTCTTCTTTGCCCTTCTTGCAAGGAAACAGTAACCAGATACGAAAAGCAGAACAACCACTACTATAGGCACAACAATGGCTACCACTAACACACTTGAATTCCCACCTTTCCCTGCTTTCCAAAGATCATTTTCTTAAGATCAGTCAATGGTAGACGAATAGCAAATCGAAATTCTTACAAAATAACAACAAAACTTATCTACTTTGGTTCTGTCAATTTCGAGAAATCACGGAAACATGACAAAACAGAGGAAAAAAAACAGAGCTCTGACCAGGTGGCGGAGGAGCTGACACCGGAGGAGTAGAAGCTGGCGGAGGTGGTGGTGTTCTAACGGCGGATTCGTTGTAAAAAGGGTAGAGCTCGTATCTTGAACTACAGCTCGGCGTAATTACTCTGGCCCCAAGTCTATCAGTAGGTATTTGATTGATGATCAGCTGCAGACAACGCGAACAGTCTTGTCTCGGCAGATCAGATGTGCACTGAACCAGTCCGTACAAATCTTGCAACGCAGTAATATTTGCTTTGCTGGTACCGAAATTTCTTGAACTGTCCTCGGCTTCGGTGAGGGCTTGGTTTAGAGTGGGCAGAACCAAATCGCTTAACCGGTCTCGTTGGTTGGGTGTAACATTCTGGGTGTTAACCAAGATAACTCCACCGGTGGTTATCAGGGTCGAGAGAATATTCCGGTTAGAGTATCTAAGCACACACTCATCATAATAGAGGGCGACCTCGCTCTCCTTCGGACACCGAATTAAAGTGTCGTTGACGGCAAAGACCACGCACCTACGGCAGACTTCCGGCGAGACGTCTCCGCGGCAATTGAAAAATCCGGTGACTCTGTCGGGAGCTTGCCCGGCGGTGGCGTTTTGGAATCCGGTGGAGTAAGAGGCATTGGGGGAAGAGAGAGAGGACAAAAGGGTTCTGAGATTGGTGAAGTAAGTGCTGTTCCTTGTGTAAACTGTCGTATTAGGACAGCTGTGGAATACGTAAGTGGGATCTTGAGCAGAAGCTCCTCTGAAGCTACTGATTAAGGAGCAGAGAAACAGGAAGAAGACAGAGGCGCAAGAAGACATAATTCGGCTTTCTTGATTTGTGTTTGTTGTGATCAAGATGCTTTTGGAAGCGCCGAACGATATAGGAAACAGAGGAAATGTTTTATGAAGAGGGACGAGGAAAAGTCAAGGTCAAAGTAAGAGAAGGCGTCATGTATTGAATTGTGTCGGGTCCAATCCAACTTGCTGTGTTCACGGTTCACCTACTAATCCGTTAATGATACGCATAAAGTAATTACAATTATATAAAACTAAGAAACTACTTAAAAAAAAAAATATAGAGTATCAAGAAAATAGTCAAAATTTAAATACATTTAAATCTATAAATATAAGCTTTAAATTGAGAAGGACAAGTGGGTTAGTGGTTCTCACCTCTGTTGCCTTCTCACCAGATCCGGGTTCGAGTCCGATCCCTCTCGAAGAGAGACGTATAATTTGTAATGATGACAAAAAAAAAAGCTTTAAATATAAGCACAGAGATAGACGGTTGGATTTTTCAAGGAGAAATAAAAACTTAGCATTGGCATGATTTCATCTTAATTACTACTAGTAAACCATATAGATCTAAAATATGAGGAAAAATAGATGTATATTTTTTTTCTTGAATAGACGTGGTGGAAATTTGGAATCTCTGTTGACTATTTCTTCAAAGAACATTCTCGCCATATGATACGGGAAAAATTCTATAGGGTTGTATGGTAGGTAATAATGTAATGTTGTATCGCCTATGTTGAGAAGTATATCATAATATGTATGCTACTCTTTATTAGTTTATTTAGCGAGACTAATGTTTACCAAACTAATTGTTTTATACTATTGTTTCAGTTAAACTATTTTACTCTTTCCATAATTTTCCTACTCACGAGAAGTCCAATAACTTCATTTTCCACATGATGCCGTTCCATAATGATTCCATATATATTAATTTCATAATGTGTGATTCATGTATTAATTTAATAAGCATGTGAATTTAATAGTCAAAACTAACATCGACATTATGTCTTCAACGAATTTTCAATTTTGCACAAATAAGTTCCAATTCCGTGCTAAAAAAAAAAGCAATAGTTTTTTCTTTTTTTTTGGTTGTTGTCTATGAGTATGTATATATATGGATGTGAAATATTTCATAAATATATAGATTGTCATTAGTTCCATCTCGTTGCATGGACTATGAGACATTCGCCGTGACTTCTCCATCAAGAAAGACTCTACTATGTTAATGCACTAGGGTTTCACAATCAGTAGATCCTTTATTAATACTACAATGTCAAAAAAAAATTGAAACATCCTTTATTGTTGGTGGTATATAGGTTCTCATGTCCAAGTACAAAACGGTAAAGGCAGCAACGCTGCTCCGTAACGTAATGCATGATACGGGCATATGAGACCCCCGCCATGACTTCTTCGTGAAGAAGACCTAGCATTGTTAATCTCTGACGTATACTTTAGGGTTATACAACACAAGATCCTTTTAGATCGATTGCCCCTTTCTCAAGTATTACTCGTCACTTTTCTCAATATAAAAAAAACACGGTGTTCAAAGACAAATCTGAAGAACAAGAAAAGACTATTCAAAAGACTACTATAAAGTTTGGGAAAACAAACAAACTTGGCACGAACTTAATCTCTGACGTATACTTTAGGGTTATACAACCACAAGACTCTTTAAGATCGATTGCCCCTTCGTCAAGTATTCGTCAGTTTTCTCAACGACAAAAATAAAAACGTATTCGAAGACTAATCTGAAGAACAGGAAACGACTATTCAATACACTACTATAAACTTCAGAAAAGCAAACAATTTTGGCAAGAAAGTAATAAATATATAACCTAGAGGCTCCGTATGTGTATATATATAATTCTATGAGGCGGTGAATACAACACCAAAGCCCTTGTTCTTTATTTTTTTGTTGGGCTAATTCAAAACCCTAGTTTTAGACTTCTAAGCCAAGAAAGTACTAAATTCTAGAAAAAAATAAAAGCAATCGGCTTTATTATGTAAGCGTATCTCTTATTAAGATTAGTTTATGGGCCTGCCAATAAGACCGGAGCTAGAGTTGGAAATCAAATGAGGACTCGGTCTATGCTCTTCGTCTTTGTTGTTTTGATCTAATGGGCATGGCAATTACTTTCTAGTTTTGTGGGTTGTGGCCATGCATCGAGCCACATAGTTTTAGGTGCTACTGTTATCCACATAAAAATGAGGCGAATCCATTTTAATTAAAAAATTACCATTGTAATTTACTAATTCTTTGCAAGGTTTTGCTAAGTAGCAAAATACAGCTAAAAAAAGGGCTGAAAGAGTCCAGGGAAAGAAAAATCCCACATAATTCAGCTCCAAACTGTAGTTTAGCCACAAAATTATTTTAAGTTATTCGTGGCTGAATTTATAAACCACAGAATTTTAGAGATCAATCAATATTTTATGTGTGTCGTAATCACTGAATTCTTGTAGTATATTGGTCGTTGGATTGCATGTTGGATCTTTGATTATTCACAACCCATCGATCTCATCTAATTACATAGCGTAATTGATCTATATTGGTGTTGACTCACACATAAGATAATTGAGTCAACCGTAAGATAATTGCAAATATATGGCACCAAGACGAAAATGTCATAGAAATATCCTAGGCAGATGCACATGCATTTGGAACAAAACAATAAAAAAAGGATTAACGACTAGAAAAAGATAGCAAAAAGATTAAGACCAAGAATAATATAAAGAAAGCGAAAGAGGAATATGATAGTAACGGATTGAAAACAATGAAAAGTCCCGTCAAATCGATTGGAAAAAGCTAGCAGAGCAACACTATCAACGACTAAGACGAAATTTAAAACACAAATACGAAGAGTCGTTGGCTGCTTCACAACTATTATCTTATCTTTTAAATTAAAGTATCGTCTACTCCACACTTTTATATACGACAAATCAATAAAAGAACAAAAAAAGAAGAACGTGAATGTAAAACATGCATGGAGTCATTTACATTTATGAGACATATTTTCAGATTGAAATATAAATTAAGGAACATCATAACGTAATTGAACTGGCCAACTAATGGCTGTGAAATTAGCTTTCTTTTGTTAATTTATTAATCTATCAGTTATTTCCTTTCATGCAAGAAATAATTTTTTTTTTTATGTTTTTCGTTTTTGCGTTAATCAGGATTCAGGTGACTGACACAAACTGAAGAAGATGAAATTAGGTATTAGAACATAGCAAATGAAATTCATAAAATAAAATAAAAAACCATCTAAAATATATTTCAATTAATGCAAGTCAATCTAAACTGCTTGAATGAAGTTACGTCAAGTAGAAGTCCTTTTTGTAGTTAAGAGTTGACGTGGACTTGTAAGAAGCTGTGTATAAGATTTATCAAGCATATATAGCCTCTTGATTTGCATCAGATTACCCAAAGAAAAGAAAAAGAAAAAAAAAAGAAAGAAAAAAAGAAGCACAGAGACATTCATGGCTAAGTGTTGGAAAATGTCTGCTTGTGATTTCCTCTTCCTTCTCATCTTCCTTACAAGCCTGAGACCTTCTATACAGCAACTTAGACCTGAGTACGTCGGTCATAAATGTTCTTCAGGGAGATCTATTTACCTCAAAAACAGCACATACTCTTCCAATCTCAAAACCCTTTTGTACTCTCTTTCTTCTGAAGATCACAATCATTCATCCTCCAATGAATTTCTAAGCCTTACAGAAGGACAAAACCCGGACATGGTTTTCGGACTTTACCTCTGCCGGGGAGACTTGTCGCGTGAAGTCTGCCGTGATTGCGTCAATTTCGCCGTCTATGACATTCTGAATAAGTGTCCAAACGAGAAGGAGGCTTTGATTCATTACGATGAGTGCTTGCTGCGATACACTGACCGGGATATTCTCTTGGATCCTATAACCACAGCTGATATTTTGAAAATAAATCAACAAAATATTGTGGCAAACCAATCAGTTCGGTTCAATGATGAACTCCTTTCTTTAATTAACGAAACTTCAAAGACGGCTGCTAATAGCTCAAGAAGATTTGATGCAAAAAAGGTGAATTTCACATCGTCAGAAAACATTTCTGTAATGGCTCAGTGCATACCTGATCTGACAAGAGAGAATTGCTCAAGCTGTTTACAACATGCCATCAAGAAAGTGCCTCGTGACAAAACTGGAGGAAGCCTTCTCTTTCCAACTTGTACGTTAAGATACGAGCTTATGTCTCTCTACAATGAAACCAAGCCAAGTCAAGCTCCTCCTCCTACTCAGCAGTCTGGTAAGTGACTCTCTCTCTCTCTCTCTTGTATTTTCTTTTTTTTTATTGTGACGTTCAAGATTTAAGAAACTATGTAGTGTCTTGTCTTATCAATGGTTTATACAGGAAAAAACGGAAACTCAATCGTGATAATCATAGCAATTGTTGTGCCACTAGCTGTCTATATTCTTCTTTTTGCTGTTCTTTCTAGCTTCCATTTGATAAATAGAGCGAAGAAGACTTATGAGACAGCAGCTGCGGATGAGGGTAAAATATTTCTAAATACACTAGTATTTTGTTACTTAGACATTTTTTATGGAGCTTAATGCTTAACACATGATATGGCAGATGGAGATGATATTACAACTGCTGGCTCATTGCAGTTTGATTTTAATGCTGTTGAAGCTGCAACAAATAAGTTTTCGGAAAGTAACAAACTTGGTCAAGGCGGATTTGGACAAGTTTACAAGGTATATATACCAGTTTTTTGTGTTCCATAACAGATCCATACATGGTAATAGTTTCGGTTAAAAAGTATACATAACCTTTTTTTTGTTATGAAATTATACAAATTCCTAGGGCGTATTTCCTAATGGATTACAAGTTGCAGTGAAGAGACTATCGAAAACATCAGGACAAGGTGAAAGAGAGTTCAAGAATGAGGTACTTGTGGTTGCTAAACTTCAACACAAAAATCTGGTCAAGCTTCTCGGATTTTGTTATGAGAGAGAAGAGAAAATACTTGTCTACGAGTTTGTGCCTAACAAAGGCCTTGATTACTTCCTCTTTGGTCAGTTTTACAACATTTTAGCACAATATTTTTCATTATTCGGACCCTTCATTCACTGTTTGTTAACATTGTTATTGCAATGGTATAGACTCTACACTGAAAAGCCAACTTGAGTGGACAAGACGGTACGAGATCATTAAAGGAATTGCTAGAGGTGTTCTTTATCTTCATCAAGATTCAAGACTTACAATCATACATCGTGACCTCAAAGCGAGTAACATCCTCTTAGATGATGATATGAATCCAAAAGTTGCTGATTTTGGAATGGCGAGAATTTTTGGTATGGATCAAACAGAAGCCAATACGAAGAGAGTAGTTGGAACCTAGTAAGTTTTCCCATACTAGTTTATTGCCTTTGTAGACTTGTAACATGCATCAACTCAAGTTTTGAGTTTTGTCTTAGTGGCTATATGTCTCCAGAATACGCGATGTATGGCCAATTCTCCATGAAATCAGATGTCTACAGTTTCGGGGTCCTAGTTCTTGAAATAATAAGCGGCAGAAAAAACAACAGTCTCTATCAAATGAAGGACAGTGCTGGGAATTTGGTTACATATGTGAGTATATACACCGTACCCTTAAAAGTTCCAATCTCTTGCTTCGTTTAAATGACCAACATTTTAATTATTAAAATGTTTACTAGACTTGGAGACTATGGAGCAATGGATCACCACTAGAGCTCGTGGATCCATCTTTTCAAGAGAACTATCAAGTAAACGACATTACTAGATGCATCCATATCGCTTTGTTATGTGTTCAAGAAGAAGCTGAAGACCGTCCAACCATGTCAGCAATCAACCAAATGCTTACTACTAGTTCAATCGCTCTTGCCACTCCTCAACCACCTGGATTTTTCCTCCGGAGAAAACATGAAGAAGTAGTATCAGGAGCAGGTCCATCCACTGGATCGTCTGTTCTCTATTCCATGGACGACGCTTCCGTTACTCATGTAACTCCTCGTTGAAGACAAAACGCTTTACAAAGATTAGTAAACATCGACAGTGAAGAAAGAATTTCTTAGTTAATTGTTCATAACTTTCTTAAGTGCCAGTGATGGTATAAATTATACAAATATTTAATATTGGTTTAGTTTAAAATAAAGTATTATTAGTTTGAAATGTTAATACTAATACATAAATTTAGTTAAGTACAGAACTATAATTATTGTATTTCAAGAGTACTGAAATTACTCAAAAAACCTTGAGAAATATGATTTAACAACATATAACGACAGAACAGAATTAACATGATGTTACATAAATAATATTGTCATGGGATCGAGGCATCATCCACTGAGCAATGAAAAGAACTGTCTGGATCGGCTCAGCTCTTCAAGAAAACTCCTTTCTGTTTAGACTTTCTGATCTTGTGCGTAAAAAGTGCTAGAACAAGTAATACCAAGAAGATGATAATGATGGGAACAACGATTGCCACAATTATTCCTGCACAAGCCCGGATAGAGGCGACAGTTGAAACAAGAAACATAATTCATCTAGTGGTTAGATATGTTTCAAGCCATCTTTAAATCATGGGGCAACATCCAGACAACTTACCTCTCTTGACTGTGTTGGTCCTGTGGCCTACCGAAGGCGGGAGAGATGTCGGGGGTTGAGCTAACGGTGTCAAAGAAAGGTTAAAAGCCTGAGAAAAGGGATAAATTTCCCATCTGAAAACACAGCTGGGACGGTAAACAATTCCACCTTGCTTCCCATGACAGCATAATTGATAGTCTCTGACACTTTGACTTAGACAAATGTTGCAATCTCTTAAAGATATAGATGGAGTGCATTGCATTAATGCGTATATATTCTGGATTGATGACAAAGGTACTGCTTCAGCGGCATAGTACTTTTGTTCAGATGACGATGAAGTAGCTCTAGCTATCATACGACTTGTTAAGCCCTCCCACAATGTATCGAACTTTGTTAAATTAGATCTATATTTGATATCTCCAGTATTGTACAGGATATACTTTGGTTGCATCTCAAGTGATCCAAAAAACGAACGGTTGGAGTAACGTACCATACAAAGAATCCCATTTTCAGGCCACACGAGGCCTTCTGTCTGGTTGGGACATGTCTCAATCACCTCATTAGAAGCAAGGTCGATACAGTTTGAACAAACCTTTGGTTCAGCACCTTGGATGCACATCCCCACTGCATACACCATATCGGGTCCTTGTCCAACCGAAGCATTGTAGAAGCCGCCTCGAGCTGAGACGTTAGAAGCTAGAGAAGAGAGGAGAAGGCTACGGTTCTTGTCATACTGCTGATTTGGTTTAAAGAAACCTGTTTTCCCGCATGGTGCATACACAACAGGAAAGCCAACAAGGAAAAACCAGAAAAGTGGCAAAAGATTCTTCAGTTTCATTTTCAAGATTATACAGATGCGGTTTGTGTTAGGACAGGAAGCAATTGTGTATGTATGTGTATATGTATATTTCTGTCCATCAATTCCTCTTTGTCAACATATTGCCACTGCAAGTTGTCCATGACACGTTGGTCCTTGTGTCTTCATCAACGTTTACTGGGTTGACTCAAGCTGGTACTGGTACAAAGATTGTTGCAATTATTTGAATGGATCATGTGGCACTCACAAATACACGTTACAGAATATCATACGCAGAGATTGAAAGGATTTTGTATGAGAGAAGTCATAAAAATTCATACCAAATGGAAAATTAGTCAATTTAGATAAAGCAGAGCAACATTATCAAAGACGAAGACAGAGCAGAAAGACTCATTAGCTGCTTCACAATTCTTATCTCCTTATTACAAAAATCTCCTTTTTATTTTATTTTTGGAATAGCACTGTCTCCAAATTATACACTCAGATACAACAATGAAGAACATAAATGTAACAACTAACAAATAGAGTAAGTAGTAACTTACTCTTATGAAATCAAAAGGTGGTCAAACGGGCTAGTGCATGCATCAACTCCCAAGAAAAAAAAACAAAAAACAAAAAACAAAAAAAAACATAGAACCATACATCAAAATTTTTAATTATGCATAATGATATTATATCCTAAAGTCCAAACGAAATGTCCTAAACGAGCTACCAAAATTTGTACAATTAGCATCATATGGTTATTGAGATAATTTTACGTTGTTGGAAAGATTTGAAAATATCATTACTTCATTAGAAACTGTAGATCGTCTATAAATTTATTCATATTGTATTTATAGACAATAAATTTCTTAACATGCTGGTATAACAACTAGAATAGTATTATACAGCTGAAAAGTCGAATGATAGATAGAAGCTAAATCAACCGTTTCATAAGTGCTAGCTTCCCAAATAGAAATGTCTGCTTACGCCTGTTTCATATTCCTTTTTGTCTTCTCATCTCTCACGAGCTCCACTGTTTGGGCTCAAAATCATACTTATGTTGGCCATGCCTGTCGGGATGAGAGAACTTTCACTAGAAACAGCACTTACTTCACCAATCTCAAAACCCTTTGGTCCTCTCTCTCTTCCCGCAACGCCTCTTACACCACCGGATTCCAAAACGCAACGGCTGGACAAGAACCCGACAAAGTCACCGGACTTTTCCTCTGCCGTGGAGACTTATCCCCTGAAGTTTGCCGTAGCTGCGTCACTTTTTCCATAAACGAATCCTTAACTCTGTGTCCAAATCAGAGAGAAGGCGTGCTCTATTACGATGAGTGTATGCTCAGATACTCTGACCGGAATATTCTTTCCACCGTGTCACTAGACGGTGTTGGTCTCGGTGCACTGTCCACTAGTAGCAACAAGGATGTTCCATCTAACCAATTCCAACTATTCAACAAGGTGTTGCTACTCACCATGAACCAAGCCGCCAGCTATGCCGCGGTAAGTTCTAGAAAATTTGATGCGAGAAAAGCCAATATCACAGCATCCCAAACTGTGTACGGATTGGTTCAGTGCACTCCCGATCTGACAACACAAGACTGTTACACTTGTCTGCAAAAAGCCACCAATCAATTAGCCACTAACAAACTTGGCGGAAGGAGTCTTTTTCCGAGTTGTAGTTCCAGATTCGATATTAGCCCATTCTACAACGAAACCGCCGTTAGACCTCCACCACCGCCAGTTTCAGCTCCTCCACTACCTAGTCAGAGCTCTCTCTTCTTCCTCTGTTTTTATATCATAGTATGATCAAGTTTTGTCCTTTTATTGGTTTTAGATTTTTTCTACTTCTGTCTGACACTATTTTTATCTTTGAAAAGCAGGGAAAGGTGGGAAATCAAAGTTACTAGTCTTACCAATTGTTGCGTCTACTATAGTGGTTGTTCTACTTCTCATAGCTTGTTATCGTTTTATTTCAAAGAAGGCTCATCATAAGGCGCCTGCATTTGATGGTAAAGATTCATATGTTGAATTATCTATGTTGGGTCTCGCTGAAGGTCAATGCTCAGCATTTTCTTAATCTTACAAACACTTTCCATTGTGCAAAAGGAGATGAAGGAGCAACCGCAGACTCGCTGAAACTTGACTACAAAACAATTCAAGCTGCAACCAATGGTTTTTCAGAGAGTAACAAGATTGGTCGAGGTGGATTTGGCGAGGTTTACAAGGTACTATTGATATTAGTTCCTTAGTTAGCACCTGAGATAGGGTGTTTTTTTCATGAAACTTGTGCCATCACATTTTTTTAACTAATGAGGATGCTAATGAAATGGTAGGGTACTTTTTCAAATGGGACTGTAGTTGCGGTGAAGAGACTGTCGAAAACATCAGGACAAGGGGAAGTAGAGTTTAAGAACGAAGTTGTAGTGGTTGCAAAGCTTCAGCATAGAAATCTGGTTAGGCTTCTCGGGTTTTGTTTAGAAGGAGAAGAAAGAATACTAGTCTACGAGTTTGTGCCCAACAAAAGCCTCGATAGCTTCCTGTTCGGTCAGTATCATTCAATGCTTTGTTTCAATGGTTTTCTAGCCATTTCTTGGAAGCTGGTGGTTTCAGATATGTAGAAGTAATGGTAATATATGAACGTGCACAGATCCTTCAAAGCAAGGTGAGCTGGACTGGACTCGACGTTACAAGATTATTGGAGGAATTGCTAGAGGAATTCTATATCTCCATCAAGATTCACAGCTCACAATCATACACCGTGACCTCAAAGCGAGTAACATTCTCCTAGACGCAGATATGAATCCAAAAATCGCTGATTTTGGAATGGCAAGGATATTTGGAATGGACCACTCCGCAGAGAACACAAACAGGATAGTTGGAACCTAGTATGTCTTCCCCTTCACTCCACATATATGTTTGATGGACATTTTTTTCCAAATACTTCAATTTTTTTGTGTTTCAGTGGGTACATGGCTCCAGAGTATGCGATGCAAGGTCAGTATTCGATAAAATCGGATGTATATAGCTTTGGAGTGTCAGTACTTGAGATAATAAGTGGCAAGAAGAATAGTAGCTTCTACCAAACAGATGGCGCACATGACTTGCTCTCATATGTAAGTTTAGAGTTAGTCGAGTTTCATATCACTTCTCTTACAAAAAAAAATTTAAGTATTGAATGATTGGCTAATATTCTAGGCTTGGAGGCTTTGGAGAAATGGGACACCGTTAGACCTTGTGGATCCGGTTATTATACATAATTGCCAAAGGGATGAGTTGGTTAGATGTATCCATATCGGTCTTTTATGTGTTCAAGAAGATCCTGTAGACCGTCCAACCTTATCAGCCATCGTTCTAATGCTCACTAGTAACACCGTGACTTTACCGGTGCCTAAGGAACCAGGGCTTTTCTTTCAGAGTAGATCCAAAGAAGGCCTGATTAATTCAGAACAATCTTTTAAAAGCAGATCTGTTCCTTGGTCTGTTGACGACTCCACGATCACCGATCTATATCCTCGTTGAAAATGACATGTTTATCTTCATGCGTAAATCAACTGGTGGTATTGGATATTAGTTTGAAACTTATTTCGTTGTAATATTATATATATGCTATTGTAAATGGGCTTATAAAATCTATGCTATGCTATTTGTAACAAGAAATACATATGATATATCTGAAAACTTGGACCGGACGTAATCAACATATGATTTGGATGATTTACTAATACTAGCTCTGCGTTACAAGAGTACATAGACTTTGTTCTAATGCATAAACTACTAGGTAATAATTGTATAAATCAAATATTGTAAAGTGAAACAAATTATGTTTGATCCATTATAAAGAAATCAAAGTATACAGTATTACGAAGATGGCAGTTAACATGATATTACCAACGTAACATTTGCCTCGAACTTGGATACATATAAGATGGAGATGTTGGTTCTTCAACGAGGTTCTAAATGAGTGATCGAAGCATCATCGACTGACCAAACGAAAGAACAATCTGGATTGTTTTCACTTTTGAAGAAAAATCCAGGTTCTCTAGGGACTGGTAAAGTGATTGTGTTACTGGTGAGCATCATCATGACTGTACTCATTCCCGGGCGATCTGCATGATCTTTCTGAACACATAACAACGCGATATGGATGCATCTTATAACTTCGTTACTCTGATAGCTCTCCTCAATAGACGGATCAATGATTTCTAATGGTGACCCATTTCTCCAGAGTTCCCAGGCCTAAAGTAATTATCATACAATGAATGAGTACTCACAAGTCTTATTCATTAGAAAGAAAAAAAAGAAAAAAAAATACTCACATGTGCGACCAAGCTGCTAGTATTACCGTCCGGCTGAAAAAAGCTGCTATTCCTCTTCCCGCTTATAATTTCAAGAACTATGACTCCAAAGCTATAGACATCTGATTTCATCGAGAAATGGCCATGCATAGCATACTCAGGAGCCATGTAACCACTGAGACAATAAAAAACAGAGAGAGAAATTTAAGATTACAGACAACAAAAATGATTATGAAAAAGGCTATAAGGGAAACAGTGTTTACTATGTTCCAACAATCCTGCTAGTATCACACTGAGTTTGGTCCATTCCCATAATCCTTGCCATTCCAAAATCTGCAATCTTTGGGTTCATATCAGCATCTAAGAGAATGTTACTTGCTTTGAGGTCACGGTGTATGATTGTGAGCCGTGAGTCTTGATGAAGGTAAAGTATTCCTCGAGCAATCCCCTCGATGATCTTGTATCGTGTTGTCCAATCCAATTGTTTATGTTTTGAAAGGTCTGCGGGCATATCAAACAAATTCAACATTAGCTATAACTTCTGATCCAGCTAGAATTTTCAGAGCAAGACCTATTAAATTCGACTGACCAAAGAGGAAGTAATTAAGGCTTTTGTTTGCCACAAACTCATAAATAAGTATCTTTTCTTCTCCTTCAACACAAAATCCAAGAAGCCTAACTAAATTTCTATGCTGAAGCTTTGCCACCAGAACAGCCTCATTCTTGAACTCTCTTGCACCTTGTCCTGAGGCTTTTGACAGCCTCTTAATAGCAACTTCCGTCCCATTTAGAACAGCCTACATGTAATGAACATGAAACGTCAACACACTATATCTTGATCCCCTAAAACTTCCTTCCAAAATAAGAAACTAGGCTGTGTCAAATCAACCATACCTTGAAAACTTCTCCAAATCCACCTTCACCAATTACATTTTTCTCTGAGAATTGATCTGTTGCAGCTTCAATGGTCTTGAAATCGAATTGCAGTGAGTTTGTCTCTGTGATGTCAAGAGTATATTCTACAAAAAAGGATGTGCAGAGTTATAATACTGGTAGTTGTAACAGAATAAACACATCTCCGGTGAAGTAGTATCACTGTTGTTTTTTTCCTTACATCTTAAACAATGTGCGCCTCATAATATTTGCAAGACAACAACTGAAATGTGGAACTAAAACCATTTCTTCTATAATCCATTTTTCAGTTGTACTTTCACAAATCAGACCTAAATAGTACCAAAATGAACAAAACACAAAACAACTCACCTTGGCGAGTTAGAGCTTGGTCTGACCTTCTCCTCTTGCAAATAAAAAATGCTAGAGCAAGTAGTACAAAGAAGATGATGACGATGGGAACAACAATTGCCACGATGATTCCTGCTGATATTGAGTCGTCACCTGTCACAAATAGCAGGCGATGGTTTATACCAAGAAACATAAGCTAATGCTTTTCTTTAAATTATGGGACAATAGTAGTCAACTTACCTCTTTGTGTTCTGTTTTTCCTCTGTTTTTGTGGAGGTAAGAGAGAATTAGGGGGTTGAGGTGGAGGTGCGAAAGTAAGGTTGAAAGCCTGAGAAAAGGGATACAAATCCCACCTAAAAACGCAGCTGGTACGAAAAACAATGCCACCTTGATACCCATGGCAACATTTTTTATAGTCTCTGACACTTTGATTTAAGCAGATGTTGCAATCCCTTAAAGATATGATCGGAGTGCATTGCATTAATGCGTATATGTTCTGAACGGACGTCAACGGAACTGCTTCAGCAGCGTAGTACTTGCGTTCAGATGATGATGAAGTAGCTCTAGCTATCATACGACTTGTTAAGCTCTCCCACAATCCATCAAACATTGTAATATTGGATCTAATTGGTTCAGTGTTGTACAGGATATACCTTGGTATTATCTCAAGTGATCCAAAAAATGAACGGTTGGAGTAACGTACCATACAAAGAATCCCATTTTCAGGCCAAACGAGGCCTTCTGTCTGGTTGGGACATGTCTCAATCACCTCATTAGATGCAAGGTCGATACAGTTTGAACAAACCTTTGGTTCAGCACCTTGGATACACATCCCCACTGCATACACCCTATCGGGTCCTTGTCCAACCGAAGCATTGTAGAAGCCGCCTCGAGCTGAGACATTAGAGGGGAGAGAAGAGAGGAGAAGGCGACGGTTCTTGTCATACTGCTGATTTGGTTTAAAGAAACCTGTTTTCCCGCATGGTGCAAACACAACAGGAAAGCCTACAAGGAGAAACCAAAAGAGTGGCAAAAGATTCATCAGTTTCATTTTCAAGATCATACGTACAGATATGGTTTTTGGTTAGGATAGCAAGCAAATGTGTGTGTCATATAACGCATATATATACTTACGTACATCAACACCTCTGTGTCAAATAAATTTCCTTTGCAAGTTGTCCATGACCCATTGGTCCTTGTGTCTTAATCAAAGTCTATAGAGTTGACTCATCTGCGGTTCTACTTGAGTCAAGCGTCGTCAACAAGCTGCGACTTGTACATATAGCGTTGCAATCATATGAACGAGTCATGTGGCACCAAGAAGTACACGTTGTATAATCTCATAACGAGAAAAGCCAAATATATTGGGACCAAATAACATAGAAGAAAGCGAAAAGAGGCAACATATTTGAAAATTCGTCTATCGATTGATTGAAAAATTTAGAGCAACACTATCAAATAAAGATGCAATAACTGCTTCACAATTATTATCCCTTCGGTATATAATTTTTCTTTTTTGGTAACGAAGTCTCATTTCGTTTATTATTATATATGAAATTACAGAAAGGAGGAACATTAGTGTAAATCGTGAAGTAATTTACTTCCATGAAACCAATTTATTTCAAACCGGTTTAATTTTAGTTTCAGCCGAAGTTAGTCTATGTAAGAGATGTGTAAATCAAGGGGTAAACTGAGTAGTCTAGAAGCCGAAGACTAGTTAAGATGGTATGAAAGATTATTTATTTCAACACATTATAAATACTTTCCCACAATACTCTGTTTTTCCTCTGTTTTCCAAATAAAATGGTTCAGTATCATAGGAGGCATTGCGATAGCGATTCTATATCTTCATCAAGATTCACTAAGACAAAGATATGAACTCCAAAGTTACAAATTTATGAATTGCTAAATTTTTTTAGTTGACCAAACTGTAATGCCAATACTCTAAGTTCTCTCAACCTATCTCATTTTCATTCTTACATAGGTACCGAATTTTTTACCGGTAGTTATGTCGATAGCGAGACTAAATTAATTATTCTTTAATTGAAAATCAAACCAAACTACAAATGGTTTAACAAATGACCAATATATTAATTATTAAAATGTTTGCTAGACTTGGAGACTATGGAGCAATGGATCACCACTAGAGCTCGTGGATCCATCTTTTCAAGAGAACTATCAAGTAAACGACATTACTAGATGCATCCATATCGCTTTGTTATGTGTTCAAGAAGAAGCTGAAGACCGTCCAACCATGTCAACAACCCAGTTTATACATTAACTGTTAGAAAAAAGACATTACAGATTTAGCTGAAACACTTGAAACATAGTTTCTGACATATATAGTGCCAATGATCTTCAACGAGGATCAAGATCTGTGAGGGTTACAGTATTGATAGTTAGGGAATTCGTCCTGATCGTAGACTGGCTCGACTCAAAGCTCTCAATAGCTTGTTCTTGGTTGTGTCTATTAGGAAAGAAGAATCCAGGTGGACGAGGAACAGGTAAATTGAGGGAGTTTCTAGTGAGCATCATGTTGATTGTCGACAAGTTTGGACGATCTATAGGATCGTGTTGAACACATAGCAACGCAATGTGGATGCATCTTGTCACTTCTTCCGTATGACATTTCTCTGAAATTGTTGGATCCACAAGCTCTAACGGTGTTCCGTCTCTCCACAACCTCCAAGCCTGTAAAATAGTTTAATCACATCAACTAAAGACTCACAATTACATAAGATCATTTGATTATCAACCAAAAAAATCTAGTTCTTCTTGGCACTCACGTATGTGACCAAATTCTCAATTGTAGTGTCGGACTGGTGGACAAATAGGTTCTTTTGACCACCTATAATCTCAAGAATTAAGACTCCAAAACTATAGACGTCTGACCTCGTTGAGAATTGACCTTGCATCACATATTCTGGGGGCATGTAACCGCTAAAGGAGTAAACACAATAAACAGTAAGTATACTCGCTTAGAAAATATATTTGAAGCTTTAGAAAATAAAGCATATTTAGAACGTATATACCGTGTTCCAACTATTCTATTTGTATTAGCCCCAGTTTGGTCCATCCCAAAAATTCTCGCCATTCCAAAATCAGCAATCTTCGGGTTCATATCAGCATCTAGGAGAATATTGCTTGCTTTGAGATCACGATGTATAATTGTGAGTCTTGAATCTTCATGAAGATATAAAATTCCTCTAGTGATTCCCTTGATGATGTTGTATCGTTTTGTCCAGTCTAACAGCACTTGTTTTGTAGGGTCTGTATATACACAAGTAGTTATAGCCACCTTTATATTCATTTCAATCATATAAAATTCATTAAACCCCTAGTTCCATGTACCAAAGAGGAAGTAATCGAGGCTCTTGTTGGGGACAAACTCGTAAACAAGTATCTTTTCTTCTCCTTCAAGACAAAACCCGTGAAGCCTAACAAGATTCCTATGCTGAAGTTTTGCAACAACAACAACCTCATTCTTGAACTCTTGTCCACCTTGTGCTGATGATTTTGATAGCCTCTTCACTGCAACTTCTGTTCCATTAGGCAATATACCCTACAAATAACTACACTAAGTAATTCCAAGCTTTTTCGAGAGAAGTAATGAATCAAGTAGCTGAAAAATTGATACCTTGAAAACTTCTCCAAATCCACCTTGACCAATTTTGTTACTCTCTGAAAATTTATTTGTCGCAGCTTCGATTGTCTTAAATTTGATTTGCAGAGAACGTGCAGTTGTAATACCAGCTTCAGTTGTAATAAACGGACTTAATTGGTTCCATAGACTACTTATATATCTGCTAAAAGCTAAGAGGCCAAAGAAAAGCATACTCACATTGATAAAGATCTAATTCTTGATATGGTTTTCTCCTCCAACAAAGCATAGCAGAGCGACGAGCAAGTAGTACCAAGATTACAATGATAAAGACGACTGCTAAAATGGGAACAACAATTGCCACGATAGATCTTGTTGAGTTTTTTCCACTACCTGCGGAAAGTGATATATAACATTCGAATCCTTGGACAGGTTCTTGTTAAAAGTCTCATAGCTTTGCAAGGACTTACCATTGTCTGTTGTGTTAACTCGGTCGCCTCTAGAAGGAGGTAGCAACGTAATATTGTCAAAAGCCTTAGAGAATTTATATAAATCCCAACGGAAATAGCAGCTTGACCGCATAATGACTCCTCCTTGCGTCTGACCACAACATGACGGGTGTCGAAGACATTTAGCACAATCAGTAGAGGAAAGATCCGGCGTGCATTGCATCAGTGCGTAAATATTCTGGGAAGCTGTCAAGGCTGCACCATCAGCTGTGTAATAGTTATTGCTAGACGATGGTGTGCTTTTTGCTGTGGATGTTGCAGCAATCATACTAACAACTAAGTCCTCCAATATTGCCGTGAACTCTGTTAAATTTGACCTGATATCTCTAGTGTTGTAGACCAAATTACGCGGATCTAGATCAGCAGATCCGAAGAAAGAAGTGTCGGAGTAGTGCACATGGCAAAGCGTTGGTTCATCTGCCCATGAATACGCTTGTATTTGGTTAGGACAACTCCGTATCAAACCGTCAGAAGCGGTCTTGATACAATCAGAACACTCTTCTGAAGTTGATCCTTGGATGCACATCCCAGTTGCGTAGATACGGTTCGGTTCTTGTCCAATGGAACCGTTGTAGAAGAAGCTGTCTCTAGCCGTGACATTGAGAGGAAGAGAAGAGAGTATTAGTCCGAGATTTGCTTCCATCGTACTGTTGGATCCGTAGTTCCCATTGTTCATGCATTGTTCTTGTGCTTGTGCTGAAACTGAAGCAACACTGAAGCTTATGAGGATAGAACAGAGGATTGAGTAGGAATTCCTCTGTTTCATTTTTTCTTAGAAATTATAGGAAAATTTATGGAAAAAAAATATAACAAAATCAATAACAATTTTTGGAATTTCTGTCTCAGAATTATTCACACATCTGTCCCTTTCTTAAAAGTTCAATAGCAAAGTTGAAGTTTCTTAGAAACTTCTAACGTTGAATTCTTCAAACAGATAACATGAAAAAACGTGTCAATATAAATGCCAAAAGTCTCTTTTTTTTTGTCGTCAAATGCCAAAAGTCATATTATTATTATTATTATTTTTTGTCGTCAAATGCCAAAAGTCATATAAGGTCATAATAATGTTGAGTTATCAAATGTGACTCAGAAAATGACATAAAGGAAATCCATAGTGGTAGAAAAGAAAGCTTAATAATTATTGAGAGAAGATTACACAAATATATAGAGTGGATACAGTAGTGTGACTAGGTCATAAGATTTACACGATTACACTAAAGTCTTAATTATCTAATATTCACATATCCGAGGACATAAGTTTGCTGAGAAATATACCTCAAACTAGTAAATAGTGGTTAGGCATAAGAATTTCAGTTTCGTTCTTTTTTTCTTGTTATTTTTAAAGTATATTGATGTTGAAATGATTTCATTATTGAGAACAGTGATAGATCATACAAAAAAAACAAGGGAATGAAGATTGAAGAAAAATCTAGCCCTTTAGACCATTTTCAATGGGAAATCTTAGAGCAGCAGCATCGGTAGTATCTCACACAAACTCTTGCCACTTGAAAAAAAGAAAAAAAATTGAAAAGAGAAGAGAGAGGAGAGAGACGTCTCTCGTTTGAGAGACTTTAACAAAAATACAAGAGACGTCTCTCGTTTGAGAGACTTTAACAAAAATACAAGAGACTACGACAATTTCCAACAAATCGCATACTATTCAACCCAATTATCCTCCATCGTTAAAAAAATTAATTGGGTTGACCACTCACATAAATCTATTGCATTAGTTAAAAAGTGTCATTATTTCAAAAATGCCAATTCAAACAGGAATCTGAATTTGAATTTGGACCGTACTGAATATGATTAATAAAAACTGAACGAAAACATAAGTTATTCGATAGGTAGAAGACAAAATAACAAACCAAATCCTTAATATATAATAACAAACCAAATCGAAAACTTTGACTGCAATTAGCAATCTTCAACCACCCATTATTAAATCAGACACATGGCGTGAGACAATAGTACGTAAATGTTTGCGTTTAATTCTACTGATAAAAACGTTGTCACTTGTGTTTTTATAATACCAATTGGTTCGAGTTAGTTTGGAGCTAAACATCATACTCAACGAGGATATAAATCAGTGATCGAAGAATCGTTTACAGACCCTGAAACATACTTGCTCGTTGTTGATTGATCTGAATCAAGCGGGTCTTGTTCGAGTCTACTCTGAACGAAAAAACCTGGTTGTCGAGGCACTTGTAGAGTCACAGTATTACTAGTAAGCATCATGAAAATGGCTGGCATGGTTGGACGCTCTACCGGGTCTTCCTGAACACATAAAAGACCAATATGGATACATCGAATCACTTCACTCTTTTGGCAATTTTCTACAATCATTGGATCCACGAGGTCTAACACTGGTCCGTTACTCCAAAGCCTCCAAGCCTGGATCAAAAATCAATCAATCTTTGCAACCATTACTTATTGTAAGAGAGGTGAATATAAACTTGTTTGCCTTCAACTTACATATGTAAGGAGGTCATGTGTGCCGTTTGTCCCGTAGAAGCTGTTATTCTTCTTACCACTTATAATCTCAAGAACTAACACCCCGAAGCTATATACGTCAGATTTCATTGAGAATTGGCCATGCATCGCGTATTCTGGAGACATGTAACCACTGTAACCCACAACAAAAACTATGTTAACAAAAGAGTGTTCTGAAAATCAAATGAGAAGTTACGAGAAATACTTACTAGGTACCAACTATTCTGCTTGTGTTCTCTTGGGTTTGGTCCAATCCAAAGATCCTAGCCATTCCAAAATCAGTAATTTTCGGATTCATATCCTTATCCAGGAGAATGTTACTTGCTTTGAGGTCACGGTGTATGATTGTGAGCCGTGAATCTTGATGAAGATATAGAATCCCCCTAGCAATTCCCCCAATGATCTTGTATCGTCGAGTCCAGTCCAACTGAGCTTGCTTTGTAGGGTCTGTGTGAGGACATCCATGAGTTAACGTTAAATACTTAATCTAAACAATTTGGTCCAAGTTTCAAGAACGGTTAAAGAATCATTGAAACAAAGCAATAAATGCAACTGACCAAAGAGGAAGTAATCAAGGCTTTTGTTGGGCACATACTCGTAAACCAGTATCCTTTCTTCTCGTTCTAGAGAAAATCCGAGAAGCCGTACCAGATTTCTATGCTGAAGCTTTGCAACAACAACAACCTCGTTCTTGAACTCCGTATCACCTTGTCCTGATGATTTTGACAGTCGCTTTACAGCAACTTCGCTCCCATTCGAAAGTGTACCCTATCAGTTTTTATCAGCATCATCTCATTATTTAATTATGTTTGTAAGTTTCAGTAAAAATTGAACAAACTCAGGTAAAGTGAAACAATAAATAGTCATATTTAGTACCTTGTAAACCTCACCAAATCCTCCTCGACCAATCTTATTATTTTCTGAATAATTATTCGTTGCCGCTTGAATTGTTCTATAGTCAAGTTGCAGTGACTCTTCGGTTGTTATATCATCCCCTGTTGCATAATAAAAGTCGTCGTAAGTAGGAAAAAAAAGAATGATCAAACCAAATAAAGGTTGTTAATGATACAAATCTTTACCATCAAATGCTTGTTGAGTATCGGAATTCTTATGTGCCCTCTTTGCAAGGAAACAATAACCAGCAATGAAAAGCAGAACAGCCACTATAATAGGCACCACAATGGCTACCACTAACATATTCGAATTCCCACCTTTCCCTGCGTATTAAATATGATTTCCTTGAGATTGGATAGTGGCATATGAACAAATCTCTAGAATCAATTACGAGAAATCAGGGTAAAAAAACAGAGGAAGAAGAAAGAGTTCACCAGATCGAGGAGGAGATGCGACTGGAGAGGCAGACGGAGGCAACAACGGCGGTAATGCTTGTTGGTGTGGCTGTGTACTAACGGAGGTTTCGTTGTAGAAAGGGGAGAGCTCGTACCTTGAACTACAACTAGGATAAAGAAGTCTTCCACCCATTGAGTTAAGAGCCATTCCATTGATGGAATATTGCAGACAACTCAAGCAGTCTTGTCTCCTAAGATTAGGAGTGCATTGAACCAGTACGTACAAACTCTGGAGTGTGGTCCATTTGGCCTTCGTCGCATTGAACTTTCTAGGACTGCTGGCTGCCTCGACGGCAGCTTGATTCATCGTGGACGATACCAAATCTCCGAACCGGTCTTCTAGGTTAGATGAAATGTTATTGGCGTTCAACAAGATATATCCTCCACCAAATGAAAGGGTCGACATAATATTGTTGTCAGAGTATCTGAGCATGCACTCCTCGTAATAGAGCACGGCTCTTCTCGCATCCGGACACATAGTTAAGGTTTGGTTGACTGAAAAGGCGACGCAGCTACGACAAACTTCTGGCGAGAAATCTCCACGGCAAAGGAAAAGTCCGGTGACCCTGTCGGGAGATTTTCCCTCCGTGGCGTTTTGGAATCCGGTGGTGTATGAAGCGTTGCGGGAAGACAGAGAGGATAAAAGGGCTATGAGATTGGTGGAGTAAGTGCTGTTTCTTGAATATGTTGTCGTATTTGGACAAGAATGGTACAGGAAATTAGGATCTTTAGCATAAGCTCCGAAGCTAGTGAGGAAGGAGAAAAAGAGAAGGAAGATCAAAGAGGCGTAAGAATGCATGATCAAAGACGATATTAATTTCGTAAACCGATAAACGCCTCTTCTATTTATTTATTTTTGGTTTTCTTTGCTGTTGCTGTTGTTGTCGGCCATTGTCCAATTTTTTTTTTCAAAGAACAAGTGCAATCTCGGGAAACACTGTTCCTCCTTAAAATTGAATAGTAGTGCGTCTGTATGTATATGCGAAAAAAAAACTTATATAATTCTGGTTGATTTTTTAAATAAAAATATTATTTAATACCTGCCTAAACAAATGAAAACAATTTTTCTAATATGTATAAACTAATCAGTTTTGTATTAAAATTTGAAAAAAAAACTCATCTAATTTAGTAAGAAAAAAATCTCTAAAAAATCAAATAACAAAGAACGGAAGGAGTAGCATTTACTTTATTTCTTTAAAATACTACTAAATTCTTTTTTCTAAAAATAGCACTATAATTTTGTTTTCTCCAAAATTACCATAAAACTAAAATCAAGCTTTCAATTTTAAAAACAAAAGTTTGAATTTTAAATAATAACTCATAATTTTTTTTAAACTAAGTCTTAAACCCAAAATACTAAATAAAACTGAAACTTTGGAGTTATAAATCCGTAAAAAAACATTATGAATATTTTTAGGTAATTGATAATTTAGAGTATTTCTATTTCTGGTCTTAATCAATATTTATATTGTGTTGACTGATGTGCAATATATTTCTTTTTACTGTTGAGTCAAGCGTGTAAACAAATTAAAGGTTGATACAGTAATATGAATGTCTCATGTGACACCCACAAGAACACGTTGTAGTTAATGAGACTAAGGCCATCTCCACTCGTGAGTGGTACTTAAAAAAAATAAAAAATATTATTTTATTTTATTTATTTATTTTTTAATTTTAATTGCTGAAAGTTTGACATCTGTTCTATTTTATGTAAGTACCGGTGCTGGTAGTACCAATTTAAGTAACGGTACCTCTCTCTTTCTTTGATTTTGTTATTTTTTATTAATTGATTGTGTTTAAAGTACTCCTTAAAGTTCTCCACTGGAGATGGCCTAAGTCAAAAAGAAAATTTAGACGAAGTAACATAAAGAATAAAGAATGCGAAAAGAAAATTGTGACAAAATGTAAATTCGTCAATCTATCTTTTTTTTTTTTCTAACAAAATGGAAATTTCAGACGAAATAACTCATAAGATTCCGTTTCAAAATTCTAACTAACAGAATTGATTCATTTGTTAATCAATTATTTTGATGTCGAGTCTCTCAACAAATATTTAAGTTTCTGTTTTTCCCTATATTAAAACAAATATTTAAACGTGTCCTCATTGTATTCAAATCCGCAGTTGATCAGGTAAACCCGGTGATACGGAAAAAATGCCCGGTAATACGGTTACTAATCCGTTTGAGTTTAATATCAATATCTACTATTTTTAAAATCAGAAACACCATAAAAATTCGATAAATCCAGTAAATCCAACAAACACGGTGTGTACTTTATAAGAATCCGTGTTGTACATAGACATCATTTTATGCTATTTGATTTTGGTAATTTTTTAGATCTTATAATATATAAATTTGATGAACTGTTATGAGTTTGTAATACGCTTGAAGAGTATTAAAGTGTTATGTTATGTTTTATCATACAGATTTATAAATTTGTGTAGAAAATTAACAATATTGGTTTTTTTTTTTTTTTGAATTGAATGTTAAACTATATTCGAAGAAAAAACAGCGTTGTTACAACTAGTGTATTGGATAGTTTAAAAGCTTTTGAACATAAACAAAAAATGATAAAACGATCAAGATTTTTTTTTTTTTTTAACTCCTACATTGAAACCAGAGCTGAAGTCTTTTTCATAACGTCGATCTCCTGTTCATTGAATGGTTTTGAGTTGGTTACGAATATTAGTTTATTCTTGTGATCTTATGTTTAATTAATGAAAAATTAGGTATAAACAATTTGATCATTTTTTCTTTACTGTAGTTGATTATTACTTTAAAATAAAATATATGGATATTTTTTCTTGTTGACAAGAGACAAGTTGAAAAACTTTCTAGTGAATACAGTAGTTTTTATGAGAAAAAGATAAGGTAGTAGGGCTGATTTTCTTCCGACTGCTTTAGGTCTCCATTCAAAGCATCTAAAATCCAAAATGATATTTTGGATATATACCAAAAATGTTGAATCTAACAGAAAGAAGACCGTCTAAATACCTGATTATGCCCACGAGATTAATTTAGCCAACAAAACAAAAATTTAGTTCAAGGGCTTAATAGAAATTGCTATTTAACAAAACAAATTTAGCTAAAGAGACGTCTCAGCTCTCCCCAGAAGCCAGCAGTGGAGTCGGTGACTGTTTGTCTGTTTCATCTTTGCTGTCAATACGGTATGACAAGTGAACGCTTTGATTCGATCTCCTGAATATTTTCTTGACCTATTCACATCAAACGCTACTCTCTTGGTGAACACGACGAATGTAACGTTCAATTATGTAACGTTCTTCTGTGTTGAGCAAGTCAATACATTAAGATGTGCTAGTTTAACGTTATAAGCCTTGGAAATGTTTTAAATCGTGTAAACCTTTGTGAAACACCTCACTAATCTCCCAGTTTTGAATTAAAACAAACCATGTAAGGTTTGATCAAGTCTAGAAATATGTAAATATATGCTTCAAGCCTGAAGGTTAACATCATATTTAGCGAGGATATAAATCAGTGATCGATGCATCGTCAATAGACCCTGGAAGAGACTTTTCCGTGGTAGATTGATCTGAATCAAGCGGGTCCTTTTTGAGTCTACCTTGAATGAAAAATCCTGGTTGTCGAGGCACTGGTAAAGTCACAGTATTACTAGTGAGCATCATGAAAATGGTCGATATTGTTGGACGCTTTACAGGATCTTCTTGAACACATAAAAGACCGATATGGATGCATCGAACCACTTCACTGTTCTGGCAATTATCTACTATAAGTGGATCTACTAGGGATAATGCTGATCTGTTATTCCAGAGCGTCCAAGCCTAAAAAATCAACCAATCAGTCTAGGTAACATTTCTTAGTGTAATGTAGGAGTGGTAAATATTGATAGCCTTAAAACATACATGTGTGAGTAAGTCTTGTGCACCGTCTGGCTCGCCGAAGCTGTTATTCTTCCTACCACTTATAATCTCAAGAACTAACACGCCGAAGCTATAGACATCAGATTTCATAGAGAATTGGCCATGCATTGCATATTCAGGAGACATGTAACCGCTGGAATCCATAACAAAAGCTTTAGTCTATGTTGGCATATTTATATTCAGCTTATGACACGTAAAGTGGAAGACTTACTAGGTACCAACTATTCTGCTTGTGTTATCCTGGGTTTGGTCCCATCCAAATATCCTAGCCATTCCAAAATCTGCAATTTTTGGATTCATATCCGCATCTATGAGAATGTTACTCGCTTTAAGGTCACGGTGTATAATTGTGAGCCGTGAATCTTCATGAAGATATAGAATCCCTCGAGCAATTCCTCCAATGATCTTGTATCGTTGAGTCCAGTTCAGCTGAACTTTCTCTGTAGGGTCTGCACATCCATTAGTTACAGATAAATAAGATAAGTAACCCCAAGTTTCAAGAATGGGTAAAGAATCATTCAAACAAAGCTATTAATGCAACTCACCAAAGAGTAAATAATCAAGACTTTTGTTGGGCATATACTCGTATACCAATATCCTTTCTTCTCCTTGTAGCGAAAACCCGAGAAGCCTAACCAAATTTCTGTGCTGAAGCTTTGCAACTACAACAACCTCGGTCTTGAACTCTGTTTCACCTTGTCTTGAGTTTATCGACAGTCTCTTCACCGCAACTTCTTTCCCATTTGAAAATGTACCCTATCCGTTTAAAAATTTTTAATCAGCATCATCTCGTTATTGTCGATAGAAACTATCAATAAAAAGAACTCATCCTCAGGTGCAAGGAATCAGTAATAATATATTGTACCTTGTAAACCTCACCAAATCCACCTTGACCAATCTTATTTCTTACTGCAAAATCATTTGTTGCAATTTGGATTGTTCTATAATCGAGCTGTAGTGAGTCTGCCATTCTTATATCATCTCCTACTGCACAATAAATGTCTTCTTGAATCAAAAAGGAGGCTTATCAATGAAATTATCAAATCCAATTAAGATTGTTTATTAAATCTTTACCCTCAGATGCAGATGCAGGTGCTGTTTCAAAAGTCTTCTTATTCCTTTTGGCAAGGAAACAATAACCAGCTATGGCGAGCAGAGCAACCACTAACATAATAGGCAGAACAATGGCTACCACTAACACTTTTGAATCCATACCTTTCCCTGTGTTTTAAAGATCAGATCATGTAAGAAGTATAAAAAAAAAGTATAAAATCAATAAAAAGGATCATACTTTCCCTATTGGTCTTTACTAATTTCAAGAAAACAGGGTAAAAAACAGAGGAAGGAGAAAGAGTTCACCACGTAATGAAGGAGATTTCGTCGGAGGAGTAGACACCAACAACTCTAGCGGTGGTGGTGGTGGTGATGATGGTGCTGGTGCTGGTGCTATTGTTTCAATGGCGCTCTCGTTGTAGAACGGATAAAGTTCATACCTTACACCACAACTCGGCCAAAAAAGTCTTCCTCCAGTTCTGATAAGATCCATTCCATTGATGCAACTTTGCAAACAGCTCCTGCAGTCTTTTCTTTTAAGATCAGGAGTGCACTGAAGCAGCCCGTACAAAGTCTGGAATGCTGTCAACCCGGTCTTTAGCATATAGAACTTTCTTTCACTGTTGGCTGCTTCAATGGAAGCTTTCCTCGTAGCGGACGACACAAAACTCATGAACCCGTCTTTTTGATTTTGAATAGAAGAAATCTTATTAGATTTCATAATGATATATCCTCCTTCGTACGTAAGGGTCGATAGGATACTCTTCGGAGAGTATCTGAGCATACACTCATCATAATAGATCACGACCTCTCTCTCTTTCGGACACCGACCTAAGGTGTCGTTGACAGCAAAGGTGACGCAGCGACGACAAACTTCTGGCGATAAGTCTCCACGGCAGAGGAAAAGTCCGGTTACCCTGTCGGGGGATTGTCCAGCCGTGACGTTTTGGAATCCGGTGGAGTAAGGGGCGTTACGGGAAGACAGAGAGGACAAAACGGTTCTGAGATTGGTTAAGTAAGTGCTGTTACTTGTGTAAGTTGTCGTATTTGTACAATTATGATATAGGTAACCAGGATTTTGAGCAGAAGCTCTGAAGATAGTGAGGAATGAGAAAAGGAAAAGCGATATGAAAGAAGAAGACATGGTTCGAGTTCCTCTGAGATTTGATGAGCTTCACATAAGGGAGCTCTCATTTATTGAATGAATAGTGTGCTTGTCTCAAACTCTCTCTAACGTGAAGTAGACGACGATAAGTCAACCAAAGTCAATAAGTCAAAGTAAACTTTTTTGTTTTTGGATTAAAATTGTCATTTTTGTTTACAACAATCACGTACAATCACGTAAAAGACTATCTTTAGAGGTCGACCTTTCCACTGTGCGTGTTGATTGGTTCAGGAACAATGATGAAGGATAGAAAACTGATTCATGAATTATGGTTGCGAAATTACTGTATAAACTTAAAACTGTTCGTTTGTAACTTGTGTGTTACGTAAGTCACGGACTCACGGTGCCTGTCTTATTGACATAAAAGTTTAAATTCTCTTTTCTTTGCAAATAAAGTTGATGTTACTCGTCGTGTAATAAACTTTGAATTTCAAGAAATTGTATTAATTTATTAGGTTTGCACCAACAAAAAGAAAAGGAAGAGAAAAACTTTGACGTGTTGGATAGTTTCCAAATTTCCATTCAAGTAATTTCCTTCTCATGCATTGCATGCATGGGAGCTTTTGAATAGATCACAATAAAGTCCATAAAAAATAGATCATCATAGATTTTATTTAATAATTATATTTATATTTAACAATGATATATTTTGATTTTTGGGTTATATTTTAACTAAAAGTCAAACCAAATTACAAATGGTTGTAACAAATCAAAACAAAACTAAACAGTAATCAGGACTAACATATGTTACGAACATATGCTTAAACTTGAATTCAGTAATGCCAATTAATCTAAACATGAAGGAGGATATAAATCAGAGAACGATGCATCGTCAATAGAAACTGGAACTGTCTTGGTCGAAGTAGATTGATCTGTATCAAGCGGGTCCTTCTCAGGTCTATGTTGAATGAAATACCCTGGTTGTTGAGGCATTGGTAAAGTAATACTATTACTAGTGAGCATCACACAAATGGTTGACACTGTCGGACGCTGAACAGGATCGTTTTGAACACATAAAAGACCAATATGGATGCATCTAACTACTTCACTCCTCTGGCAGTTATCTATAATAACTGGATCAACAAGGTCTAATGCTGTTCCGTTACTCCATAGCCTCCAAGCCTAGAATATTATCAATCAGTTCTTGCTAATGTACATTCCTCATTGTAGGAGAGGTAAAAGGTAATTTGCCTTAAGAAACTTACATGTGTGACCAAGTCTTGTGCGTTGCCTGTCTCGTCAAAGTTGCTATTCTTCCTACCGCTTATAATCTCAAGAACTAACACTCCGAAGCTATAGACATCTGATTTCATTGAGAACTGGCCATGCAACGCATATTCAGGAGACATGTAACCGCTGTAACCCACAACAGATCTTTAGTTGGATGATAAGATAATAAAATTCAATTTATGAGAATTAAAGTGGAAGACTTACAAGGTACCAACTATTCTGCTTGTGTTCTCTTGGGTTTGGTCTAATCCAAAGATCCTAGCCATTCCGAAATCTGCAATTTTGGGATTCATATCTTCATCCAGGAGAATGTTACTTGCTTTCAGGTCACGGTGTATAATTGTAAGCCGTGAATCTTGATGAAGATATAGAATCCCCCGAACAACTCCTCCAATGATCTTGTATCGGCGAGTCCAGTCTAGCTGAACCTGCTTTGAATGGTCTGTGAACATTCATGAATTACAGTTAAATCTAAAGATTTCCAACCCCAAGTATCTAAGATGGCTTAAAAATACATGGAAAGAAAACAATAAATGCAACTGACCAAAGAGGAAGTAATCAAGGCTTTTGTTGGGCATATACTCATAGACCAATACTCTTTCTTCTCCTTGTAGTGAAAACCCCAGAAGCCTAACAAGATTTCTATGCTGAAGCTTTGCAACTACAACAACTTCGGTCTTGAACTCTGCTTCACCTTGTCCTGAGTTTTTCGACAATCGCTTCACCGCAACTTCAGTCCCATTCAAAAATGTACCCTATCCATTTTCATCAGCATCATCACGTTATCCAATGTGTTGACACAAAATATCAGTAAGAAGTACTTGAACCTCATGTGCATGAGTAATTTTATAGTACCTTGTAAACCTCACCAAATCCACCTCGACCAATTTTATTATTCTCTGAATAATCATTTGTTGCAGCTTGAACTATTCTATAATCAAGTTGCAGCGACTCTATGATTGTTATATCATCTCCTGATGCAGAATATATAAAAAAGTTTGTAAAGAAAAAAGCTTATGAATGACATCAATCAAATCAAATCAAGATTGTTGTATTGAATCTTTACCCTCAGTTCCAGGGGATGAGTCATAAGTTTTCTTTGCCCTCCTTGCAAGGAAACAGTAACCAGCTATGAAAAGCAGAACAACCACTAACATAATAGGCACAACAATGGCTACCACTAACACACTTGAATTCCGACCTTTCCCTGTGTATCAAAAGAGCAAAACTTTCGGTTTTGGTATTGGTAATTCTAAGAAAGCAGGGCAAAAACAGAGGTAGTAAAAAGTGTTCACCAGGTAGTGAAGGAGAAATCACCGGAAGAGTACTAGGCACAAGCGATTGTAGCGGTGGTGGTGGTGGCGGTGGCGGTGTTTTAACGCCGGTTTCGTTGTAAAAAGAATAGAGCTCGTACCTTGCACTACAACTCGGATAAAGAAGTCTTGCTCCAACTCGGTTAAGAGACATTCTACCGACTGAACTTTGCAAACATCTCTGGCAGTCCTGTCTTGTTAGATCAGGAGTGCACTGAAGGAGCGCGTAAAATGTCTGAAATTCGTTCAATTCGGTCTGTATCGTATAGAGTTTTTTTGAACTTCTGGCTGTTTCGATGGCAGCTTGGTTCATCGTGGTGGACACAAAAGCTATGAACCGATCTATTTGATTTTGATTAGAAGAAATTTTATTCCTGTTGTGCATGACTATAAATTTGTCGTACGTAAGGGTAGATAGAATATTCTGGTGAGAGTATCTGAGCATACACTCATCGTAATAGAGCACGACCTCACTCTCATTCGGACACCGAGTGAAGGTTTCATTGACGGCAAAAATGATGCAGCTACGACAAACTTCAGGCGAGACGTCTCCGCGGCAAAGGAAAAGTCCGGTGACCCTGTTGGGGGAATGTCCCGCCGTGGCGTTTTGGAATCCAGTGGAGTAAGAGGCATTAGGGGAAGAGAGAGAGGACAAAAGGGTTTTGAGATTGGTGAAGTAAGTGCTGTTACTTGTGTAAGTTGTCCTATTTGGACAATAACGATTTAGGTAATGAGGGTTTTGAGCAGAAGCTATGAAGCTAGTGAGGGATAAGAAAAGAAAAAGGGAGATGAAAGAGGAAGACATTGTTCGACTTCCTTGAGATTTGAGTTTACCTATTCATTTATAAACTGAGTATATGTTTTTGTTCTCTTTCTGATTAACGTGAAGTAGACGATGGTTTCTGATGACCATAAGTAAGAAGTTAAAAAGTCAAAGTAAGCGGTCAATTTTACTAAACACCCTAATTATTTTTTTTGAGAAAAAGGCAATGTTAAAAATTAACTTGAATATGGAAAACAAAATAGTTATTTGATCGAATGATTTACATAATCACTGTTGTTGAGCCAAACCCAAAAGGTGATCATTGTTTTTCCACCTCGGAGTTCAATGGAAGCTTGGTTTTATAAGTTTTGATCATTTTGTTTTCCAAAGTGCAGTCAGTTACAGTGTATAGAAAAAAAGACTACAAAAATTAGATCGTCACGATATACAAAATACATTTATAATTTACAAAAAAAAATTGTTTAATATCTTAGATGATGAAATAAAATAATTTTTTAAAAACTTTCTCCATTTGCGAAGAAATTACTAGGAAACCTTTCCTTGCAAATAGATTTTCTTATTCTAGTGTTCACACCAATTTGGAAGATGAAAAATAAAAAAAGGCATAAGTTATCTTATATTTTCAAACAAATGAATATTTTTTTAGTAATGAGTTGTGTTTTTTTTTAGAAGTGTTTGGAAATTTAAGAATGTCTAAAATCTATGGCTATGTTGATAAAGAAAGTGACTCTATGATAAAGTCATGGGATCCAATTATCACGGAAACTTACCACTTATAGAAATATGTTCATGTATGCTTAAACTTAATTTCAATAATAAATTAATACTAACTGATTTTTATTGTGAAGGTTACACCATATTCAACGAGGATATAAATCACTAATTGATGCAACGTTAATAGATACATCAAGAACAGACTTGCTCATCGTAGATTGGTCTGAATTAAGCGGGTCTTGTCTATTTCTCACATAAAACCCCGGTTGCTGAGGGCATGTGCAGCGGTGTAAGACAATTTTTTGTTTTTGTTTTTTAGATTTTCTTTTAACAAAAAGAAAAATATGTAATCAATCGCAGGTCGCTACGTGTCAGTAGGGCCCGTGAATAGTGAAAAACCAAAGTAGAGGATAGGAACTGACCAATCGCGAGCCGATACGTACGTTTCTCTTATTTATTTATTTTTTGATTTTTTTTTTTTGTGGGGACTGGATAGGGACTGACCAATATACATGCTCTGAGGCACTGGTAAAGTCACGGTAGTATTAGTAAACGATTCTTTTTCTTTTTAATTAACTTGAATTTGGATCCACAAGTTATTTGTTGAACCAAACCCAAAATTTGATCATAGTTTCTCCCCTGAAACCCAAAAACAGGGAGCATTATAGTAGTTTTGGGTTATATAAGACTATAGAGATTTATTGAATTTGGATAGTGTTATTTAAAAGTTTAGTTATAATATGGATAGAAAGAAAGCTTGACGAAGATGACAATGGCGAAACATTCTTTTGTCAAAATGTTCAACTTTCAAACCCATGTTTGTCAAGAAAGTTACTGAAGAAGAAAATTATTATTGTCTGTGAAATTTTATACCAAAAAAAAAAGTTTATACAAAAATTCAAAGGTGTATCGCATAATTTTTTATATTTTTTTATTTATTTATAATAAGACCACATTTGGGAAATGCTTTACTACAGTAATACAATTGAACGTTCTGCGGTTAAACAAAGCATTCCATAGAATCATTCCAAATAGAAACTTGTTTTTTTGTTTTTTTTGTGAATACATTATATAGCAAGTTGATGTTTTTCTTATTGGTTTTATAAGTGTTGATGTGGGCTTGTAAGAAACTGTATTGTCTTACACAAAAGAGCACTCTTGATTGGCTTTAAATTCATTAAGACCACCAATACTTAAGCTTAAGAAAAAAAACAAAGCACCAAGGCATCAATGGAGAAGTGTTGGGAAATGTCTGCTTATATGGTTTCCTCTTCCTTCTCTCCTTCTCACCTTCCTATTCTTTTCTTGAACAACCATTGACAGCCAAAGATGTTTGCAATTATAAGGCGCCAAAAAGTGCACATCCTAAAATCTTTTAAGCAAAGATGATGCACATTTCGAACCAAAATAAAAAAAAAAGTCGTCCAAGAAAATATTCAAAATATATATACTGAACAAAAGCAGGTGAACATGGTAAGCTAAATTTTATTGACAAAAATTAAAGATAATTTTTCATTAAATTTCACAGAAAATATTTTTTTCTCAAAAGATATTATTAATAATTTTATTTTCCGAAATAATCATTAAAAATTAGCATTCTACCGACGTCAAAAAAACAATCATTCCAAAATAGAAACTTGTTTTTTTGGTGTGGAAACAGTAAATAGCAAGTTGGTGTACACTCGTCAACAACAGGTCAATTCTTTTTGGTTTTAAGCGTTGACGTGGACTTGAAAAAAACTGTATTATCTTACAAACATAACAATCTTGATTGGCTTCAAATTCATCAAGACCACCAATTAATAAATAGAACAGAACAGAACAGAGCACAAAGGGCATTCATGGAGAAGTGTTGCAAAATGTCTGCTTATGGTTTCCTCTTCCTTCTCTCCTTCCTTACAAGTCTTAGACCTTCTATACAGCAACCTAGACCTGAATACGTCGGCTATAAATGTTCTTCGGAGAGATCTTCTTACCTTGATAACAGCACATACTCTGCCAATCTCAAAACCCTTTTGTCCTCTCTTTCTTCCAAAGAGAATAATTATATCTTCGCCAGAGGATTCCAAAGCCTTCCAGTGGGAGAGAAGTCGCCAAACTATGTTTTCGGACTTTACCTCTGTCGTGGAGACGTGTCGCTGGAAGCCTGCCGTGACTGCGTCAATTTCGCCGTCAAGGACATTCTGAATCAGTGTAAAAATGGGAAGGAGGCTTCGATTTATTACGACGCATGCACACTTCGATACGCTGACCGTAATATTCTCTTGGATCCTGTAACCAATGTTCCTCAGTTGATGGAAAACCAAAACACTGTGCCGGATGACCAATCAGGTCGGTTCAATAAGGTACTCCTCTCTTTGATGAATGAAATTGTAAAGGAGGCTGTAGTTAGTCCAAGAATGTTTGCGTACAAGGAGGGTAAGTACACATCGTCCAAAACAGTTTATGTACTGGGTCAGTGCACGCCTGATCTCCCAAAACAAAACTGCTCAAGCTGTCTCCAACAAGCCATCAAGAAAATATTGCCTCGTAACAAAATCGGAGCAAGGATTCTTTGGCCGATTTGTAACATGAGGTACGAGCCTAACCGTTTCTACAATGATACCTCCAGTCCTCTTCCTCCTTCGAAGCCTGGTAAGAGCTCTACTATCTCTTTGTCAATGTTTTTTTGGGTTAAGAAAGTATAAGATTTTGGAAATTATGTGTCATGTCTCTGATTCAAGACTTTACGCAGGAAAAGGTAAAAAAGCCATAGTGATAGTCATAGCCGTTGTTGTGCTGCTAGCTCTCTCCGCAATGCTTTCCATAGCTTGTTATTGTTTCCGTGCAAAGAGAGTGAAGAGAACTTATGAGACAGCAGCTGCACATGATGGTAACAAATTACAAATTTTAACGTTTGCTACTTAATAGTCTATCCTCCTGCTTGATTCTTAAAAACATTTGAAATTGCAGATGGGGAGGATATTACAACAGCAGGCTCATTGCAGTTTGATTTTAAAGTTATTGAAGCTGCAACTGATAAGTTTTCTGAAAGTAACAAACTCGGTCAAGGTGGATTTGGAGAAGTGTACAAAGTATATCTATTTAGTTATTCATTGAGCGTCCTGATTAGTTACATATAAAAGATTGAATGATGGTAATGATTTCGTTTTGAACGCATAACATATGTAGGGCATATTTCCTAATGGATTACAAGTTGCGGTGAAGAGACTATCTAAAACATCAGGACAAGGTGAAAAAGAGTTCAAGAATGAGGTTATTGTTGTGGCAAAGCTTCAACACAAAAATCTTGTCCGGCTTCTCGGATTTTGTTTGGAAAGAGATGAGAAGATACTTGTCTACGAGTTTGTGCCTAACAAAAGCCTTGATTACTTTCTCTTTGGTAAATAAATACAGTGTTTTATCCCAAAGCTGTACATTGTTTCAAGCTCATCTTGGAGACCGGTGTTTTTAACATTGTGACTGCGTATGGTACAGACTCTACAATGAAAAGCCAGCTTGATTGGACAAGGCGGTACAAGATCATTGGAGGAATTGCTAGAGGGATTCTTTATCTTCATCAAGATTCACGACTCACAATCATACATCGTGACCTCAAAGCGGGTAACGTCCTCTTGGATGATGATATGAACCCAAAAGTTGCAGATTTTGGAATGGCACGGATTTTCAAAATGGACCAAACGGAAGCCAATACGAGAAGAGTAGTAGGAACCTAGTAAGTTTTTCTCTTCCCATTCATTTCCTCTTTAAACTATAATATGCTTCTATATATTAACTTAACACTTAATATTGTGGCAGTGGCTATATGTCTCCTGAATATGCTATGTATGGCAAATTCTCCATGAAATCAGATGTATACAGCTTTGGGATCTTAGTTCTTGAAATTATAAGCGGCAAGAAAAACATTGGTACCTATCAAATGGATAGTAGCGAGGGCAACTTGGTTACATATGTGAGTTTATACAAATTTATATAAACTTACAAACTCCTCTGTTTTATATGAAAAAAGACTAAAGTTTTGATTTCTTTAAAATGTTTCACAGATTTGGAGAGAATGGAATAATGAGTCACCAATGGAGATCGTGGATCCATCCTTTCGAGATAGCTATCAAATAAACGAAATTACCAGATGCATCCATATTGCTTTACTATGTGTTCAAGAAGAAGCTGAAGATCGTCCAACCATGTCAACGGTCGTCCAGATGCTCATTACTAGCTCAATCGCTCTCGCTCCTCCTCGGCCACCTGGATGTTTCTTTCAGACCAAGCATGAAAAATCTGGTCCATCGATGGGTTCGTCTGCTCTGTGTTCCATTGATGATGCTTCGATTACTCATGTAACTCCTCGCTAAAGACGAAACGTTTCACAGAGATTATTATTAAGCCACGAGAATGAAACAAGATTCTTCTTAGTTAACCTGCTTCCATTATTTTTAATTTTACTTTTTATTTCCCTTCAAATAAGTGTAAGATCTTATTTACATGAGGAGAAAAGAGTGCAGAGACTAGTGGCCTAATTGTTGATTCTTGGCGCTAGGTTTGTTTTGTTGGAACATTAGATGTGTTGTGTAGGTACGATCTTGTGTAGAATCTAAGGAAATTGTGAGAAAAATAGTTATGTTACATGCGTCAGTTCCTTGTTTCCCAGAATAACTCTAAAAATCTAATACACACCGACACAGTTGTAAACTCAACAAGGTAAAAGTACTAAAACAGGAAGTCAACGACTAGTGTAGAAGTCAACCTTCCATAAAAGAGTGTGAAGTATCCGATAAATCAACTAGGGTTGTGAAATTACTGTTTTAAATTATAACTGTCCATTTGTTACTTGTCTGGTAAGGAAGTAAAACAGTTGTTGTCTTAATCATCCAAAGTCTACGCAAAATAATCTTGAACCTATCAAATATTCAACTTCAGTGTTTATCTTATTCTGGAAATAGATTGATAGAGAACAATAACTTTATTTTAAATAGTTGATTCATTGTTATTCATTTTAATAACAAAACAAGTTGATGTTACTCGTCTAGTTGACCTTGACTTGCAAGATATTTTATTATTTTACAAAAAAAACAGAGTTTGAACCAGCTAGCTGGGTTTCACATTCTATTCATCGTTCATACACCAATCAAAAGAAAGAAGAAAAACAGAGGAAAGGTGAAGAAAGGAGATAATGTCTGCTTATGCCTTATTAAAATCTCTCTTCCTTCTCACCTTCTTCATTGTAAGTTTGAGAGCTTCTGCTCAACTACAAGATCCTACTTACGTCGGCCATGTTTGCACTAACAGGATATCAAGAAACTCCACTTACTTCAAAAATCTCGAAGTTCTGTTGTCCTCTCTTTCTTCTAACAACGCTTACTTCTCTTTGGGATCTCATAGTCTCACAAAGGGTCAAAACCCTGACATGGTGTTCGGTCTTTATCTCTGCAGAGGAGATCTCTCGCCGGAATTTTGTCGTGAGTGCATCATCTTTGCTGCTACAGAAAGTGGGAGTCGATGTCCAGGTGGGAAAGAGTTCTTGATTCAGTATGACGAGTGCATGCTTGGATACTCAGACAGGAATTTCATGGAAACTGTAACCACAGCTACAATAATCACTTGGAACACTCAGAATGTTACCCCGGACCAATCTGTCCGGTTCAATGGTGCAGTGGCTTCTCTAATGAAAAAATCTGCAGAGGAAGCTGCTAATAGCAATTCAAGCAAGAAATTCGCGGTCGGGAAGTCGGAGTTCACTTCGTCAATGTCTCTTTATGCATTGGTTCAGTGCAATATTGATCTGAGTAGTGAAGACTGCTTAAGCTGTCTTCAAAAATCCATCCAAAAATTATATTTCAACAAACTCGGAGGAAGGTTTCTTGTCCCGAGTTGTAACTCAAGGTACGAGACTTACCCTTTTTACAATGAAACTTTAGAGGGAACTGTTCTTCCTCCGCCAGATACGGCTCCTCTTCTGCCACCGGTTTCAGCTCCTCCATTGCCGCCTGGTAAGAGTTCTATCTTACTCATTTACAAGATAGTTATTTTGGTTTGAGACATTCACAATTCTGGAAATTATGTGTCTATGTCTAATCTAAGACTTATGCAGGAAAGGGGGAAAAATCAACAGTGATAACCATAGCAATTGTTGTGCCGGTCGCTATCTCTGTTCTTCTCTTTGTAGCTGTTTTTAGCTTCTATGTAAGAAAGAGAAAGAAGAAGCCTTATGATACAGGAGCTGCAAATGATGGTAAAGATTCTAAAATCTGTGTCTTTGGTGGTTAATTTTTCAAAAAAACCATTCATTATTTTGCAGAAAGAGATGATGACATTACAACTGCAGGGTCACTTCAGTTTGATTTAAAGGTTATTGAAGCTGCGACAGATAAGTTTTCGATATTTAATAAACTCGGTCAAGGTGGATTTGGACAAGTTTACAAGGTATTATACTAGTTCATTGAGCTTCCTAATTAGTTTCATTATTGATTCAACTAAGGTGATGGCTCTGTTTAATTCACAATCTTTTCAGGGAATACTTCCTAATGGAGTACAAGTTGCGGTAAAGAGACTATCAAAAACATCAGGACAAGGTGAAAAAGAGTTCAAGAACGAAGTTGTTGTTGTGGCAAAGCTTCAACATAGAAATCTTGTCAAGCTTCTTGGATTTTGTTTGGAGAGAGAAGAGAAAATACTTGTCTATGAGTTTGTGCCTAATAAAAGCCTTGATTATTTTTGTTTGGTAAGTTAGACCAATGTTTAGGAAATATATTTCAATTTTTGAGCTCATGTTTTAGACTTTCTAATTATATGGGATGTGCAGACTCTAATATGCAGACTCAGCTGGACTGGACTACACGGTATAAGATCATAGGAGGAATTGCTAGAGGAATTCTGTATCTCCATCAAGATTCACGACTCACGATCATACATCGAGACCTCAAAGCAGGTAACATCCTTTTGGATGCCGATATGAACCCGAAAGTTGCAGATTTTGGAATGGCGAGGATTTTCGAAATGGACCAAACAGAAGACAATACGAGGCGAATAGTTGGAACCTAGTAAGTTTTGGTATTTTCATATGTTAAACTTAAAAATCCCCTATTAACTTAAACCTTTATGTATTGTGGCAGTGGTTACATGTCTCCCGAGTATGCGATGTACGGCCAATTCTCAATGAAATCTGATGTCTATAGTTTTGGAGTATTAGTTCTTGAGATTATAAGCGGGAGGAAGAACAGCAGCCTCTATCAAATGGATACTAGTTTTGGAAACTTGGTTACATATGTAAGTAAAAACACTTCAAATCCACTACTATTTTTCTCTATTAAAATGTCACAAATAGTTCAAGTCTTTAAATGTTCAATATAGACTTGGAGGCTATGGAGTAACGGTTCGCCATTAGAGCTCGTGGATTCTTCATTTCGAGAGAATTTTCAAAGAGACGAAATAATTAGATGCATCCATATTGCCTTGTTATGTGTCCAAGAAGATAATGAAAATCGTCCAACCATGTCAGCGATCTCGATCGCGCTAGCTGTACCAAAAGCACCTGGATTTTTTTTCCGGAGTAATCATGAACAAGCAGGTCCATCAAAGGATAAATCTTCTCTCTTTTCCATTGATGCTGCATCTATTACTACTGTAGTTCCTCGTTAAATACAAATTAGGATATAGGATAATTTGAGGTCACGGTGTGTATGAATGAATTAATCAATGTTGAAGAATATAGAAAATCCCTCGAGCATTGACTCCAATGATATTGTATATATACGTCTAATCCATCTGTCCCCTCATTTGAGTGGTCCGCAAATAAAATGTATAAATAAGTTAGACCGACCGGTGCTACAATGTTTCTTGGGACGACTCCTCTTTAGAAACTTTGTTGAGTCAACCGTAGATACTTTGAAGAGAAACACAATTTGGAACAAACAAAAAAAAGAAGTGATCCACGGACCACGAGGAAAAACCAAAGACAAATGGACCAAGTCAGCATCGAGTAAACTTTAGCAGCCACCGTCGAAGACAAATTAAGTAAAGACAAACGCGAAGACTCTTAGCTGTTTCACAATTATTATTATCTCTTATTATAAAACCAATTTTACCCACTGGGAAGAAGGTTTAGGACGTACTGGATTAATTAGGATCGTGAAATTACGTGTTTTACTTTTCTTATATTACTTGTCTTCTAAGAAAGTCTTGTTCTCACAGTCTTCGAGCGTAGCAGAACAATGGTCAATAGTATTATATCAAATCATTCAAAACCGCACGTTGATTGTTTCCACAACTATATTGATAATTATATTTTATTTGGTTTTGCACATACTTATTATAATATCTTTAGATCAGTAATTAAAGTACTATAAACATTAACAAAACAAGTGATCTTTTCCTGTCGTTTTTTTTTTTTTTTTTTTTTTTGGTCGCCTGGTCTTTTCCTTTCGTTTAAATTAACAACACAAGCCCTTGTTATTACATTATTGACTTGAAAGAACTTGCCTTATTTAACAGAGAAACACATTGATTGTCTTTCACAAAGAAATATTGAATCACTTATGCTTCTTTAACCTCTCCCTTCTTTCTTGATATTTTCCTTGCAAGCTTTGAATAATGTTGGCTTCACATTCGTTCATTACGACTCTCATAAATACAATCAACCAACAAAGAGAGAAAGGGGAAAAAAAAACAGGATAAGACACAAATAGAATTAATGTCTATACTTCTTTAATTACTGTATCACCATGCATCAGAAACATTCCGAATTCACTAAAATGATCTGCTTTGAGGTTTATTGGGTTTAATGTGATATTGACAAATTGTAGGCAGCAAAAAAAAAAAACAAAAACCCCATAGAAACTAAGATTCAAAATAAATTTGAATTAAGTATGTTGTTGAAGTTTATCAAAAAAAAAAAAAAGTATGTTGTTGAAAAAGATTACCAATTACCTCATAGCACGCCATCTTTATTAGTTGTTCAGGTTTTAATTCGCCGTTAAGAAGTTGTCTATCTAGCAGTACTCTTGAATTCTGCAAACAAACAATAAGAGATCACAACTAAACACTGAAATTAATGTGAATCAACAATCAACTTAAAATCCTATTTACAACAAACGTGTGAGAACACATTTACACAGTTTCTAGTTTCCTCCAATATGAACAAAGATAATATAGCAATGATATAATACTTTGGTATATCTTCTTTCAAAGAATCATATAAAGCCTTCTCAAGAGCACTCACTACCGAAACAACATCATTTGGCCAGAAAGAATCATAATCACCAGCTTGATTCTTTTTACTTGTACAACATTTGTGCTTAACCACTTCCAGAAGCTCCTCTAAAACTCTTGTCAATATCCTAATCACCACTCAACAAATCAGATGGATTAACAACATTATTTCTTTCACGACTCTTTTCCTCAACTTTTATGACATAGCTTTGCGGAACAGAACTTTCACGCCTATAGATCAAAGTCTTTTGCTTCTTAACTATGTCAGGAATTAAGGTGTGCAACTCGTAAAATCCTCTTTGCCACAAGAACATCTATCTCATGCAGTCATGCTTTTGCTGCTCCTCAAAGCCATTAATTAAAAGTGAAGTTCCTAAGCCTCTAAACATTTCGGAACTATGAGTCTATGAAGCCAGGATGCTTTCTACGGTTTGGGATTTGCTTATTTTCCTTGCTTATTTTCCTTGAAACAAATAAATAAATATAATATAATATATAATACTATTTATTAACTATTTCCTTCTAATAGCAATTAAAGCAAACCATGTATTTTGTTTTTTTGTTAATGAAAATTTAAATTTTACGAACTGTCATTTGACAAACGTCCAATATAAATAACGCCTATTAAAATGATTTTTTTTGTTTTTTTTTTTTGTTTTTTAAAGTTACAATTGATAAAAACTTCGCACCGTGCATGTATGCCGTTTTACAATGAAAACGACACCAATGGTTAAGTCACGTGTTTAAGCTGAGTTTTTGAGATTGAGGGTTCAGAAAAAAAAAGTTTCTTTATCTTTCTAGGGTTTGTGAGAGTTGTTGACTCTAAAAAGTTCAAAGTTTTCTTCAAAGTTTCTGAATCTCAAAGTTCGGTGTTATAAGTTAGAAGTTTTGGATTTGTGAAATACATATTTGGGTTTGATTTTTTAATTCAAATCTTCAGCTTTTCCATTCAAAATCGTGTGTTAATGTTCAAGACTTCATTCATAGTAAAAGTTAGATTTTCTTCACTTTATATATAGCTTCAATTTAATTAACTTAAAGTTATGTTAGACATCTTATGATGGATTTTCGATACAAGTTAAATATATATTGAGAAAACGACTTGGAAACAAATTAATTAACTTCAAGAAATCAAGAACAAGATGAGCTCACGAGATAAGAGAGGGTAAAAACTAAAAAAGAAAAATAAACTTTGTATTGAATTGAGTAAAAAAGTGTGTATGTACATTTACAAGTCAGTGAATGAATCAAGTGGTTTAGCTTAAACGTATTCTTATCCACTGAACAAACGCCAACCATGTAAATGTAATTAACTTAGCCACTAATCACTTCTATTAAATAAAAAAACTTTCCCCCAATGTAATTTTTTTCCTTTCTCAGCATGCATCGTTTGTATATGGAACTTTTTAGAAAAGAAAGACAGAGAATCCCCAATCTCATCGGTACACTAGTAACAGATGAAATCAAATACGAATTGATATTCAAAGGAAAACATTGGATTAAAAATTCACAGCAAGCTGATAATATTTATGATAGAATAGAACACAAAATTAAGAATCAGAATTCAGAAATTACACCAAAAATTAAAAGATAAGAAATAAATCTCGGACGACCAGTCATTGTTTCTCTTTGGTCTTACACGCTTAGTCTTGCTTATGGTTCTTCTTTGCAACTGTCTCCTTAGCTTCTGGTTCTGCGGACATGGTTCCTTCACGAGCATCCTCCTTGTTTTGTTCTTTGATTGTTCTCCCCGCTTTTGGTGTAGGGGCTTTTCTCGCAGTATTTGTCTTCTTCGGCTTCACTTGTGTAAATCTTGGTTCAGGTGGCTGGGCTCTCATGCGAAGAGCTTTGTAGGGGGCTTTTCTCGTACCAGTACTGTCTTCCCTCGATTTCTTCTTTGAACCGGTAGCTTCACGGTCCTTTGGCTTCACTCTAGCTGGTTCAGGTGACTGGGCTCTCATGCGAAGAGCTTTGTAGGGGGCTCTTCTCTCACCAGTGTTTTCCCTCGGTTTCATCTTTGAACCGGTAGCTTCACGAGCGGCTGAGTTCACTCTAGCTGGTTCAGGTGACTGGGCTCTTATGAGAAGAGCTTTGCAAGGCCTCTTGGGAAGGGGAGGAGCATCATTTGATGGTGTTGACGGCTGAGAGTTTCTCATCATTGAACTTGAAAACCTAAAAGAACAAAGGAAACAACAACAAGTGAGAGCGAGAGAAACAATGAAATGATAAAAGATTGTGTTTGAGAGAGTGTTTGAGGACTCTATATATACACAATTTTTATCCTTCCATTTACACCCTTGTAAAAATTGGTGGTAATGGCTTTGAATTATGTTTTTACGCGGGAAAAATATAAGATCGATGTTGTATATTTAAAACGGACTATCTGTTGAGCCAAATCATAACTCTTGGATAATTTATATATATTTTAAATGTGATGCGATACAATATTTTCATATAAATTATACTTAAAATTAGTTTTATAAACATTTTTAATCATTTTTGATTAATTTAATTATTTAGTTGAAAAAGTAGCATAGTTCTTTAAAATATTTTACTAGATTTAACTTAAAATGGTAAACTATCAAACTACAAATTTGAGGTGTTGACTAATATGTATTATATTATATTTGAAAACTTTTAGTTAGAAAAAGTTTTTGACTATAAATGTATATGGTATTCAATTTTCAAAACATGGAAATTTTTTTTTTCTATATAACTATCTTTTTTATTTGGTAAAGTTTATTAAATATGATTTTTTCCTTTATTTATTTCAAATAAGGACAATAACGACCACTAAAATTTATTACATTATGTATCTTTTCCCAAATACATTTCAAGACAGCTCATTGTTATAAGACACTAATTATTTTTTAACTCTTATATATCTTATAGTTTATATTAAGAAAAAAACTCCCTATATATAGTCATTAGTTTTGTACTGTTCCTTTTTATGGTTCTTTGACTAAGACAAATATCACTTAAACCATTTAACCTAAACGACAAATTTCAATACTGTCTTAGTTATAAATCATTGAATTTATTTAAATTATTTTTTAAATAAAACTTTCACTTTAAATATATATAAAATGTTTTTTTAACAAAGTTTGTAACGTATAAGTGAAATGTACCCATAGACGCATAAATAGGAAAACTAGAAACTTGACTTCATAAAGTAAACATGTTCAATGTAAATTATAAGAGAAAAAATGAACTTTGAAAAATATGTCTTAGGACACTGAACCGTCGTGAGATGGTCTATTGACTAGTTAGGAAGAAGTTGCAGCTCGAACATTAGCACAACCTTATCATCTACCTCTTTGGCCATAATAATAATTTGTGTAGATGGATTGAATCTGAGACAAGTTTCAACATTTGTAGTATCAGCTGCAAAGCAAGGCAAAGGGTAATAGATGGATGAGACAGAGTAAGCCTAATGCCGAGCATCACTACCATTTCCCATCATAGCCATTTATCAAATGATATTTATCGACGATCAAAGATAATAGAATGGATTTTGGCTTTGCCCTCGCAGAACTACTTCTGTTGCAAGGACGTATTTGATTCTTTTTACTCTTTTCATGCAGTTATTGAAGGTTATGCATGGACTGAATTTAATAGTACGTAGTTGGGCTTTCATTGAAACATATATGAGTTGGGCTTGTTGATTGTTATATAACTTTTGGATTTAAAAGATGCACTGGGCCTGTGCATGATTAACAATAAAACCCATATCGTTGCGTTGCTTTTAATCCCAATGTAGAATTTCTTTTATGTAACTTCAAATCATTATAGTTACATTTATTCTGAAATTTTAGAGGGGATTTTGATGTGAAATCGAAAGTTTAGGGTTGGTAGTGATTATTGAAAAATGTTAAGGTTGCTAGTATAATGGAAAGATCAACTGAAAAGAGTTTGTAAAACACACTCCAAGCTTTAGTTCCCTATTCTTTTTAGAATCTCTGACTTCAATATTTGACGGCTATCATATAATCTATCCTTTTTATTTTGACGGCTATATTTAATATATATATTTTTTCACTTTCGACAATATATTATCAAGATTCAGATTATGTCAAATGTTATCATATTATTAATATTTTAAAAGTTATGTCAAAAACCAAAACATTGTTTTTGAGATAAGTTGCGTGAAACGACGTGACGAGTGTAGAAGTGTCGAATTGTCGATAGGAATAGGAAGAAACTGTGGAGGTGGGTTCCATTTACGTCTTTGGGTGTGTGTATGAGATTGAGAGTTGTAGTAAGTGAAGTGTTAAGTCATGGCCGCCATATTTGAGTCACGTGTCCACCTACCTCACCTTCTTCATAACATATTCATATATCCATGTTATAATATCATCTTAACTACAAAAATTATATAATGTGCAAGTGCACAATTTCACGAGTTTTTATAATGTTTTGTACTACTACAAGATATGTTTTTTTTTTTACTTACGTATATGCACACGTAAGCAACCCTGCATCAATTTGTTTTTTCTCAATAATTGATATCAAATAAATAATTGTCCAGAATAAAAAATAAAATACTAAGGCCACATGTTCTTCTATTTATCACATTTTCATATACTGTAGTAAAATATTAATAATTGTTTTTTTTTTTTGTTATGATAGAATGAGAATGATAGAAACTACATTCGAGGACAGAATCAGATGGTTGAAACGATTTTTTGCATAAATTAGAACATTTCATTGAATATCTAATAAGCCCTACCCAGTATATATTTATTGGGATTAACAATGAAATTTTGGGGTTTTGTTTCACGAGAAAAACTACAAACTAAAATCTAGCTACATCTATTCGACACCTGAGATAATAAATCATCAAAAATAATAGTAAACAAATTTTCTAAACTTTTTTTTCAGGCAATAAAAAAAGATAATTATGTATAAAAATAAGTAGAATGCCCATTTCATCAACAATGTAGACAAAAAAGGCAAGCCTTCTGTTATTGGTAATTAGGGTATTTTTCAAATCCATCTCGCATCAGAATATGAATACAGAGGTATAGAACTTTTGAGAGTGATGTGATGCATTATCTACCATTCACATGTTTCCTTTTTTTGTATTTCATTTTCAATTGTTGAATATATAAAGTAGTATTTGATTCCCACCTATACCAAATAAGATAGAAGTATCACGCCAAATAAGGTTTCATCAAACCAAGTTATTATGTCGACACAATCAAATACGATACAAATATAGTTTTTTATATTTTATTTCACATGATTTGTTATGGTTATTTGGTTTTGGAGTATTTTATTTTAAGGTCATGTGGTTAGTGACACACACTTTTCATTAGTTTATCTTCTAATAAAATTATCGTAAAATAAAATATGCGACGTTTATAAAGTAATGATAGTGTACAAATGATTATACTATAAAGTTAAAAGGAATGTACCTCGTTTAGTTTTATGATTAAAAAAAATTATAAAACTAATGGGTAAAATTTGTGAATAATGGAGAAGTAAGAGGGCAAAAATTAAAACAAAAGAATCTTTTTATGTTGCAATGATTACTATATTTTTATTTTATCACTTTCTTCGTATGACAGCTCAGCCAGCTCCACTGATCGGCTCGTGTTCTTTTATTTTTCCTAAGTGTGACTGTTACATTTTTATTTTTATTTTTTGTTGGCAATTGCATCATCTTCATCATCAATCTCCTCCTTCTTCTTAAGTTTTGATATAAAATGGATACGCCGATGCGTATCTGCTGAGAAAGCTTTTCTTCTTTCGCTACCTCTCTCTTCTCTTCTTCTTCTCTATTTCTACGCTCTCACTCCCCGACGATTTCAGGTTTGATTCTTCTTCTTAGGCTTATCTTCTTCTTCTTCTTCTTCTCCCTTTCTAGATTTCTGGGAAAATCAATTCTCAGAATTTTCTTGGTTCGTGATCGATTTGTTATGTTTCTTAGTTTGAATCTTCCGATTGTATTTTTCCATGTTTCTGAATCGATAATTATTGCATGATTTTGGTTTTGATTCGAATTTATACAGATTTTTTTTGGTTTGGTAATCTATTTATATATATGATTCATGGATTATTCTTCTCGGGTGATTTATACTCAAATGATAGTTTGATTGTGTGGAAGCTGCTGATTCCAGTTGAGATTGGGGAAAAAATGATGTTGGTTGTGATATCTTGTGGATATGAAGAAGAGAATCTCAAGGCTTACTGTGATTTGTTTTTGCAGGAATATGGCGCTCTTGTCTCAAGGAGGAGGAGGAGTATACACTGTGCCATCTGGACCTGTATGCATAAAGAATGGAACTAAAGCAGTTTCTGGTGGTGTGAGAAATTTGGATGTGTTGAGGATGAAAGAAGCTTTTGTTAGCTCTTATGCTAGGGGTCTGTCTACCAAATCAATGCTACTCCGTTCACATCATTCTGTTAAGAGGAGCAAGAGAGGACATCAGTTGATTGTTGCGGCAAGCCCTCCTACAGAAGAGGCTGTAGTTGCAACTGAGCCGCTCACGAGAGAGGATCTCATTGCCTATCTTGCCTCTGGTTGCAAAACAAAGGACAAATATAGGTATAGTTTGGTTATCCTTGTATGTTCTGTTAAAATGGTACTTAGTGTTAGTGATTGTGACATAGCTCTTAGTTTGTGCTCTTCTGCGGCATTGTTTGTTTCAACACATCCAAGTTTTTTTTTTCTATTGGAGAAATGTTCCATTTTGCTAACTTAACATTCTGAGTTTGCAGAATAGGTACAGAACATGAGAAGTTTGGTTTTGAGGTCAATACCCTGCGCCCTATGAAGTATGATCAAATAGCCGAGCTGCTTAACGGTATCGCTGAAAGATTTGAATGGGAAAAAGTAATGGAAGGGGACAAGATCATTGGTCTGAAGCAGGTTTACATTCCCCTCTGTTTTATTGTTTGAGCCGTTTTATCAATTAATTACATTTCCAGCCTGTTAAACATGTTAGCTTGATATACGGCACAATGATGCTAGATATTTATTATAAGGTCACTTTTTCTCTTTTTGGTTTGCTGTAGATAATTTGTTCTGCCATTTTGTTGTTCAGGGAAAGCAAAGCATCTCACTGGAACCTGGTGGTCAATTCGAGCTTAGTGGTGCACCTCTTGAGACTTTGCACCAAACTTGTGCTGAAGTCAATTCACATCTTTATCAGGTACTCTAAAAGATACTAGCTATTTCCTTTACTCTTACCATAAAACGTGAAAAATAACCAACTCTCTATGGATTTCAACAGGTAAAAGCTGTTGCTGAGGAAATGGGGATTGGTTTCTTAGGAATCGGCTTCCAGCCTAAATGGCGTCGTGAGGATATACCCATCATGCCAAAGGTTTTATTTCTAATTCAGATATATTACATGGTTCTTCATGGCCATTGTTCGGTGTATTTATTGTTTGTGTAAGGTTTTGCTATGACGAGTCTGGAAGTAAGGCTTGACATACTGTGTTCTGTGCAGGGAAGATACGACATTATGAGAAATTACATGCCAAAAGTTGGCAGCCTTGGGCTTGATATGATGCTCCGAACATGTACTGTTCAGGTTAGATGAATGTTTGGACTTTGAACCACTTTGTAATTTTCCGAAAATAATCTTTCAGCTCTCTTAAAGTTTATGTTGAAACTTATAGAAACTACATTACATGAAATCTTGACAGGTTAATCTGGATTTTAGCACAGAAGCTGATATGATCAGGAAGTTTCGTGCTGGTCTTGCTTTGCAACCTGTGAGAAGCTCGTGCTCTTTGTGGCATAATCGGAAACCTTTTATTAATGATTATGACTAACCATTGCCTCAATAATATCCAAATTGAACAGATAGCAACGGCTTTATTTGCGAATTCCCCTTTTACAGAAGGAAAGCCTAATGGTTTTCTCAGCATGAGAAGGTATCAAGATCCACTTATTATTATCCCCTATATATGAGTTACTGTATCCCTCCCACGTTATAACTTTTTTCCTTTTGCCAGCCAAATATGGACAGACACCGACAAGGACCGCACAGGAATGCTACCGTTTGTTTTTGATGACTCTTTTGGGTGAGTATGATATTGTTTAATCCATGAGCGAAAAGTACATTACATAGTTTAGTTGGTATGAGAAGCTTGTCAAAAAAAAACTCTGTTAGGCATTCTTGATGAGTTATGCAAAAATTGATATGTGCTATTCTTACTTTCAAGATATAATCTTTATCCTTCTTGTAAAACAGCATGGCTAAAATTAGTTGTACTACTCTTCCTGTTGTTCTATTCTTTGATAGGTTTGAACAGTATGTTGATTATGCACTCGATGTCCCAATGTACTTTGCCTACCGAAACCAGAAATACGTCGACTGTACTGGAATGACATTTCGGGTAGAAATCTACCTTTATCTTCTCTGTTAGATTCTATAAACTCTTTCAAGGCAAGGAACTGACAAAATGAAAACCATTTGATCTTCTTGAGCCATCTTTAGTCTCATCATTTTCTTCATGCTGCAGCAATTCTTGGCTGGAAAACTTCCGTGTCTCCCTGGTGAGCTGCCTTCATACAACGATTGGGAAAATCACCTGACAACAATATTCCCTGAGGTGTATCATCTGCCTCAAGAGTCCATTAATTAAGCCAACGAATTTCAGTTCCCTATTTGAAATTGAATCCTGACAATTCCATAACATCAATAGGTTCGGTTGAAAAGATACTTGGAGATGAGAGGTGCTGATGGAGGTCCCTGGAGGAGACTGTGTGCCTTGCCTGCTTTCTGGGTAACTTCATCTATTAGCATATATATTTCTTGTTTCATGAGATCATTTCATGTGAAACTCTGATTTTCAAGAAATAGCGACCTTTGTTTTAATTTTATCTGCAAATTACAGGTGGGTTTGTTATATGATGAGGATAGTCTCCAAGCTATCCTGGATTTGACAGCTGACTGGACTCCAGCAGAGAGAGAGATGCTGAGGAACAAAGTAACTATAAGACACTCCACATTACATTTTCTTATTCCATAGTTAGAAAAAACAACCTGTTTATACCGAAATTTGATATCCAACAGGTTCCAGTAACTGGCTTAAAGACACCATTTAGAGATGGTTTGTTAAAGCATGTTGCTGAAGATGTCCTGAAACACGCAAAGGTGTGTTCTTTTGTGCACTCTCTTAGAAACCTTTAGCCAGCTTTCTCTCCCATCTGATCCAGTTGCCTAACTAGAATTATATGTTGGGTTTTCCTGCTCCCTCAGGATGGTTTAGAGCGTAGAGGCTACAAGGAAGCCGGTTTCTTGAACGCAGTCACTGAAGTGGTCAGAACAGGTAAATGAAGTAACCCAATGTGTGTACTTGAATCGCGTACCAACATTCTTTTCAATAACCTTCTTGGTGAAATATTGGTTTTGAAAATGACAGGAGTTACTCCGGCGGAGAAGCTCTTGGAAATGTACCATGGAGAATGGGGACAAAGCGTAGATCCCGTATTCGAGGAACTGCTGTACTAAAAATGGGACGTGAACAAAAGGTGTCTATAAACCTTTGGGTGTGAGTTTATGCTATCTGAAGAACTCTGACTCTCAGGAGGGAATAAGTCTTTTCTTTTTTTTTTTGTAATCGGATTTTAAAAACTTGAATTTTGTTTTAGAAATTCGAAGCATTGAAAATCAGAAGAAAAATTGTCTGTAACTTAAAACGATTTCGGTGTGAGAAATCGTTTTGAAGGGTGTGTTGGATCTTTGAATAAATTACCCATTTTTCTTATCACAAATCTGTCTACTTTGAACAAATTACCCATTTTGTTTGAAAACTCCTCTGTGTTGTGTTTCTACAATTTTGTTTGTCTTGTAATCTTCGTTCATAATGGAGGTAAGATGGGATGGATATAGGAGTTTTCATAATTCCCGAAATTAACAATTTCCCATCCGAGAACTTGGAATGAAGAGCTGTAGACTTGACTACCATATCGGAATGATTTGAAAGCTTGTGGGTTTGTTTGAACTGTTATCAAGTTCTGTGTATAGGGTTTTAGTTTTATTTGCTGAAAGTAGTATTGTGTGGTAGGTTTAGTGTGATGCTCTTGTTTGAACATAGATCATGTGTTCCAGGAGCTACGGTACTAGAAGATGAACTATGACCACAATAAAGATGAAAAATCGTTCAAAGGCTCAAAGGCTCAACTAGAGTCAATAATTAATTATATAAATAAAATTCTGCTATCACTTGAAAAAAAAAAATTTGGCGTTTGATGTGTGAGGAGAAATTGGCAATTTTATGGAATAAAAATGTTGTTGTATTTCACGGAATAAGAGTGTTGTTGTTTGCTTTTTTTTTTTTTTGAAACATGAATAAGAATGCTGTTGTCAGTGTTGTTAAAGAAAAACATTGTTGTAATTAAATATCACTAGCGCTGTCAGCACGTGCGTTGCCGCACGGAAAAATAAAAACTTAAAATAATTAACATTGTTAAATAACATTTTTTAGTGGAAATTGATTATAATCTTCTAACTGTATATTTTTTTATTCAATTTACGAATTTATTTCTTTACTTTTTCTATATTAAATTTGTGAGATTGAGAAAAATTTCTTATAATTTATCCCCCAAATGATATTTTTCTGTTGGTATCGCTGCATTTTAATACTGATGATCTTAGAGAGTCAAAATAACTCAATATTTATGAATGACCATTTTTTACTCTTAACGTGCCCCTTCTTTTGCTTTCTTTAAAAAACAAATTTTCTATGTATAATAGCAAACCCACTTTTTGTTTACTGCTGATGTCATCTTTTGAATCTAACGGTTCAGATTGTTTTTCATTTGATTTAAAGGTTACTGTTTAATCTCAAAATATATAAAAACAAAAAATGTGTCTTTTTAAAAAAATGTGTCTTTTAAATTTGTCTTTTTAAAAGGATGCGCCTTTTACTAAAAACCCATGTAATTTAATCAATGCAATGTTTCACAATCACACCCTTTCGTTACATATATAAATATTCTACAACACTTTGTTTTTATTCAAAAATTTATTGATTGTTTAGTTTTATTTCATTTAAAAAGTTATTTTCCTGAAACAATTGTTTCTTAAAATTGTGTTTTTCCAATCCTATTTGACTATAAATTTGTTAGCCATTATCATCTAAATGTATTAATTGTTTATTACCTCTCCGTTAATTAGTTGCTCAAACCCACTTTCTATGGTTGCTGACATCATCGTTTTAATCTAACGGATGAGATTGTTTCCATTATCTCATCTAACTGTTTATATTTTTAATGAACCCAAAAGTTGCAAAATTTTATACCCAACAATTGTGTTTATTCGTCGTACCCTTAGCTTAAAAATTTCGCACCTGTTATTTTTTCACACCTCTTTGTTTGTATTCATAGACTTCAATAACAAATTATTGTCAATTAGATTTAGAAGAACATATATTTGGTGTTTTAGTGACGCATCTACAGATGACACGACTTTTCATAGAACAAAGATCAACACGAAGCAACTTCTTCTTCGTGTATGCTTCTGTCATATCAATCTTATGCTTTTATCATGACATGAGCTATAAATTTAAGGGCGATCTTGCTGCAGATTACATTTCACAAATCACAATATATATTAGAATCATATCCGATTGTATCTACAGAGAGAATTCAACTATAAATACCAACAAATATTGTTGTATCAAAACACCAACCTATAATTAATAATAATAAATAAATAAATAAAACACAACAATTTGAAACAATGATTTGTAACTGATTCTTGTACGAATTTAGAAGTATAATTAAACAATAAAAATTTAATGAAGTCACTAATCAAACAATACGAAAAGAGAGTAGAAATTATAAGTTTTAAAGGCTTATCAAAATATAAAATAAAATGAGAAAGATGAAACAAAACAAACCATATGATGTTTTGAGTGTAAATCTATGGCCATGTTACTATATTTTATATGAGTTTTATACTTTTTTGAAGTTAAATTAATCAATTAATAATTTTGTTGCAAATATAGAAATCGATTCAGTGACAAAAAGAGAACAATGTTAACAAGATATATGAAAGGTATCTACGTAAAGTAAATTTCAAATCATTATTCTATTGAAATTTACAAAAAAAAAAAGTAATAAGAGAAGTAGGTTGATAGTAAAAATTAATTACCTAGATCAATACATCAAAGATATGATCAATGCATGTATAAGAGGGAAAACGACACCAAACAGAGGTTGGATAAGGAAATCAATAAATAAATCAGTCATATTTAAACAAAGATGGTTAATCAACGAAGACTAATAAATCGAAAAAACAATATTCAGATTTTTTAAATCTTGGAGGTGTGAAACAATACTCAGAGAAAAAAATTCTATTTTCAAGATCCATCAAAATCTATATATACAAACAAAGAGGTGTGACAATAAATAGGTGTGAAAATTTTAAGCTAGGGGTACGACGAATAAACACAATTGTTGGGTATAAAACTTTGCAACTTTTGGGACATTAACAAATATAAACAATTAGATGACATAACGGAAACAATCTCATTCATTAGATTAAAACGATAATCTCAGTAACTATAGAAAGTGGGTTTGAGCAACTAATTAACGAAGAGGTAATAACAATTAATACCTTTAGATGATAATGACTAAGCAGATTTAAAGTCAAATAGGATTGGAAAAACAAAATTTGAAGAAACAATTGTTTCAGGAAAATAATTTTGTGAATGAAATAAAACAAACAAGCCTGTAGAATATTTATATATGAAACGAAAGGGTGTGACTGTGAAACATTGCATTGATTAAATTACAGGGGTTTTTATTAAAAGACACATCTTTTTAAAAAGACACATTTTTGGCTTTTATATATTCTGAGATTAAACAATAACCTTTAGATCAAATGAAAAACAATCTGAACCGTTAGATCAAAAGATGACATCAGCAGTAAATAAAAAGTGGGTTTGATATTATATAATTTTCTATGAAAGTCCCTTGATCCTGTGGTTGATCAAGAGTTTATTAATAATTCCATAATCATAGTATATTTGTTTATCAGGTCCATTATGAAAGAAAGAAAGAAAGATATTACAGTTTCGGAATATTGCTAAGCATTATCGAAGTTTATTACACAAAGGGCCTCCATAAAGCACAAGATGACCTGCATGTCTCCAAAAGTTCTCCTTTGCATCGACCACTTGATAACAATGAGGATTGGTTGAAAAAGATTCGGTGTTCCCTACAGTATTGTCGATCTTAAAATTTTCGTCCACAATCTTGATTCGACGCATATATGCGTCTTGGTCAGGAGTTCTCTCCAAAAAGTAACCATTGCCCATTGGAGGACTAGGAAGTCCGGGGCTATAGACTTCACCACCCCATTCTATGCCTGTACCATAACTTTCTTGGAATGTGCTTGATGGCCAGTACCCAATTCCTTCCCATGAAGGCCCCATCAACAGCCACCAATCCCCATTTCTCTTGTCCTGTACTTAGCAAAACCAAATTCAAAAGAAAAATCTAATTTTATAGATAAGAAGCTTCTCATGGCAAATACCTTAACACTAAAATCTGCATTAAAACCAAAATATATATATATATATATATATATATATATATATATATATATATATATATATGCATGCATATTATTACTATCCACACTAAAATCAAACTTAAATGTTATATTGTTATGTAATACCCCGGACATTATATGGAGTTATCTTTTAACAAAAAAAAAACATGTGCAGTGATGGGGAAAATATGAACACGGAAAAAGGTGACCTTGTATATGGCGATGTCATAATCTGTTTCTAGAAGAAGTAAACCAGGAGTGAAGTCTCGGCTGACTAGTATCATTCCTGATCCGTCCGGACAGAAGTTATTAAAACACGGATGTCCTCCCGCCTGTATTAGAAGACCATATAACATATGTGACTACTAATCACTGATTTATATGGTTCGGAAATATAAAATAAGATGTAGTCTCCTCACATTTGTAAATACAAACAGCCGAGGGTAGGTGTCTTTGTATAATTCTTGGTATGACTAAAATGAATATATAATATGATTTTCATATATACCTTGATAGTGGAAAAGGATACTCCCATAGTACATTGAGTATAAGAAATTTAAAGAAAAAAAAGATCTAAATAAATCCACTTACGAGCCGACCAACTTGAATGAATTCATTTCCGATTTGAAAGTTCATACGACCAGAGCTGAATTGCATACTAAGATTAGCCTCAGAAGTGCCTCTATGCATATTCATGGCTGCACCATTGTATTTCCTTGGTTTTCCTTTAGTCCGCGCCAGAGCAAACTGAATACAACGATTAATAAAAAAAACAACATTATATTGTGATATATGGCCAGTTGTTCTGTATATTATGTTTTGACATTTTTGTACTCATAAAATAAAATAAAACTTAAAAGAAAGAACTTACGTAATGACCTTTGTTGGAAATCGCAGGTTTATAGGTATTTCCCCATGAACTTTGCGGGTAAGCGTTATCGTCATCATCAAATGATTTCATTTTCAAAAGATCATCTTTGGTGACTCGCATTATAGGGACCGTTCCCATAGGACAACCTACACCATTTTTCCATAAGTGACCAAATGTTTTGTTACTTACTTTCTCTCTCTTTCTTTTTGATCCTAAAGGGTATGACATCATAGGCATCTGCACATCAAAATCCAATATCATTTAATAAACCAGAAAAATAAAAATATAAGGATAAAACCCAAATGTTTTTAGTATATATTAATTTTCTTGATTTCAAAAGCATTTTTTTCTTAAACTAACCTACCAGCAACAATTAATTGAAACTCAAACAACTTTTTTTTTTTTTTGAATAATCAAAGAGGATCTTGACCGAAACACATACATCCCCTTAGACCCGAAACCAGAGCATTTTATATGGTTTCAACCAATTTCTTAATACCATTAAAAATTTTTTGAAATTGAGCTCTAAATATTAAGAAAATTCATATTATCAGATGGAAACATGCCTTATAGGGAAATGTGTGGTTATTCATGGATGAATGATCAAATCCTGCTTGTTTGTAAAAGTCCACGCATCCGTACCGTTGACCAGAAATAGACTGTGGATTCATGAATAAGGAAAAATATAATATATTCTCATAAAAATTTATAAGTGCTTTTGACATGATTTAATAACTTTTAAATTCTGTTGATATTATGTAGATCCAGGGATACTTATAGAATAGTGATTCTAATGTTTATATATCTATATATAATAAACAACTTCAATTATTCTTTTAATATGGTGAGTAGATAAAAAAAACCTTTATTATCTTTACAGCAGGTTTGTTGATAACCTTAAGTTTTTGCTCTATTTCAAAATCTTCAAAACTTTTTATCGTCTCCACTGCTTCTACAATGTCATGGCAACGACCTTGACTCATCAGAAAACTACAACATAATATAGAGCACAAGAAAGTCATGCACATCACTTGAAGTGAACACCTCAATTTCATTTTCATCAACCTGCGAAGTAGACAAATGGAATAATTAAGTTTTCTACGTATATATAGAGAAATGAGGTAATTACTTTTACTTATATATATATAGCTACAATTATTATTACAGATTTGTTATATTAAATGAAGGAAGATTTGAAGAAGTCATTTGGCATAATCACATTTATATTTATGGTTCCTTTCTTGTATTTAATTTTGAATCATACAAATGTCAAACAAAAATTATTTTTATTAAGTAATTTCCATCAATACATTTATAAGATTTACTGGTAGTTTTTTATTTTTAAACTCGTAGTTTTAACATTTAAACCTTCACAAGTCAAAGTTTGAAAAAGCAAAATAAAGTGACTTTGAAGTTTAATTTGACTCATAAATCTTAATTTATTTTGGCCTAAATAAAGAAAAATATTCATCTATTAAAGACTGTGACTTAAATATTGTAAACTGGGTTTTGACATTAAACACAATAATCGGGTTTGGCTGTCTCCAACCAATTTAACTATTCAACTTAAATTCGGTTTTCGACTTATATTTTTGCATCAAAAATCTGTTAGAAACCTTAAAAAAAAAAAATCAAAATGCGCCATATTTCATAAATATGAAAATTCCGTTGGAAACCGTTACTAATACAATTACAAAGTGCACCAAAAAAAATTACTTTGGTTTGTTAAATTTTAAAGTCCGCTTTAGAATCATTAGATTTCTTCAATTTTGTTAGTAAGTGGTTTTTCTAGGATTCGTTTACTGTATTTGACTTATTTATCTCTCTGGATTATAAGTTAACTAGCTTAAAAAAAATGTTTTTTATATATAAAACAATCTTTAAATAGTTTATATGTTATATATAAAGTGTAACTTCTAAATATTTATCAGGTTAGAAAAACATGCGAAAACATTGTGTGTATGGATAATTACTACCAAAGAACAGTTTCCTCATGTCATGATTAAGTAAGTGCATAACCACATGCAGTTGAATATTATCTTAGTTACTATAGAAACAGTCAAAAGAGTCAAATTTTCATAACAAAAATATTTATTATGTAGAAAGCAACAATTTAATTAGTTTCTTTATTAGCTACCTTTGTTAATCAAACAAAACAAAAAATGTATATCTAAGATAACTTAACTTGCCATTTCAGTGTCTTTCTGCTTCTGATTCGTGCATATAAATAACTAAGTACCACTCCATGCAACGTAACTCCACAACACAATATCTTTCTCCTTTGTCTTCTCTCTCAAGTTAAACATGAGCGAGGACTCTTCGGTTAGAGTGGATCAGCCACAACCAAGGTCTGTTTTTTCATTTGGTGTTTTCTCAAGGTTGGAGTTTGGAATCTGATGCAATGTAATGAGCTCTTCTTATTCAACTCTCAGAAATGCTGGTCTAGGAAGGCAGGTGAATGATAATGAATTCGGTAATATGCATTCCTTATAAGCATTTGATTTAGTAGTGTATATATATTTCCAATCTTTACAATAATTAGGGTTTATATTATGGATCTTGAATATGTCGTTTTGATCTCTTCGTAGATGAACCACCCATTGCACGCAGAACCCTAATTATCCCGAATCAAACCGTGACTAGTTTCTTTTCCTCCATTAGTTTTGTTTTTCCATACCAAAACTTCTCAATCTTTAGTTTTTTCTCCCTTGAGTTTTCTAAAAGAGATGTTTTGAACTTTTACCAAACAGGACGTCCTCAATGTTGATGTTTCTATGACCAGTCGTCAGGGATTCTACGTCGTGTCAGGGAGGGGAAACGTTTCACAAGCCACCTTGGTGTCGTTACCATACCGACTGATACAGACGTTCACTGTAATATTTGTTTAATCTCAATCATTTCAGTAGAAACATTTTTAAAAAATTTCCAAATGTTTTTCTGATTTGTTCGGCTATATATATAGGAGGATCGGGATATACTTTACATGAGTGGTTGGTTCCAACCGATCATCTCAACTAATGGTGACCGTATAATATCTAGTCGTCGCAACGGAATACTCCATATATGTCTCCCTCTCCGGTCTTGGACAAAACCTTGCCATAGCTACTCTCAGCTTATTGCTGACGGACCTGTTGAGGTATATATTGACTCTTTTTACCATTAGCTGATCACTACATTGTATTTTAGTTCATACCAAAATTCCAATGGCTTTTGAGGAACATATGTAGGTGAATGTTATGTTCCTTTCCGGACCGGGGGCGGTATATCCACCCGATGCACCAGCTTATGGACCGACACCGATTGAACCAATTCGGGTGCAACTTAATTATGGAGTAGATGCAGCAGCACAAGCACCATGTTGAAGAATAGACGCATCAGAAAGTTTTACCAATATGTGGCTGCAAAAGAATTCTTTGAAGTGAAAAAGAGTATTTGCATGTAGACACTCTTAGGATCTTAGAGAACTGCTTATGATATAAATCTAATTAATGTTTGCTTGGCCATATTTAACTAATAAATTAATAAAACATAATTTTAATACCTCGATGCTGAGAGGAACTGCGGTTGATAACTTCTCCATCTCTGTCAAACTCTAGCAAACCAAGTTCTTCCAGGGAATCTCGTCCTTGAAATTTGTTTGATATCATAAAAGAATGGTATCTTGTGAATCTTGAAAAACAAACAAACAAATGTATCTCATGAATGAAGACGTAGGACAGCGTTAATGTGTTTGCTTTTGTTAATCAAGAGTTTTTTTGTTTAACAAGTAATTATGTTAGAACTTGTTTAAACTATCAATAATATGCTTATTTGTTCTTAAAATCATATATATAAAAGTAAGGTTCCACTCTCTCCTTATTGGTGGAAAAATATTTAAAACTTTAATTAAGAAAAAAAAAAAAAAATTTATTTATGACAATCATTCAATACAAAATTTAATTACACTATAAGTTATAATCAAATGGCAAAGAAAATGAAAGAACTTAATCATATATCATTCAACAAAATAAATAAATAAATAAATGTTAATGACAATCATTCAATACAAAATTTAATTACACTATAAGTTATAATCAAATAGCAAAGAAAACGAAAGCACTTAATCATATATCATACAACAAATTTTATAAGCCTTATTGGTGGAAAATTATTTAAAATCATATATATATATATATAATATATATATATATATAATATATATATTATCAAATGTTCCTCTCTCTTTATTTTTCCATTTTGTATTTATTTTTTAAAATATAATATTTATTTTTAACCAAAAAAACACATTTAATTATATACATTAATTCATACTTTAAGTTCACACTTTACTACTAAAATGAAACTGAAAATTATATAAATTTCCAAAGACTATTGGTTTTCTTTATTGAATTCCAATTAAACACACTATAAATTATAATTATAACTCCTCTAATTTAATTATTTAAAAAATGTAACTTACATCACTTCTTATCATATAAATAGCCATTCTAACATCCTTCTCTACCATATCTCATATCTTCATTATTCTCTTTGTTTTTTTTTAAAAGTTCTTGCATGGAGTGAAAACTCATTTAAAATATCATTGTAAGAGTTTGATTAATTATTTAGTTTAAACTTTTGTTTTCAATTTTTTTTTTTTAATGTATTTCTTTATGTCTTCATTGTTTTCTTATATTTTTAAATGTAATACATATGTATAATAATATTTTATGTTTATAAGAAAATCAAGCTAAAGAAACCATCTTCGTTCTTTTACTTTGGATGTTTGTTTCTTTCTCACATATTCATGTATATTTAATTTATTTTCAAAAGTATGTAATTTTTTAACAAAATAAACTTTTTGTTATATAATTATCAAACCAATTTGTAAGAAATTCTTTTAAGAATAATGATCCTTATATTTAGTTTGTGATTCAACATGTAATAATAAAAAGAACATTATAATTTGTTTTAACTTT